GGGGGGGGTAATTTGGGGACGATTTCATTTACGAAGTCGCTATTTTGAGAACAAGTGGCTGTTTTGGGGACCGTCTTTAAAGAATTTTCAGCGTAATGAAGGTTTTGAAAACTATAAAATTGATTTATATTTTTTTCAATGTTAGGCATTCAGTATTTGTGATGGGCTTAGAATTGTTTCGTTAAGTTAGATTAGCTCAGAACTCCAATGCTGTGATGTCCCAAGGTAGTAGTAATAGTTTAAAAGAAAACATTAGCTTGCTATTGTGAACGCCCCTTGATTTTTCGTGTCCCCAAAGTATCTCTTTGGGAAACTTATATATACATATGTATACATATACATATACAGAGTTATTCAGTAGAAACTTACCACCTGAAATTAGCGAGCTCATTTGAGTCTTATGGTAAAACCATGTTGAGGTGGTGCGTTTGGGTTGGTTAACCTGGTATATGTATACGTAGTTTGTCCAAAGTTCAACGTGCTTTTGCATATGCATGTACATGATTTTCGCACTGGAATTGTCGAACAAGCGTAAAAAAATACATTGAATACGCAGAATGACCAAGTGGAGAAAAGGAGTAAAATACATACTTGAGTTTGAAAATATTGTTATACGTTAATATTAACGTACGTCAGCTTGACGATGCATTGTACATACATACACTGTCTGAAGGTACTTTTGTAAAGAGCAGTAGGGGCGGCGAGGGTGCAACAGGTGCCAGAAACATTAGGCTGGAAGAAAGAGACCTTCTTGTCCATCCGAATGCATAGCGTGACGCGTGGGCGTGACGTAAATGCCAAGGAGGTTTATAATACAGAACGAGAAAACGAGGAGAACGAAAATAAAAGTGAAATATGGTAAAACGCGAACGTAAAATGTAAAACGTGCCATGTCCTGTTTCTATGTGTCTGAGTATCCTGCATGTATAACGCGAGCCATTTTTTTATTTGGCTCGTGTAAACTGGGCTTAACATATCCGAGATCGAGTCAAAATAAAGACTCACGTTGTTGGTCAAACGAACGACTTGATATATTTGATTAAACGTATTAATTATAATTTTGGAAAAATTTGATACAATTTCAATTTTTATTTTAATTACCCGACTATTGCAGGTTAATTAATGCGACGACCTTTAACGTCGTAGCCCGACCGAATCTTGAAATTTAATAATGTAACTAAAGACGCGTCACTGCTGCCATCTATTGTAACGACGTCAATTAGCAGTACTGATGAGTCTAGCAATTGGATACGAGACGACAACGTTACGGATGATACTTATTAAGGATGACGCATTCGCGAATATTATTAATTGGAAGTTGTCAGGTGGCAAAAAAATTAAGTAATACCACGAGAAAGGTAAAACTACGAGTAATTGACATCTACCTCAGCAAAACTGTTTGAATTTATTTAAAGGAACGACGAACCCTGTTGGGTAGGAACTAAGAGTAAGGAGTATTTGAGTCAATTAGCGAATTATCTTACGATAGCAAATTAATTTGTTGATTAACTTTATTTGACGCTACTGACGTCATACGATAACAACTTAAAATTTCGACGACCGACGTTACGTCATTTCGGAGAACACGTACGTGCATCGTACGTCAAGATAAACGTGGATGTGCATATTGCGAATACAAGGTACAGAGAGACACAACCAATCAGCGTGACATAAGTGACGTTTTAGCCGCAAAAAATTATTTTACACACTGTGAATATTCGCGTCCAACTAGACATTTAATGGCCGGACAAAATTTATGGTGATAAGTGCAATAAAAGGAAAATTAACCTACCGAATGGTTGTCGATGAGTTTTCTATTGGCATTAAAATTAATAAGCGTAACGATAAACTCTAATTAAATATCTGACAGGTTTATTAAATTATCTTAGAAAAAATTATTAATCTGATTATAACGCGTGTGTAGCCATATTTATGCAAAGTTTAGACAGTGTACCTTAAAAAATATTTTCATTCCTCCGGTCGAATTGAATAATATAGTTCAAAGAATTGAATAGACCGTCCCTAACAAAAGGGCGGGAGAATTCAAAAAGTTCGACGAACAGTGACTGATAAGTTTTTTGTTATCAAGGATAGAGTCTCTTACATCATATTTGAATATTGCATAATCATGGCGTCCATCAACCAACCTAAGTATACTGAAGTGAATATCGATCAGTATTTTCTAAAAATCATTATATTCGTCAATACATATATGTATTATATTCAACTTATCTACCACCGATAGAACATTTCCGCAAAAAAAATTTTTCCAGCGATTTTTTCCTCGTAATTAACTCAGACTATTCCTATCAATAGAAACGCTTACTTCAAAGTGTATATAGGGACAAACATTGTAGACGAATAAAAAATAAATAAATAAAAATAATCGATAATTTCGTGTATGAAATTGAAAAAATTTTTTTTTCAAATTTTAATATACCCCCCTCCTCATCTCTATCGTCAAAAAAATCATCAGGTTAGCTGAAAAATTAATATTTTACAAAGCACTGTTTATTCGTATGAAAATTATTCGAACCCAGCTGGTATGACTTAATCTGTTCGTTGGTCTCTAATGCGCTCGTTCATCAAGCTGCTTTGTACGATCAGTGCACGACGGGCGATGAACCTTTCGCGCCATGTGATTCCGTTAACAATCGTCGATCACAGACGTCACGCGTAACGCGAGTAAAGCTGCCAGTATATACGGTAGTAGGTATAGTGAATATTTTGCGATTTTTTCCAAGGATAATAAATCGAGTTCTTTTTTAAATCTTCATTATTACTCTGTTTCCTCGATAAAGATCTAAAGTGCAATTACTTTCGCAATACGCTTCTCCGCCTATGATTTGTACGCGATATATCGGACACGGTATTAATTCGGAATAAAAAAAACTGCAGGTAAGCACACAAAAGGATTACGTGCGACTACAATAAAAAATGATTAATGTACAGAAAGCTTTAAGTGCCTTATATGATTTTATTGTATAACGTATGTCTACACGTGGCAAATAATTAGTAGGTAAATAGTCCATGAGAGCTCAATGACTTCTCGAGTAGCCTCGCAGCTGTGACAATAAGTTCGGGGATACATTAAGAGTAATATAACACATTCGGTGTAAACGCACTTTTACGTTATTGTGTGTGTGTATGACGCGAGTTCAAGACACTTGATATTATAAATTATTAGTGAAAATTTGATCGAGGTTATGTATTATGTATAATGTCATTCGGGCGGAATTGTAGCTATACAATTTTTGAGTTAGATAATGGATATTCATACTAGTAAGTGGCGTCTGCACGACGCAAGTCAAAAAATTCATTAGCTCGAGCCATTAACAAAAATGGAATTTTGTTTGAAAAACTAAAATACGTTAATGATATATATATACATACATACACACCATGTATAATCTCTGATGACGGTTTCGTAGAATTCATATTTCTCTATGCAGGCCTGGGATGTGTTGCAGATGCGATGAACATAACCTATGCGCGTCCTTCAACCGTAGTTTATTCAAGTGCCAAATGAAACATTCACCTTAATGACAGCGGCAAGTCTCCAACTAAACGGAACAAAGTCGGTAAGACCTCGTGACGCTATTGACTCGCACGTAGTAGGGGAGTAGAAGGACGAAAGGCCAATGACGTACGGAATATCACAAGAGTCAAAGTATTATTTTATTGCTAGTTATCACGTCCACTGATAATAATAGTTCGCATTTGTGGTTACGCGATTTCCCAAAATAATCTTCATGCTATTTTCGTATAAATCTATGTAACAGCAGATAGGGTGACGTTCACTCGATGTATCCTAGAGACTCTATTTCGTGGTGTCGCCAAGAGATGGCGCAGCGCAGAGTTCAAGATTCAACGTGCAGTACGAGAAGAAATGCTCGACTTATTTACTATTTCCGTATTATTTGATTATTATTATACGTATATACGTATTATTTGATTGACGTATCAACAGTGTACTTAATCTTGACTGCTTTACTGGATGAAAGTCTAGCTTACTCGAAATTCACCGTAAAGCTCCAAAGAGTGAGAAAGAGAGAGATATTACTTTGATTATTATTATTATTATTATAGGTTAGGCATATATATGTATTGTGACGTTATTTTTGGACGTCACAAAGGTCCCGTATTGGTTACTTCCGTTTTTCAATTTCGGGACGCATTTACGTCCTTTTTTCCAATAAAATGTTACGCAACCGGCCAGGAGCTCCAGGGTCATAGGCATTAGGGAACATTAAGTTAATATTTTCGTATACAAATATTTCATACGTCACGACCACCTCACCGGAACCGAGCCATCCGGACAGCTGGAAGCCCACGAAGGAGGATAAGCAGATTTTCGCCAGAAACAGCCACTACCTGAACCCCAGCTTGTGTTCCTATTGCTTACGACGGCAGAGCGGCCAGTACTTGTAATTTAAAGCGGAAATCTCTTACAAACGAAATCAAATAGAGTACATTGTTCTTCAGGTCCATTATGCATCACATGTCAAATCTTGTCAAACGCATAAAAAATCTATCCTCCCGATACTTCTATTTTCTGCCACCAGATGTCACGGTCACGAATGTCAGATCCCAGTAGTCCCACAGAAACGTAGGTCTCTACCATATTGACAGCTGCCGCAAGCAACAGGAACACAAGTGGCGTTCGGGCAGCAGCCAGGTTCTGGCAAATGACGACTCTGCATAATAATTATCAGGCAAATAACTCTGATCAAGTATTGTGAGACGAAAACCTTGTATTTATTTATTTAGGAACTCGAAACTATTCGAAGTCCAATTATCGAAGTTTATAGTTGTTCGAGTTACGATATTCAGGTAATTATAAGAAATGCGAAATACGATTCCCATATTGACCAAATAATTAAAACGTAAAAATCAAGAATTCACCGAGCGTGATAACCACGTCGCTGAACAAGGAATAAATTAACATGACGGGATTATTTCGCTTTAATAATAATAACCTAGAACATTGAAGAACAGCCGCCATTATCATCAATCGAATGATGATTATACATTTTATTTATTTAAAAAAAGCTCTATTAGTCTCTTCTAACTTACGGTTATCTCTTAAAAATTGCATTATAAACTTACGACCCTCTGTTAAATATTTTTCAAAGGACTAATCAAATACATTTAAGACGCACTCACGAAGTAACGTCCATTATTATTACGCTATGTATTACCATAAATAGAATATAACAAAGTTCAGTTTGAAAGGGGAGCTCGCAATATCTAACTTTATTGCACCTTTGCAGAATTCCTTCATATTATTACAGTAGCTAAGGCACTGAAATTTCCTATAGCACAAATTGTATAATTATTTCTTTCAGACAGACAATGACTCGTGAAACTTGAGAAAGTACCGCTAGCAGCTACATAGTTCCGCATACGAAACAGGTAGTACAAAAGGAATACTGTTAACATAGAATTGAACTCCCCTAATCTGATACTGAAAAAAAAGTAAAATTATTCTACTGCCGAAAAGATACCTACGTTGTTAAAACATGTTGCGCAATAAATTGTATGTCACATCACGATTTGATCCAAATTTGTTTTTCTCGCTCCAATTGACTATAGTATAAGCAGCACGCTTTTTACCATTAATTAAACTACATTTCAGCTATCCTGTTACATATAATTTGTTTACGTAAGGTGTCCCTTATAGGCGAGAAACATCAAAACCTGCAGTAAAACATGCACATTGAAATGATACGGATTAAATTTTTGCTATTATTACGTGTAACCTAGCCTAATAATTTGATAACAGTCGTGGTTACCCTTTAGCCTTGTCAAAAACTAGACTGATAATTTCGTATATTGTAGAAAGTGGGTATTTGAAAATGTGAAAGAACAAAAATTTAGAATAACATATGATACGAGTGTGACAGACGAGTAACAATCATTTGTTACTTTCAGTTCTGAAACTGAATAAAAAATTTTGAGCGACGCGTGAGTAGCATTAAAGATTAATAACATTGAGTACACACACATAAACGTACGAGCGCGTTAATCTTATGTAAAATTTTAAGAAAACAATCTGAGGAAAAACAAAATTCCAAAAAAAAACTGTGTTAATTGCGACAAAGTTCATATAAATTTAAAAAAAAGTCAGGAACGCTAGCGCAACGTTACTATGACCGAAAATTGACGTGATTCCATTAGGCGCCTACTTTCTCTCTCATTCCCACACAAGATACACTCCTTCTATCGGATGTCACGTCCAGAACGAGTTTTGCCCTACCCCTTTGTGCCACTCCCCGACAAGGTCAACCAAACAGGATCGGGTCTAACCCTAAAAAGAGAAAAATCATCCTGTTCGTGACCTCGTAGGTATCAAAAGCAACGGGGAATGTTCGAGCACGCTGGGTTCTCGAATCTACAGGGTGACGGTTACGAATCAGAGCAACGACATCTGCATTGGTATGGCCGGAGCTTGACTGTGCCACATACCGCGAATATAAATCTGGCAATTACCTGCTGTTCCGTTTGGTTTTGCTCTGACGGGCGTAACCAAGGACTGGATGCTGCGTCTCTGCTTATCGATTGCACCGGCTGCCCACGAGGAGGTCTACCGCGTTGTTCATAAAATCTCAGAGTCTGCGAACCATCCGGAAACGCGCGCTTCAGTTTACCCGCGTCGTCTGGCACAGCAGCATACTGAATGCTGGGTAATGTTTACGGGCTATTATTATTACATCTTTTACACGCGCTTCAAACAGAGCATGCCGAATCACAACACGCGGCACGCGAACGTCATCGGGATCAAAAAATTTCCTTGGAGACTCTACCCTCCACGACACTCACCGTAGGACAGACCGGCGTCGACTGAAGCGGCGCGCCGCCACACGGCGCTCCGCACGCGGGCGACAGCCACGGTGACCTCGAGCCAATCCGAACGGCCTATGATGTTGGTTTGCCAGTTGCTAGCAGTCGCCGGAGAGTTGGCAGTGGATTGCTCTCGCCAGAATGGAATGAGAATTGGATTGGCGTCATGACAACTGAGAGGACATTTTGTTATATCGAGATTGATGGTTATTCTTTTATTGTACGTACATACATACTATGAATCGACCGGATCAAATCCTTTTGCTTTTAGTTGATCAATATGAAATGTAGAATTACAAAATTTCGACAAGCCATTGATATCTCCTAGGTAACCTACAATGCTCTCATTTTTCTCAGATCGTTATCCAACTGGCACTAAGAATCTTATTCATTCTTTCAGGCACATTTTGACACTGTGTCAAAATGAGTAATAAGTATACCGACGGTGACGTCATAGGCGTCCCCGTCGATTCGCCAACAATATAATCCAAGTAACGAAAATTGTTTTTGGAAACGTTGCGGCAATACACTTCGTATTCACCATATACGGACTTTATAGTAAAACCTATTTATTAAGTCATAGTCTGGATTTGAGGACTTCGCTATTCAAGTCTCAATGCCATATGACAACGATTGGCAGTTCCTGTGGACTAAACTGGAGGCCAACTTTGGATTATAACAAGGGTTGGACAATTAGAGAGTGGAATAATAGAGAGGCTTTACTGTACTCTTAAGTATCACCTTTGACCTCCTCTATGACTACCAGTTATTTATTCTAGCACATATGTAAATGTTTCGATCGTACACACAGTGTAGATACCAGTTCTTTTTACTCTTTTACCTACTTTTAGAATGGATGGGAATAAGAGTGTGCTAGGTCACGGACTTTGCAATTATTCATACCATGAGAATCACCACCTTCACTGCCACCACCTCCACTTCCACCACCGTCAGTAACCTCAGGATCGTCTCCGAACAGTATTATTCTCCACCCTAGACATTAGGGATCCTTCCCAAAGTTCTTCTGCAAACGTCTCGAGTGCCATCTTGAGGGACTTATAGGAGTAGCCTAAAGAAACAGACGAATTAGGTAAAAGCAATAAAAGGTACCTTTTTCTCCTCTCAACTGTGCTCATACTGATTCGATCATTTTTCACTGATAAATCATTCAATTAATTATGGCTCCCCTCACTTTCGCTATTGGCATTAAGTTGAATTTGGGATCTGACAGTTTTTTTTGTACGAAAATAATTCCATAGCTCCATCTACTCTTATACTTTTATCTAAGCCACTTTTTTCTTTTTATATCGACCATTGTGTATTGTATGTATCAAATCTGACGCACACTATCAGAAATGGCGGAGTGAAGGAAGAGGCGATCTGCTAGAAGTTTCGGTATACCAGACACCCAGATGCTTGACAGAGTGACAAAGGTAAAAGGAGATCCTTACTGTCTCAGACAAGAGGAGCTATAACAATACGGCGGATCCACAAGTACTTACTGTGTACTAGCACGTACTATACTTCGAGGGGCCGTGCATACTAATAACGAGTAAGTCTGTATTACGTGAGAATAGCCCATACGTATTCAATAGTTCGTATCCACGTGCATCTTGATATCAGGCAACAATACGTAATACAGATTCATCATTGATCTACATAAATTGTGCGTAGCCACTTTTATATTTAATTAAGAAGTTTCAAAGGGGAAGTAAATTATAAATTTAATCTTGGAACCATGTGATGACGTCATCGCCGACGCCAGATATATTTTAATTTAGACGTCATAAAAAATGCTGTCTTACCGTTTTACGGTTAATTAGAAATATGTATACAAAGATACTTTACTTGTTTTTATCCTTGTTGTATACTAATTCTTAAGACTGTGAAAAACTACTAAAGTCGAAAGTTTAATTGAATTGAATGCTATTGGATAGCGGCTCTCTTGCTCGTGAAGATAAATCCGCCATCTTGAACACGTAATCGTTTAATGAGATTTTGCTGCTTTAAGTTTTAAGTGAAACCTCGAACTTTCTTTGATACACTGTATTTATGGAATAATGATAAAATCCATTCTTTTGTTTCACGATAATCGAATACTTATAAATTATTATAATATATGTATAGTTGTGTTGAAGTTTAAAAAAACGGTTTTTATTGTCCTGAAAATTAAATCAACCGATATATCTTACTCAGTTACCGATTTCGTTTCTGACGTCAAGTTTGTCTTGTGATATTTCGTTAAACAGTCGCTAATCGTTAATTGGATTCAAAATGTACATACGCTAATTAGTAACGTAACGAACTTTCGTACCTGTTTAGGTTAAAGTTTAGCACTGTATCAAAAAGTTTGTCACGAGTTTGAAAAAGTTTTTCAACGTTGAGGAGTAATTTCTGGAAAAATTGATAATGGCAAAAAAGACTATTATTGTCTCTCAAACTCGATTTCAAAAACATCCATTATTCTTGTAACAAATAAGATTCAGTTACTTTTTCCGATAAGGTGTTCTTACGTTTATGCAAAGCTTCAAGGGGAATCTACAACGACAAGATTGCGATGCGAAAGTGGCGACATTTCGAATTGGTAAAAATAGTGAACATAACCAAACAATATACATATATATATTTATGTGACAAATAGATCTTGATGAAATAAAGTATAATTGCGTAATCATTAGTCGATGTATTTGTGTATAGATATACTAATCGATAAAGAAATTAATTACTTAATCGACACTGACCTTTTAATCATCGATTAATAAGTCCGAGCATTTAAACTTTACTCTGCGGCATGCCTATAGTACATATAGTATAGACTTTAGTATTTCTATTAAAATTCCCAACAATGTTACAAAGGTCAAAGTTCACTTAACGATTTTTGAGGCCACTATTCGCAAATTTGAGGTAAAAACTTCAAAATTACTTCAGAGAATTGCTAAAAACTATAGTTATAATCGAATACGATCGTGAACTCAAATTTGGTTGAATATCGAAAATCGTTAAAAATTTAATCATGTATCGATCTCGAGCATCTTCGAAATTTCTGCTTCTAAATGTAGTTACTTTCCCACTGGAACATCCCAGTTATCTCCAGTCTATAAATCTTTCTCTCAATTTTATTTTGGATTCTCGAAACGTTCTCATTTCTTACTTGACTTTCCAACCGTGTAATCATACTTCACGTGACTCCTAGTAACAATAATAATCTCTGAATTCCAAAAAAAAAGATCAGAACACTAATAATGAAATAATAAAACTCTATAAAAGACGAGGAAAGGAAATAATAATAATAAAATAATTTTAAATTACACGAACGTACAATAAATAAATGTTTGGTGAAAACTGCGAAGACATTGACAAAACCATTTTTCAGAAAGATGCCGCTCAGATCTCATGATAAGGTACATTGTGTGCGTTATCCCTTATCACAAATTCAAGAAGACTAATTTATTATCTCTTATCTCGGTTTTCGCGTGCATCACGTAACGCTGAAAATATCAAAAGGGATGTATTTCAGGGATGTACATAAGGGATGAAATTTTATAATACATTTTATCAATACTCTGTATACAAATAAAAAATATTTCGAATTATATTTTTCACTGTTACATCATATATGACGATCATGTTCTATTTCAATGTAGTTTATTATTATTTTAACAGGTATTATGTGTAACCAGTGTATCATCAATTCAACGTTCCATCCAGCCTAAATTATTTATCACCGAGAAAGTAGCAAAATTAAAAATATAGTTGACGAAGTAAATTGTACTGTGTGGCACAGTAAGGAGACTCATTTATTGTAAAATTAATATGAGTATTTATTGAATTACCTTTTTTGAGAAATTCAAATTTGTCTTTACACTTACGATCGACAAACGCATATTCACATATGATTTTTTTTTTAATAATAAATACAACACCCGCACCGCGTTCTACGTCAACGTATCTGACTCATAATGAAATACGTTATTACGATTTAATGTATTAAAAAAACACTTTCACTCCCACTGAAACACCCTGTGCGTGTTCACAAAAACCGCGGAAGGGTTACTCAAAGGGATAAATTTGAATCTCAGGTCACGAATATCCCCAACGTTTAACGATCGCGATACGAGAGACATTAGAAACGTGCGACCCACATCTTTTTCTTAGACTGTATAATTACAATGACTATGAAATGACATACCACAGAAAGCAGAGAATATTTGGAATAAAAGTAATAAAAACTTTACGTTACGTTCCCATCAATCATTTGCTATCCATTACCTCGTGCTTTGTATTAACAGGACGAATGGGCCATTGAAAATTATTTTATTTGCTGTACCGGTACTTTGCTTCTCTTGATTGGACGAGCAATTGAAACCAAAGAAAAAATCGACAGATATTGGATTCTTTTTTAGGGACTCCATAAACGATCGTTCTGCGAAATGTATTACGAATAAACGGGTTATCGATTCTGTATTAAAGGAGGTCGGTTCAATATCCACATACTAATACCAGTTTACTACCTAGGTTTCACGTGCGTACCAACCTAGTGGTACCTATTGTGAACGCACCTTGAAGAATTTCTAAGGCCATCTGGGCGGAAGTGGAAGTTCAGTACGTATAGTCCTGAAGTACGCAGTACGTGAATAAACTCACCATACGTTATTTTAATTCCCCAAGGGTGTGTCAGTCTTTTGCCTCTAAGAAGTAACGCAGGTACATTTCGATTAAACTATTGGTAACGACATTGTCCGGCATTTTGTTCAATGTGAATTCGCAACTGGCGAAACTGCATACAGCCCTCATTCACCCCAAGCGCCGCATATGTCATTAGGGGGGAGTGCATTGTCTGCGTCATATATGTATTTTATTCAAGGTTTGAGGGTGCACTTGGATACATATGTGGGTATAGGTACCAACTGCAATGTGATGACAAAAGAATCGCTTGTACGACAAAAATCTAATTTAATCGTTTCAACGTGACGGGACATTTCTTTTCGTATTTTAAAAATTCTTTAAAAATTCAACCGCTTGAGATCAAATCGTCTATCAAGATTTTCATAATTTTGGGCAAAAATTAAACCGGATATACAACGCTGAGAGTGAACGTGCGTGTGAACATGCGTTAACGCGCGTCGTCACGCGATCTTTTTTTTTATTGTGATTTCCCAGCTCACAATCAGCGACAATCATTTCCGAATAACAATCACGTACGGTAATCAAGTTTCTACTTTATTTCTACACCTATGACTCTATTTATGTACAAAATACACGAATTTCTCTAATTGTACATATAGATGACCGATTTAATCGCTGGAAGTGTCACTACTTGTCATATGAACATGACGCATGCTGTTATCAGTGTCACGAAACAACGATATGAGTGTAACGTTAGAGGATTAAATAGACTATGTTGTTAGTGACATTGACAATGACGTTGACAATAAACCGATTCTGCAAAAGCATGTTTACCGTATGTAATAAAAATATATATAAACACATGTGCGCAAACGTGCATTTAATGCAAAACTCAACTGTGCCCCGTGATTAGATGATTCTATTTTTATACTATTTTCTATATATAGAGGTTATGTACAGTTTACTGCTAGTATAATTATAAACAAGAGGTCTAGATCAACCTGGCACTGACACATGCACGTATTCTTGCACATGAGTTAACGCACATAACGAGATTCTCAATTGCAAAGGATAATTTTGGTTAAAACTACATTTTAATTTTTTTTAATATAAAACGGCAATTTTATTAGCACGAGTTCAAAGGATAAAAGTGTATATAGTCGATGTACATTTACTGAAAGGGGGTTTGTATGTGATTTTGAGTGTTTTAAGCTTTAATTCTTTACAGCAGCTGCAACTACGATTGATCGTGAGTTTGAGAGTCACTGCCTTAAATTCTATGCTTACTGGAATCACATAAAAAACAGTGGTACTCAGCCGTATGTATTTTGTAAAGCGGTGGAGGCAGTTAAAAGAGAGTCACTGGCTGAGTCTTATAGAGACTCAAAAGAAAATTACTCACTGAACTTTTCTCAATTTAATGAAGAAATTTTGTCAGTCTTTTTTTCACAGGAAGCGTTTTATTCAGCGAGGAACGTGCTGGCTTATGCTTTGCTAGATAAGGGAACAGAGTAAATGGTAAATAACTTGTGACTGCATTTTTTTTGAAGGCAGCATATCATATGTGTAAGATTAATTAAATGTAAGAAGGATAATTACTTAGATTTTTGACTAACTGAAAATTCGATACGTTTGCTAACGATTTTTCTGTTACAGTACCTAAGTGCTAATATTAAAGGTTATTTAAGCTATGTTATTAGGTCATGACGAACGAATTTAATAGAAAAATTCAATTGGATTTTCAAATTATTTGTGTAAATTAATCTAAAGTTAGTGTAATGATCGACAGCGTTCATTTACAAAATCCGTTTACGTCTTTGATCAGTAGATGTCGCTAGTTGCATAATCTACTCGAAAATTGTTGAACGTTGATTGGCGAAGCAAGAAGAGTAGCCGAACAAGGCATCAAGTGGAATAGACATAGAAAGTGAATGTAACCTCAAAATCAGGAGGATTGTCTCAAAAGAGTAGTTTTTTTCATCTCATTCGTAAACGTTAAAATTCGCGCTTGCGATAATAAATGTTCCTGACGACACGATAGCGCGGGAGATTCATTATGCAGCGTGGAAGATTCCACACATGAATTGTCAGAAAAAAAAAACGCTTTCGGTTTGGAGAACCCATCGTTTACGTTAATATAATGGGGTGTACAAAGAGAGGAAGTGCGATGAACTAGTTATGCTTCCATCGACTGGTTACTTTAAAACGATAAATTGTCCGTTTTACGACAACGGTTTTTGCGAAAGACCCTACTGCCACTTTAAACATCCACGACGAGGTAATTCTTCCTTTTTATGACTTTTTCGAATATCGATTCAATTATTCTCCCTAGTAACCTCACATTCGAGAACAAAAGATTCGGCAGATCATGATTTTTGTATATAAACGATGATTATTTCTTGTGTTTTACTTTTCAAGTATTAAAAGTCACGTGGAGGAATGTGTTGGATATATTTGATACTGATATATGAGTACAAATTATTTTGGAGTTCCATTAGCCTTTGATGTGTCAATTGGTAGTCACTGGAGTGTGATAAATGAACTGTTTTGTTTTATTGTTGTATATTGTGTTACAGTTGTTAGTAAACAACTTATTTTTCCATTTTGATATTGAAGTAGTAGAGCTTACTATGTATTACCTTTTATGTAAGAATTAGTTTTAACTTTGGGTAATATAAATATTAGATAATAATTATGTCATAGTTTCTTTTTATCACAGGATATTGAGTTCAATGTGTACAATACATTGGTATAGATATGTATAATAATTTATGAGGCTAAAAAAATTAAATTATCTTATAAACATAAAATATGCTGTATTGTAGAAGACTCAATAAATCATTGTTACAGAAGATGCAGCAAATGCGGCAGTGGCGGTTGGGACGACAACAGGCCAGGCAGTGGCATCTGGGGATTCTGGAGGAACCACCTCCGTGGCACCTTCCAACTCTGACATGCTACAGAAATTGGTATCTGAAGCTGTGAAGAAAGTTCTTGCCCATCAGGAAGTTACAGATTCGCATAAGATATCTGATAATATTGTGTCCCAAGTAGTAGAAGAGCTAAAACCATCACTGGGTGGTGGGGCGTTGACATCGGTAACATCTGCTGCCGTGGAAAGTACTGCAAGCAATATTGTCAGCACAGATGCTATTGTCCAACCTCCTGTAACAAAACCAGCACCATGTGTATACAACCCTACACCCATAGCAGAGTTGAAAAAGCGTCACATTCCAGTGGCCTCATATATGCCTACTAGAGATAGTAAAGTGGCAGTGAAACGTAAAGCATCTCCAGAAGGCATGAAACCTTGGCTTGGTTTCTTACGAAATCCTTCAGCTACTCAGGACAGCTCATCAACTCCTGGATATTCCAGTGTTAAAGTCGAAGAAGTAACATACAAGCCTACAGCCATTGTCAGTACCAGCACTGAAACACCTATGACTCAGAGTTATGTACCAACAATCAAATCGGATTCGTCATCATCAAACTCCTACGAGGACAGCAATTCGAATGATTATATGTCAAAGATTAAGGAAGGTTATTATCCAAAGTCAAAGAAAAGACGGGAAGAGTATGTCCCAAAAAAATTGAAAGCTCCTTTAAAAACCGTTCAGCACCTCGACGAAACCGCTCTCGATGACTTCGCCTTGGAATTCGACATGATCGCAGACATTCTGACGTCCGAGAAGCCAACCATTAATACCGTAGCAAGCGAGGACTCACACGAATATAATCTGGACCTGGAACCAAAATTCTCGGACGATGAGATGCCCGAGGAAGATGTTGAGATTCTAACCAAAGAAACATATAAACTAGGAGCTAATAGTAAGGACAATGCGAATCACCAGGAAGAGAAGGAGAAAGAGAATATAGTCTGCACTAAGGCACAACCTAACGATAGCGATATAACTGAATCAAGGAATGGTAATCAGCATAGTTATAAATCAAATACCCAGGTCACAGATAAGATCGACAATAGAGATGCTCCTGACAAATCAACTAAGGATTCCCGTAGCTCGAAATCCAGTGCCCTTACGGGACCCGATAAGGATAATAAACATAAGGGTAGATCTGAAAAGAAGAGGTCGACGAAGGATGATTCGAGAAAAGAATCAGATAAGGAAAAAAAAGATCACCGACATGGTAATAGTATTAATAGTAGTAGTAAGGATCGTGACAAGGACAGGAAGAGCAGTAACGGATCGAGTAAATCCATTAAGGATAAGCATAGTAAGTACAGCTCCAGTACTAGCGGCAGACATCGTTCGTCATCCTCAAGTAAGGACGACAGAAACAAAAGTAAGAGTTCTCGTAGTAGCAAGGAAAGCTCACGCAGTAGTAAGGACAGTTCGAAATCAAGCAGACACAAGTCTTCTAATTCAAAAGAATGTAACAGTAGGCATCATCATAAGTCCTCTAGTCGTGATCTTGAGAGAAACAAGTCAAGCATTAGTAGTTCCAAAAAGGATACTCATTCTTCAGAGAAGCATTCACGACCCAGTCGTACTTCAAGCACTTCTGAGAAGAAATCTAGTAAGAAACAAAAAGAAGATAGCAGTGAAAGAAGTAGTGACCATGAAGAAGATGTTCTTGCCAGTCCAATTAGAAGTATACACTCTTACTCCGAAGAAGAAATAATTGAGGTATCTGAATCAGATGATGACATCGAGGAAGAGTGCTTGAAAATATTCCAGGTAGAACTGTGATTCATAGGAAAAGAGTTTAGAAAATTTTAGTGTATAAACCATCACTTTAAGTTCTTATTATTATGTTACTTTATTTCTATTTATACTCTGTGTCCAGGAATATGAAGTGTCCGACCATCCAAAGGAAGTGACAGTGAAACAACCACCAAAAAGAGAAGTGGAGGAGATCGAAGACTCTGGTCGTAAGAGAGTAGCACATCCATCTGCAGGTACAACAACAACACGACAAGTTGTTTCGAGTCAACCGCCTAAGAAACTACCCAATCCACAACAGCGAATGTATGAAAGATGGAGACTAATGAAAGAAGCTGCTGCAACAAAAGCTGCAGAGAAAGTTGTGAACATTAAGGAGTCTCAGACAAGTCCAGTATCAAATGTTGCAGCAACATCGGTACAGACTCCATTTAAAAAGGCACAGCCTGTAGAATATAATTCTAACGACACACAACTCAATGGGAACAGTAAGTTTTGATTTGGTAAATGTTAATATGTGATTTTTAATACGTTTATTTTTTAGGTCGAATCAGAATTGCACATGTTCCTTACGCAATGTCACTTACTATGGCAAAGAAAAAGGTGACGACAGCCAACATTCCTAAGGCAGGAGACACAAAAACGGCAGCTCAAACTTCCAAAGGATCTCGCGTAGCACACATTCCTCAAGTCGTAAGTATTGCTTTTGTTCCATACCATAGATCGGTACATTTTGTTAGTGTTAAAAAAAGTTCGGAGTATTGCTTTGTTACTGCTTCCAAAATTTGTTTCATCTAATCATATGCTTGAGCAATAACTGATAATGGGTTAACAATATCATAAAATTTTTAATTCGCTTCTCGCCATGATTCCAATTCGTTTGCGGGTTGTTTTTGACGTAAAACTATTTTAGATGTAAAAACTCGACGGGTTCCTCTTTGTTCTCTACGCAGCGCAGTTGTACCAATTCTATAATTTATACCTACGTATAAATAACTAATTAAAAACGACTTTCAAACTTTTGATAGAGCATAATCTGAATTTTATTAATAAATTTTTTATTAAGATTTCGCTTTTTACTATACTTTGTGTGTCTTTAGGTACCCCAACTGGTTCGACCTGAGCCATTGCAAGTAGCAACGCAGAAATTCCCATTAAATGTGCGTCAGTACTATGTGAACTTGATGCAGGATATATGTGTGCAAATTTATACCAACGCGGATGATGCAGCCCAGCGTGCGCTTCAGGAAGAATTCGGGTGTCACGAACGTTGCAAGGCTGTTTCCGTTTACAAAAATTCGTGTATGCTAGCTGCGCACAGATTACGGAAGGAGCTAGACCAAGGATCTTCTGGAGATGGTGCTGGATCCTATACCAGTGGTATTGTTTCGCACGAAACTGTACTTGCAGGAAAATCGAAGGGTTCCTGGAGTGTTGTTAAATCCAAGAAAGCTACTATGAATTTCAAAGGTAGTGCTTTGTATACTGTGCTTTCTAAGTGGGTTATGAGTGAGCAACAATTGAGGGATAATGGATTTCCAAGACCTCACCCTGATGGTGTTAAGGTAAAAGAGTGTTTCTTTTCTTGCAAGCAATTTTCATGCAAACAAAGTATCTTTATCATTACAATATTTTAGGGTCATGCCAAGGTGTATGTTATAAATACTCGTAATCAGGCAATCTTATCGAAGGTACCTAACGAAAGATTCTGTAGTCGATGTGGACAAACTTATATGGTGGATAAGCAAGGACACGCTGTACAGCAACAAAACTGTATATATCACTGGGGACGAAAATTTACAATAAGAGGAGAAGGTCGCTATAGTTGTTGCCAACAATATGGTTCAGCAACTGGTTGTTGCGATGCGAAGACACATGTTTGGGATCACGTTGACTATGAAAACCTTCGAGGTTATGTCAAAACATTGCCAAAAGGTATTTTTCAATGTTTAGTTCTACTTAACACTAAACCTACCATCGAGCGGTCATTTGACCGTTTTAAAGCCAAAAATACGTTTATAAAAAATTGTCGGTAGGTTTAGTGTTAATTATATTTGATTTGTAGACAGCATCAATTACATTATATGCTTTAACATTTTATCGATTTTGTTTAAGATGTTCCTGCCGAAGAACAAGGTGTTTATGCCCTTGATTGTGAGATGTGTTATACAACACAAGGTTTAGAATTGACAAGAGTTACTGTTATAAATGATGAATGTCACGTTATTTATGAGACGTTAGTTATGCCAGATAACCCAATTATTGACCATAATACAAGGTAAGACCCTAACCTTTACCTACCTGTCAATTATGTACTCTTAACTTATATTCATATACGATCCTCTAATTACTACTACTTTCTATTCCATGACTTTTCAGATTCTCAGGGATTACAGAAGAAAATATGAAGGGTGTGACCACGACTCTACGCGATGTTCAAGCTACACTTTTGACAATGTTTTCCGAAAAAACAATACTTGTTGGTCATAGTCTTGAAAGTGATTTCAAAGCATTGAAACTAATACACGACACGGTAGTCGATACCAGTGTGATGTTTCCACACAAAAATGGCCTTCCTCAAAAAAGAGCACTGAGGAATCTTTGTTCCGAGTATCTTCGTAAAATTATTCAAAATGACAGTAAGAGTTTTTTCATTCTTTAATTTTGAAAAACAATGATAATTATTAATTAAAAGTATTGTTTCAGTCGCTGGCCATGACAGTAATGAGGATGCAGTGGCATGTATGGAATTGGTCCTCTGGAAAGTAAAAGAAGAAGCGAAATTGTAGTGGAGTCCATTCATTCAGCAGGAAACTTGAACTGATAAAATAATCAGAAACGAAATCATCATCCGATCGAGCAGTACGCCAACGTACATATTGCTATGTACTTTGTCTTACGACGTGCTGTAGAATATTGTATGACTGTACTGCCGTATGTAATATAGCCTTCATGTATAAATATTGTAATATATGCAATTTATCGTCGTACGAACATTTTTGCAGGATAAACTAACGCACTTTGCGTCTCATAATGAATTGAATAGATTATACATATAGAAGTTAATCATGGATAGGAGGAAATAATAAGTGGGCGCAATTCAATTTAATTCTTGTCAGAGAGAAAAAGCGAATGCGCAAGGCCGATCACAGATTTATGTGACGCTGAGAAAAATACTGAACGTCAGAAATTATGACCTCATGTTATTTCACTTAATATTTCGATTAATATTTTTGTACTTCGTTACCTATTTATATTTTAGATCATTAAATACTGACGAGATAAGTTATGGACTGTTTGCTCACTGGAATTATCCGTAAATCCTTGATTATCCACTTGAACCAATAACTTTAGCTTACAAATATCTATAAAGTTAAACTTGTTTGATTTTAAACTCCTTTTGATTAAATATCAATAAAGTAAGGAAGGAAAATATAAAACGAATACCGTGTATTACTTGTAATCCACGTACAGTACATTGTTGTGCGCGTTACAGAAGTGCAGAGGTTCCTTTATATTAAAATGAACATTATTCTTATAACTTTTATTGTTTTGTTTTTCTTAAGATTATGATCATTATAAATTATCTGATTAGTTTTATTTTACGAATATTATGTTATATTTTATTGGTTTTTTTTTTAATTTACGGCGCGCGTACAAGAACTAGACAAACAGCTAGCATCTGCCGGAGTTATCTGAAACTAACTAAATGTACTTCCCCCGAAAATATATCTTTTATCGGTATTGAAATTTATTGTGCGTCATCTTTGAGAATTTTTGCTTTTCGAGAACAATCATAGTCCAGAAAGACCGCCACGAAGTTAGCGCCAAAAAATAAAAATTATATGTTTATAATGCCTAAGAAATTGCTATTATTTCCTAATTGCTGCTACTATACAATGTTTGATAAATAATACGACGAATCACGTTCATTTTCTCAAACGTTGCACGATTGGTTCATTTTCTCTAAATTCTGCATTTTGGAACGTAGTCAGCTGTCATAGATGTGTTCACAATCGAACTAAGAGAAAATTAAATTTTATTTGTTATTTAAAGAGGTTTTAATAAAATAAAAATCGAATTGCGGAGCTAAGTGGAGCAAATCGAGAGAAATTAATTCATCAAGAAAATCATATGAAAATCTGTTTGGTTATTTGGAATAGCAATAAAAAAAATAGGTTTCTATTTTAAAGAATATTTGTTAATCATTGCATAGTAGCAGCGGAGAAATTAGGAAAACATAAGGAGCATTTCAGGAGCAACATTTTAGGTTTTATAGACATATAACTTTTTATTTTTTGGTGCTAACTTCTCATCGGTCGAGCGTGATCATGTTCAATCTCGGCTACGACGAGATACGCATTATCGACGACGGCGATGATCACAAAATCCTACTTCCGGACTCGCCGCTACGATGGCGTAATGCTTTTGGTATCGCCTAAAACCGTAGCGTTGTGACCTCCCTACTTATCTCTGCTAAAGCCGTAACGTTGAGCATCTCCCTACTATTTGCTTATCTCTGGTTGACGCTCCAATAATCCATTCTGATTGGTTAGTATTATTTGGTGTTGTTATTTAGGCGCATTCAGGTGTTACAGGTTAAAGTTTGAATGATGAGTGAAGTTATATTGTTGAATTTATCACGGTAATTTAATGCATTTTTAATATGCGTTGCAATTAGGTAAGAGACATTAGAGTAATTAATATTTCTTGTTTTTCTACAGTTTATGAAAATGTCTCAAAGATCAAGGAGAACTCTACGCAGTAGTCAATTTAGACAAGTTGATTCTGACTTTGATGATGATGACTCTCCACCTAAGTCACAAAAACGAAGGCGTCCTAATCATAAACAAGCAAGCCAATCTAGGCAGAGCACTACCTTGTATGATTTGGATGAAGTGCCTTCGCAAGGCTCACAAAGATCAAAAGCAATACAACTTACATCAGAAGAACTATCACATTTAGTTAGCAGTGTTATACGATACATATTTACTGTTAATCATTCTAAGACTGTCATTCAACGAAAGTACATAGTGGATAACATTCTGACAAATCACAGTAAGCACTATCAGTGTATAATGACCGAAGTGGAATCTCAATTGTTAAAGGTTTGATTTCAGTTTTATGCCTACAGTTTTTAAGTTGACATATAATTCTAATAACAATGTAATTTTATTTGCTCCAGGTTTTTGGGTATAAACTAGTACACATCAATGAGAGCAAATACATTTTAATAAACGATGTTCCTAATAGTACACCGCATCTTACATTCAGACAGAAAGAAAGATCGGAATCAGTTCTCCTACTACTTATTTTAAGTCATATAATGGCATTAGGTGATGCTTGCAAAGAAGGTTTGATTCTTTTAATTATTTATATTAATATAGAATAAAATGTATACCGATAAATATTAATAGTACGTTTTTTTTTTATCATAGACACCTTGTGGGCATTCTTACAGCAGTTAGAAATTGTTGGAAATAAATATAAAGAGCATCCATACTTCGGTGACGTCGAGACATTAGTAACAGTGGTACAAATAATTTTCTCATTATTCTAATACTATCTTTCACAAGTACCCAAATTTAATACAATAATTTACTACTCACTGCTGTTTAAATGTTACAATGTATTTTTACAGGAGTTTATGAAGCAGCACTATCTTGTGAAAGTCAGAATTAATGATTCAGACCCGCCAAAATATGAATATCGTTGGGGCATCCGAGCACAAAACGAGTTATCTAAAGACGATGTTCGAGATTTCATGTCAAAAGTAATTACAATTTTAAATAAGATAATGACAACAATAACAATTCCTATAAGAAATCTTTTTTATCTACAGATCTATGGTTGTGACTTACCATGGTCAGATATGCAATAGAATAAACTGATATAAAAGAAGCATGAAAACATTTTTCCTTTTTAAAATAATAAATTTTATACCATACAATTTACGTCCAAATTATTTTTTTTCACCAATTGTAATATAACTATGACATAATTCCTAATAAAGGATAATTTACTTCGCATAATCAAATTGTTATTCAATATAGATATTTATCCGTTACTCCCTTCCTTATTATCTGCCATGTCCAAATTAACATGCTAACAAAGCAGTTAAAGAAACACAAAATTGGTTACTGGATTAAAATCAGTGACTTCCAAATTTCTGAAATCCCCTGAAAGCAGCCATAAAACTGTCAAGTATTATTAGGCACGGGCGTGGTCTCCGACTTCACTCGAGTGTCAGGGATTTCAGAGGGTGCAAATCCTATATGGCGTTCTAGTTTATGTGGATTTACCCAGATACTTATTTCCTGAAGAACTACCGGGCGTCGCATAAAAAACCTAGCCCAAAATTGATGACACACACGTAACTTTAATATCAGATTCAAGTAGCAATAAAGAACCGTAATGAGTACAAAACAAAATATTCTATGAATTTTTTAGAAACCAGACCGGATGTAGTGTGTATATAATTAATTCTACTTGAACCCAGCGTCCCAACTGGATGGTACGGTTAGTTACGCAAGAAAACATTTCAGGGAAAATCGACAGAATTAGTTCAGTAAGCAACTTCTATAAAAAGTTCAAATTGAATTTCTTTATCTTGTACATCTTGTATATTTCTGTATTACTTTAAATGCATTTTAATCCGTAACTGCATTCACCAATACGATTCAGACTGCACCGGCCGACATCGTTGGTTCTATGTGCATATACATTATATCTATGAGTTGGTCCCGGTCACGGCGCAGCCACCAAACACTAGCTCGGTGAATCTATGTCACGCAGGGCATCGGGGGGTTGCAACCCCTAGAGCAGACTGACTCGGTTTTCCTCAGTGCACAACGAGCCACCCTCACGAGCCACCGGCATACAATTCGTCGCTCTCTGTATGAAATTGCCTATTTGCTGTACACTAATTATTTTCCAGTGCACATGTATAGAATACATACACTGCAGTGTAAATCCCGTCCTGAATATTATACAATAATAATAGAATTTTGAGCGAGAGTGAATGCTGGTGACTGTGTGATAAATCGAAAACATCTCACGCATCGCTCGAGTTATTAATCGCAAGTATTTAAAAGAATTAAATAAGAAAAATTAGAAGGTCATCCGAAGCGGTGAGCTCTAAGAAGTTTAGTTCCATAATAGAACATTTTTTATTATCGAAATAAATTTGTATAGTTAATACAAAAAAAGCTTTGATATTCAGTACGTAATTACAGTCTAAGAAAAATAAGATTTATTTCAATATTAGTCAAGACTAATTACGAAGGCCTATCAAGTACAAGAAGAAGGCCTTTGTAAACTCTGCGGGGACCAAAAAGTTCCGATCCATCCAATATCGAGTAAAACACCAAAAGTAAAATCAAACATGTTTAATCTCTATCAAAATATGAATCGGAAGGATGAGACTGAATCTAATCGTCAATCCGTGGTGACCGGACATGATCGATTCTGTCAGGAACGTCCAAAGAACCGTCGCAAGCGTCGCAGTGTCAATCGCCGTACGCAAAGCGCAATCGAGCTCGATTCCGACGCTATGATAACAGCTCGCGACGTCCTGCGTCGGGGTCGCAGCGCCAGCATAGAGGACGAGGAGAGTGAAGAGGAGAGGTCTGGTTACCAGCTGAGCAACAAGATAGACAATCTTGCAAAAATTCTTTTCAATCGTGTTTCCGCTGCCCGTGGATGTAGAGAACAGCATGAGATGAGGTAAAAATATTGAAGACCATTTCCTGCGAGCTGGAGCGTCACGACACGCTAACGGCGCCCCTAAATGAAAATAATGTGACAACAATGAGCTTGAAACAAGAGCGCCGAGCATAATAGGCGGTTGCACCTTGCTACCAAGAATTGTCAATATCCACTCTTCATTGTCCTTAGCCGTCTTTTGTCTAACTGAAGTGGCGCCATTATTATTTTCTGCACATACGTATACTCGGCGCGAAACAGTCGAGTCTCTCGTTATATACATGGAGAACAGATTAATTAATATTATATAATATATTGAGACCAGGATGATTATACCTTTTGAGGATGATTTATTGTTGGGAGTTGAAGTAGCAAATGACAGCTATGCTTTTTCTTGCGTCATAAGCAATGCTAGGTTTAGATATCTTTGTGTACTTTGTATAAGAGTGTTGCTGTTGTTATTCCTTATTGTCTCTGGAGAATGAAAACATTAGCGACCATCTTTGGTACCATTCAGTCGCCTAAGCGAACAACAAATACTGCGACTGTTGAAGGTTCTCTACAAATTTAAAACTAGTTTTAATCGCTTGTGATATTAAAATATGTCATTTTTTGAGTGAAAAGTGATTTTACATAGGATTGATATTGATATGTTTTAATTTTACTTAAAGTTCTCAGACAATGCAAAGCATTCGTGTTCTTTTACGCTAGAGAAGATTTGCATGACTTTTATCAAATGTTGTGTGACCAGTTGCAAAGATTAAAATGTCGATCTGCGATCTACATAGAAGTTTAAACTCTTCGGAAACAGGACAAAATTCTAGGACTGTATCAAATTTTCCAGAGCGCAGGTGATGGTATTAAATTATTAATTTCCGAGGGAACTTTTATCAAAACGATTTCATTGATTGTTGGACTAAATAAGAAAAGTATTTCTTTGATATAAAATTATTCAAACATAATCGCAATTACGTAGATTGATTTTTTTTTCTATTCTAACGGTTACATATTTTATAAAATCTTCAAAGAAACTCGGACGGACACAAAATTTTCCAATCGTGATAACAATAATATTGATGTGTTATGACCGTTTCTTATTGGATGAAACCTTTGCAGTCGTAGAGCCGCTTGGCACATTAACAACAGCAACATTCGCACGACGCGTAATCCTTGGCTCGCGAACTTGATCCGCTATTGCCGTCGGTTAAGAAGTGATTCTGGCGAATTGTCGAGCCAACAAGACCAAACAATACCAATAAATGTCGAAGCAACAGAGAGGTACACAATTCTTCGATAAAACATCACACTAAAAGCCCCCCTAAAGATACAAGTAAACAAGGAAATACCCTTCATTAAATCTACCCCATGTATAAAAATTGCCCTGCTTGCAGAAGTAGCCGTCATCAGTACACTTCATTGAGTAATGGCGCGTCCGTGTGCGATGATGTTGAAGAATATGTGGAGATGGAGAAAAGGTCTAGAGACCGTGCTCTGAGCATTTGCCAGACTTATATACAGGGTAGCTCACGATACAATCTGATAAAACAATTAAACAATGTTGGTGAGTTTATGACTATTATTATATCCATTTATAGACCATATTATCTTACCAATTGGAAATAGGAGACTGGTGTAACAGAAGTTGGATAATTTTTACAGGATCCAGAGTGGATAAGCACTGGTTTGCAGTGAGGGACACTACGTTGAAAGCGGACAGACTTATAACGCTGGTTCCATTGAATAAAAATTGCTCGCTAAGCATTTGCCCTTCGACCAAGGATATACTGAACAATCTATTCCTGGCGCTGCAGCATCCGTACATCTGTCCAGTTCTCGACCTCGAGTTCGTGGAGTTTGAGAGTCAGAATTACGTGATCTTGGTACAGCCGATTAATCAGGGCAGCTTGAAGGATCTTATATATGGGGTATAAAGAAGATTTATCTAATTATACAGTATAGAATAAATTAAAGTAATATAATACTTCGTGGTATCCGGCAGATTGAGAGGAATTGCTGGAATGAGGATTGGAGTCAAAAATATGCAACACGTGGTAAGGGTCTACCTCTGCCACAGATCCAACAAATGGGCAGACAGATTCTGGAGGCACTGATGTTCTTGAAGGAACGTGGTTTCCCTACGGTGACTCATCTGCACTCTGGCAATGTCATAGTACAAAATGGCGTAGCACGTCTTGCTGGACTTGAAAATACTCTTCTTACATTTACCAGTAGAATTCATCCTGTGGTTACTTCTCGTCTGTCGCATACCAGCTTCATAGATACAATATGCTTTGGTGAGGATGAATATCCTTGGGATCTCTTTCATTCTTCGTTCAGCTTGTACTGTTAGACAATTAAATATTAATAATGTTTACGCAGGTCATGTTCTATTTGAAATGTGTGCGGGGTACGAATTATGCACTTTTAAACCTACCCCAGTGCATCTTTCTGATCTTGACAAATATCCACAAGTGAGAAAACTTAATTAATTCTTTGAACACAGATTAATCGCACAGTCCAAGGCATTATAATTTTAATTCTCAGGTTGTGGAACTTCTGGATTTGATCTTTGAGCAGCAGAGTTCTCGTTATCCTACTGTGGAGGAACTTCTGCTGCACGATCTATTCCGCAATATAGATCTTCGAGAAATGCGCAGTGCGCCCGTTACAGTGAGTATTTATTTTTCTCGTTACTTAATCATTGATAATTAATAATAAAATTATGTTTTAACTTTTTTTTTTAGATATTTCGTCCAACATTAACACCATCAATAATAAATCTTCTCGATGGTATCAAAAGACAGAATACCGGCAAGAGGTATCTCCTTACTTTTTTTACATGCACAGGAAACAATATTCTCTTCCTCTCTTTATCTTATGTTACCCATATTCAATTCACACAAATTTTTGTATATCACAATTCTGTCATCTTTAACGTAATCCTGTGATTCGTTTTGCATGCTAGCAGGCACAGATCGCATTCCACAAGTCATGTTTTACCAACACGCAGATGTCGTTGGTAATATTATCACTTTCTATTCATTATTTGACTCTATATATTCTTATATATTCTAAAAACACGTAGCTATCTCAAACAGTGGAAATTGTTTTATTTTTCACAGACTCGCTAGCCAAGACAGCGAAAATATGATAACTCTTAAAAGTCCAGATGCCGAGTACACCGAGAATTGCTCGCTACTCGCTCAAATATACAACGAGCTTTCAAATACTAAGTTATAAAAAGAAATGGGAACAATTTTCATCTTAATACAACGATATCGAATTCGTACATTTCGCTACTAAGTGCCAAAGATACTCTTATCAGTGACACAAAAGTAAAGAATAATGCTATACAAGGTTGTAGGTATATGATATAAGGAAGAATAAAAGTAACTAAAAGAAATACTACATATTTGTATCTTGTGCTTCACTTCTTTTTATGCAGCTACAACGAAATTTAGTTATGCATTGTTTTACCTTTCATTGTGCCGAGCAAGAATTTCTACATTAATTCTCATACATACGTAAAGCTATAGATGCTCATCGCAACATAATCACAATTTACAATAGAGCTCATCGCATGCAAGGATACTCATTTGTAAATAATTCATAAGTAAGAATCTTGGTGCGTATCAGTGATAAAAAAGAATGTGTATATTAAATATACATTAGAATGCAAAAAGATATTCAATGAGATCATAAATTTCTTTCCGCACGCTTGCTGACATAATTAATGCCAACACTGACATTCTGATTGTTTTGTAAATTTTTTATTTAGCAGATCGTTATCGGATTTTGGCATTGTAAAACATATTTACAATTACAAATATTGAATAATCGGTAATAGTATCCCATGTCGGAATCGCTCATTGTTTACTGAAATAACATGTTGCAGTCAGATCTTATACACAGATTTAAAACTAAGTAGAAAATAATACTCGGAATATCGTAGCCATATTTCAGCTCATGCGCCAAACGAAGTGAAAACGGACCTGAAAACTATATTGATAAATCTCGAGTATGGAACAATGTTTCCCGCGCAAGAGATTGGACCATTTAAAGTTTGAATGATAATTTCATTCGGAAAGTTGAAATATTCGGAGACCATTTTATATAATGTGTTTTTTTTTGTCAGTGTAACACGAAACGCGAGCTCACTTGATCATTAATCAGAAGCACATGTAATTAACATGTCGTCCATAATTTCAGAAGGGGAATTATAAGTGAAAACTGAATGATAACATTAAATATTTGTCCTTAGCGTTATAATGATGTTTCCTTGATAATTGTTTAACTAATCACTTATTTAAAAAAAAAATAGAATTACTCATGTGCCATTTATGAAGCTCCAGCTTCCAGTTCACTGGCAGGTGTATCCGGTTCCTCGTCGTTGTAAATATTTTCCGCCATTTGCCAAACTTGCATTATATTGTCCTCTGACACGGAACAGATGACCCAGGGTTCGTTTGGATTCCATGAGAAGTCGCTGATTTTAGCAGTATGACCACCGTGAATGAACTGAAGAGAATATAAAATGTTAAATTTAAACACAACAATTGGTTGATAATTATAGCAATAGCACCCAAGGTTCAGATTCTACTGTAACTCTTACCAGTAATTCAGGAGGTCCATCCTCAGCGTCCTCACTGGATTGTTCTTCGCCGATCTTACTGAGATCCCAGACGTGGAGCCGCCTGTCAGTACCACTGCTGGCCAGGATGGTCTCATTGTGTGGAGACCATTGTACTTGGAAGATCTCGTCCTTGTGGGATTCAAAGGAATGCAGTTTCAGCTTCAAGTTTCTCAGATCCCAAAGAGCGACGGTCTTATCTGCGCTACCAGTGGCCAGAATGAATTCTGAATAAGGATTGAAACTGAGACAGTTGACCTCCGCAGTGTGGGCATCAACGGTATGACTTGGTTTGCTAGTGTTGTTACATCTGTAAAAGAGATTATTGTTTTTATCAATGAATTTGTAATCTATAGATAGATTTGGTTTGAATGGAATGATTATTACCTGGTATCCCAAATCATTAATTTCTGATCATCAGCCACTGATCCAAAGAGAGATTCATGTAGTAGATGCCACGCAACATCCTCGACCACTGCTGTATGACCTGTGAAGATGGTCTTTGCATCGATTACACGATTCTCTTTTGGAGTAGCATTGATATCCCATAGACAGATTGTGTGGTCATCAGATGCACTCAATAGGTAGCCGTTCAAATTTGGATTCCAGGAGAGACCATATCCTTCTTTTTGATGACCTCGTAACCTGGTGATCAGTAACGTTTTTGTTTGTATATGATGATATGAATTAAAAGAGAAACAAAACATTTCGTCACATACCTAAGATCAGGATGACACTCGCCATTGGGATCTGGTTTGCTAGGATGTTTTGTGTAATCAAATACAAGTACATCGCTAGATGGTGTTTTTGTTGCAATGACACACGGATTCTGTGGCATATATCGTGCTCTGTTAACTTCACCCTCATGATTGATTTTTATTTCTATTTCTATCTTCCCACTAACAGAACCAAAACCACCAAACTCTCCCTTCTCATTGTCATAATGAGAGGCATCAAATTGAGCATCCTCATTAGGCAGCTGAACACTTGCGATAAGTAGATGATTCTGTTCGTCAGAAGTATGAGTTCCCAGAATGAGACGATGCACAGAGTAATCTTTACCCTCTGGTCTTGTTACATCTGGTAACCATTGAGCAGTCAGCGAAGGCCACTCCAAAGCATGAGTCATCACAAGGTCATACAAGAATGGAGTATTTTTCTTCCATATCTTGTACTCCTCATTGATGACGCGCTCTTCGACCGCATCATCAAAGGTCTCTGAAAAAAAATAAAAGGTCACCAATCAATCCCTAATACTCAATACAACCAAACAATACATATATGCATATTCTACCAACGATAATTCTAACATCTCATAACTGTATAATTATGGCAACAAAATCAGCACTAACAATACTTATTAATAATATCTAACATAAATCCCTCCAATAACGTATTGAAATCTTTTAAAAAATGCCGCCACCATTTAATTGCATATCGCCACAACGGATAACCTGCTCATACGCGTAAAAGCTGCACATACATAAATTAATTAGCCGACCAAATAATCACAAAGCTTTCTCTAAATTAATTATTCTACAAGTAACTTTCACAATAGTAAATTTTACACTGAGATACGACCTACGCGACTCCCGATTCTTCTTGTGTTCATCGAAATGAATCTGTACGGATTATACGGGAATCTAAATGAGAGGACAAGACGTTATTTATTACCGCAACGGTAGCGGCGTTACTAAGGATCCTTCATTCGGGCTAACTAAACAGAAATAACAGACATTTATTGAAATATGGATTTAATTCTCACCTCCGTCCTTGTCACCCATTTAAACTTGACGAAAACTCCAACTCCGTAAGCCGTTCTCAAGCTGTCGCCAAACAGTCTGCCCGCCAAAAAGACACGAGCTCTACGAAACCGGGAACCGTCAGAAAACCGGCTACACAATACTTTAGGACGAATTTTCATTTAGCGTATATAGCTGCGATCACTTCGTTTGTAGATATTCAAACTGTGCGTTGAAAATTGTTATTCGCGGCTGAGATAAATGCAGTGCGCTACATGACCCAGAGCGTGTAATAAGAAGAAAACCCTGAATATTGTTTAATTAGATATTGAAGATTTCTTTTGAAATATATTCAAAAGGATATGAGATTCTTAAAATAACAGATTTGTTTTTATAATTATTTGCACAGTTACAAGGAAACAATATAGATGGACTATATTGGTAATATAATAATGGTTTGATTAATATATGTTATCCTAGGATATATCCCGTAATTGAACCACGGTTGCAGATATTAATTTTAGCCAATTGCATCGATTGATTTCGTCTGCTGACAAAAAATCAATCGATGTCATTGGCTAAAATTTAATAACCACACTACGGTTCAAATACGGAATATACCCTTAATAAAATAAATGCAAGGCAGATATTCAATTGCGATGGACAAAATAAATTTGAAAAGTTCTGAGTCATTTAAATATTATATATTTTTAACCATTTGGGGTCTACCACTTGTGCTTCAGAAACGCTTATTTACTCGTTCTTAATTAATTATAAAAAATGTAATGTTGACCAGGTAATTTGTAATAAAGAGGAAAGGGATGATCATATACTTTTTCTAGTTTTTCGACAATTGCTACTTCATGCGTGATACATATTTCTTGAAATAGTCATGGCTGACACAGCAGCTAAAAGGGAAGCAAGAAGAAGACGAATATTGGAAAATTCAGAGAGCCGTTTTCAGCGAATTTCTGGCAAAAAAAATCATAATACTTCTGATGGTAAATGAAATGTAATTCATCTATTTGAGACACGCATGTTTCATCAATTACGTTTATAAACATTACTAACCTATCATTGAGTTCACTATATTTGTATTCCAAATTTGTTTTTATAATACGGATCAGATTTTAAGACAGTATTTCATTAATGTGTGTCTGTAGTAATTGTTTATAACTATTTTATATTGAAAAACAGTACTTCTAGCTTTAACATATTAAAATTAATATTATTCATTAAGGAATAATAAATGATACTGATTATTTTGTTAATTATAGAAAATGTAGTTTTAAAAACATCAGTTGATGATCTTTATGTCGACGACACCTGGCCAAATACATCCAAAAGTAATATTAATAGCTTATCGGTAAATGAAGCTGTAATCGAAAAGGAATGTAGCAGTGCATTCATAGATGGCAAGTATCAAATTTCTTAAGTTCATGAAACTCTTATATAAATATTAAATTAAAGATTTTAATATAAATTAGTTTCTCTTATCTTCTACAGATGTAAATTCTGAGATAGAAAATGAAAATTACAATGATGAGCTAATCTTCAATGCAGATGATCAAGATGTGCTTAGATCAAGACCACGTGCGTCACACACACGCTATTCATCCCCTTACAAAAATGAAAATGCAAATCTGCAAAATTTAATATCACAACGATTAGGTCCTGAAAAGCAAACTGACTCAATTAAAGCATCAACATTAGAGTTCAACGGTAACATAAATTTTCCAAACAACTCTGTACCAGCATCTTCTAACGCATCATCGGGGTATCTGGCGTTAACAAGTCGTACAATGTACATAGTACTTGCAGCTATAGTGAATATCCTCCTTGCTCTCAACTTAGATCATCTCTTTGGAACTGTAAGATTATGACCTCTCTTAATTACTCGATTAATACTTTAACAGTCTTCTATCAACAATTGAATATTACAATATTTCAGGCTATTGTAATACCGTACATCGTAGTGACTTTGGGACGTTTATGCACAACTGAAAAATTCCATGAAAATCAGGACGGTAGTTTACTAGTAGCTGCACTAATTCTATGCAACGTTAAACCCGACCTTATATACAGAGTGAAGGGCATTTTGACAATTTTTAGTAGAATCCTAGAAGATTTTGCCTTATACATCTTCAGCTTCGTATTGATACACTGCGCGATATCTCGGCACTGCAACGACCTGGACACGTTACTTCCATCAACAGAGGCATTGAATGAAGTACAAGTAAACAACCAAAACAGCGACGCTTGGTAATAGAATACAACAGCTATGTATTTTATGAAAATAATTTTGCTTATTAAACAATTATTTAAAGCGGTGCCTGCAAGCTTATCGACGTATAATACAAAGCATATAACTCGATGCGCTTATACACGTTTTTTAAATAAATAGATTATACCATGCCCGAAGTAGAAACGAAAAGGGCAAAAAGGAAGCAAAAAGAAATATAGCCTTAACATATTTAAAAACTACGAAACGTCATTTGTATAACGAACGAAATTGATTTCCAGTATAATGGAAAATATTGCCAAATTTGGGTTACATTAAAAATATATTTATTTGCGTAAAATCCAATGAAGCTTCATGAAAATTAAAACACTGCTTGAGGCTGTGCATTCCATTTTAATTGTTGAATGTAACACGTTCACCGTTTCATTCATGTGTTACATCCATCAATACACTGTAATCACAAATATGCTGATCTGCACATCAGGACATACGTAGGAATACCAAAAAATTGTATCAGGTTACAGCCTACCGAGAAATAGTAACAATTCTTTTTGCACGTACAACTATTGTGCATACCTGATTATTATCGACGGTTATTTATAAGAGTGTGTTTGTTTTTCTATTTACTCTGAATAATCAATCAATATCAATTTCTCTTGTCTGTTGCTTGTCCTATTTTACATGCCGTATGTGCCATGCCATAAGACAACTAACGATGGCGAAATTTGTAAGGTGTTAAGGGCTTATCTATCGATAGAACATAAATATCTTAAGAACGTTTATGCATTTTCTTGAATCAACTATAATCATTTAATAATCGGATAAAATCTATGTTTTTTACAGCTAAAGTAGTTAGAGGTTGATGTGATTTTTATTTTTTATTATTCTTACGTTTCATAAAGATAACTCTTATATATAAACAAATGCCTGGTCAATTTAGTTTTGAATTGCATTGCTCATAGTAAAGTGTAAATTACATGCATTTAAGAAGAAGCTGATTTGGCTTGTAACCAAAATGATAGTAAGAAATCAAAGTAGAACTGTAAAATGTCCTTCGACAAGAATAAATGTATTTTTCCATAAAGAACTCGTACATTGTGTTGAATTCTTTGAGCAATGATAGATAATGATCATAAATTTGTTTTGGATGATGAAAATATACTATAAAAAAACAAAATGAAAAATTAAAGCATTATATATTAGTCAATTGGGCTGATAAATTAAAATCAGTAACTAGACAACAATAGAGTAAGATATGAAAGTCTACATATATATAATGCGATATATTATTTATTATTTATTACATGATTACTAGATTTTTCTAGTGCTCTGATTCACATTCAGGAAAGAGGAAATACTGCAACAGCTTATTATGTATTCGATTATTTTATAAAACTAGAATATGATAACCACATATGGCTCATTATCAAAACTTAAATAAATTAAAGGTTTGCGCTTCCTTATAATCATTGCGAATTTGATTTTACAGAATTTGCACTCACACAATGCTATAGAGATTCTGTGCCTGAAAATTTGTATATCCTAAAAATATTTGCGTATGTTAATATGTATATACATATATTACAGAAGGGCATGTTGTGAAATGCATTAAAATAATGACACTCAAGTGTTATCAGCCAGAACAGTTATATGACTTAACGTGACATGAATTTCGCATTCTATTAAATCATTCGCACTAATTAAACTATTCACTTAAAAAATATTCGATGAACTTTTTATACGTGAACGGTATAGTATGCATTCTCGCTAGATCGGTTTGTCCATCCGTGGCAAAGCATGTCTATAATAAAAAATAATGATATGTTATTACATTTTTTTAGATAAGGGTTTGACAAAGATCATCGACATTACTTGTATGTAACCAGGAAGCAGTACCAAGCAGGAAGATAATATATAACAATAGAGACAAGAAAACGTATAAATGAATATTGTAAACATATTATATAAAAAATAAAAAAAGGGTATTCTGTGACATATACGTACTTAATTGTTCAAAGGATATACATAAGTATAGTGCGTTAAGGTTTACTAAATGAAAGTAAAATGATGAGTATATTATTGATGTTTTAATTAAAACATAAAACTAAATTACTGATACATAAGACTCCAGTAACATAAGGCCGTTATAATAAAAACAGAGATACCGACGTATACATACTCTTCTGGTACTTCGTCACAGGTATTTTGCTTTTTTGAATTTGACTTTGAGCGTGTATCCAAGTCAACCATGTTATTCTCGTTATGTGCTAAAAGATTATCCTTAAATGTCTTTGTTTCGTTCAAACTGGTTGACGATTCGATAATATCGGACTTTGTTTTATGTAACGAAAGTATCTGCGATGTATGGTCATGATTAATTTTTGAAAGAGAATCAGATTTTTTCACATGCGTTATCAACCTCTTGTTGCTATTTCCGGTGCTCTTCATTGGCAAGTCCGATGAAATATTAATAATCTCCATGTATTCTTTATCTTTCTGAATGATTGATTTCTCAGGCAATGTATTCATCTGAGACACATTCCTTTTATTTGTGGATGTCATTGGTGTATTATCAGTATGGGAACATGAACTTTGAACTTTATGGTAGGTATCTGGAACGTTACCCGTGCCCCAGCCCAAGGTGTTGTTATCCGATAGGGATTCCGGGGGGCTCAAAACTTCAAGATCGTCATAGACGGTTGAGTGGGTGGGGCACCCGATTTCCTATTTATATGTTTGAGGGATGTTTAAGGTAGAAGAATTTCTCACAACATCAGGGTATCCTAACTTTATCATTTTCTTTTCCCACTCAATAATAGCCACTTTATACTCCTGTAGATCCTTCATAAATTCCTCACGTAATTCTACCTTTTTACTCTCTGGCAATGCATTGTATTCTTGTTTTACACTGTTTAAAAAATCCTGCAATACCAATTTATAATTATATACCATTTATTATCAATTGAATACTTTCTTTTAAAATAATACTTACTTTGTAGCTTATCTTCGTCTTGTCGTATTCATGTTTCCTGCTTTGAATGTATCGCAAAAATGAAGACATTGGCTTTTTTGGCTTTCCAAACGATGCGTTTTTCTGTAGACGTAAATAATTGTTTGTAATGAAATACTTATAGGATTATAATTATTAGATAAATATTATATGTTATACAATATTACTTGGCGATCTTTTGATTTCTCCTTGGAAATTTTTTTCTGTTCTTTTGCTAACTTGATTTTTAACTTTTGCTCTGGAGTGATTGACTTTTTGTACTCTGAAAAACTCTTTGCATAAAGAAGCATCTCCTGATCATACTGCTTTTGCATCATGTCCTTTTGCATAGGATCAAACGTTGCCCAACCCTCAGATAACAATTTGGTAAGTTCAGTCAATTTTAACTCAGGATGCTCCAGTTTTGCTGTAGGTCTTTTCATTTCAAGATATCTAAAAAATGGTGGAAGTGGTTTCTTTGGACGTGGTGGGAGACCAATTTCTTCTTCTGTCATTTTCCCCTTTGCGGATAAACATCTGTTGTAACTTGTTACACATATCCTGAAGAATTAAATCATTTATTAATTATAACAATAATTCTTAAATTAATATATAAACTTTGAAACAAGTCTTTATCGATACATAATAATCATACAAATTGGTACTGAAGAATTACATTAAATATTCTTTACCCTGACAATTACAATAATCGAAATGCTTTAGTAATTAAAATAAAAATTCCAATTTTGAAGATTCTGTTATTTCTTAAATCAAGCCCAAAGCAGAGAATTCTAACCTCTTGCTAAACGCTATTAACAATAGTGATGAATTTAGTTGAAATATCATTTAGTTTTAATTTATCTATACGCAGAACGAATATGAGTAGAAGTACAATTATTTTACCTTGGTGATAGAAAATTGCGGTAATTTCCAATAACATTGCTAAGGCCAAAAGATCCTCTAAATACCGCCATGTTATACTTTCATTAATACTTGCATGTGCTCAGGAAGAAGTTACTAGCCAACCTGATACATTTTTCATATTAGCTGAACATTTTTTGTGTTATATCGTGAGTATGACAAAAATGTTGACTTCATTGTTGAAAATCAACACTACTATCAATCCTTGTGTATCAGCTTTCCAGCAAAAGAATTAAAAGTTATACACTCTTGTATTAAACACTGCATTTATTTCAATGATGTCATACGTGTACAGTTATTTCAAGTTAGAAGTATGCATACATTAGAAATGCGTACTAATGACAGAATGGTTACGTAATAAACGTTTTAAGATGAATCATAAAAATTAAAATAAATTTGAACGTTTACATTCCTTATTAAAGTTATTATTATTGCATTATCTCACACAATATAATTATTATACAATATGCTTATATGATATAGTATATAATAAAACGATATCACGAGTGTGTTAGAATTAAAAATCAAATGCATCTCTTGATAAAGCGATCGTAAGCCTTATGAAGCACCCTCAGTTGCTACTTCGGTATTTGTGTCCCTGTACAAGGGACCCTCTTTAATGAACTGTTTCATTCTTTGAATAGTGTGTGCATCAAAAATATCTGCTACTGATTGTGATAAGGTTTTGACGACTTCATATTTTGCTTCCTTACACTCCTTAAATGCTTCTACATTTCTATCCAGCAGAAATTCTATGAGACCTGGTTGGACCGCAATATATTCTTGTCCCCAAGCTTGCGACGCAATAACAGCTAACACTTCCAAACTTGCTTGTCGAATATCAGCAAAAGGTTGTTTGCAGAGACTCACGATCATATCCAGAGGATTGTCTTTTAGTGAATCGAACCATGATTTTGTTAAAGATAATATCCTGTTGTCCTGTTCTTCCCTCTTTACTTGTAAAATTAGGGCAAGATTATTTAAACCACGAATTCGTATCTCGGTCGGCATTCGCTGAATTACTTCAGCAACTCTCTTCAAAGCATTGAATATTGGTTCTCCCAAAGTTTGTAGTGCATACTTTCCTTCTACAGTAGACGCAACATGACCTAATGTATCCAGAGCACCAGATAATATTGTAGGATCATCACTTTCCAGAACTTCAAAGAGAGCGGAAACAACTGTTGGATAATTTGAGAAAATTTCATTGGGTCTGACACAAGCAACGTTACCAAAAAATTTCATTAATCCTGGAATCAAAATTGTGGATAGCGGATTCTCGTTGGCACGTTCAATTTTCTCAGAAAGCTTGCAGAGAATATCTTGATGTTCTAGAAAATCAAGTCCCTCTGGTGTCAGGGCCAAATCTGTCATTATTTCCAGTGCATTTAATTGCAGAAGAATGTCATCATTTTCCAAAACAGTTATCAGACTGCTTAAAAACCCAGAATTTATTGATGCCTCAAGACCTTCCTTTGAAGATTTTGATATATTTACCACAGTTTCATATATTCGGAAGCTAATTGTGTCATTCTTAGAAAGCATTCTTGCAAACATTCTCATTATTGGACCAGCATAGAAAACTTTTAAGCCCTCATTACTAGAACCAATCTCTTTCAACACATCCATTGCTAATTTAGCCACTGCGATATCCTCATCTGCAACTTTGTCAACAATAACCATTAGCAAATCTGTATCAGAAATTAAACTGTGTATGTTCTCAGGTTTGCTGGCAATTCGTAATAATTCACGCAGTATGAGTATTTTCACTGTAGATTGTTGTAGAGACATGGATGACTTCATTTCATCTGAATATCGTCGGTGAATCCTACCAGGCTCCGTTGCATCAAATAATGTGTCGAGTACGTCGCAAGCTTGCATCATGATTTCTCTATAAATATAAAAATATAACCTTCGTGCTGTCCATTTTTACGAATTAATAGTTCAAATTCATACTAATCATTAAATACATTTCAATTAAGTTATCAAATAATAAAATACAGCATTGTCATCTTACTTGTCATTTGAGGTTAACTCGGAGAAAATTAGACTTAAATCAAGATCAGTAGCGACCTGTTTTAATTCCTCAGACGTAAAACTTGTCAATTTTATTTTAATTTCTGCAAGGTTATCCTTTTTTGCCTCAGCATCAGTAAGTGATTCTAGAAGTATAAATTTTTCACGAAACCACTCCATCATTGTTGCACTTGTTGATGGCTTAAATTCGTTTGACGCGCCGGGTAACAACAATGCGTGCGCAGCCTAATGGTTTCTTTTTCTGGTAGTAGAGTTTGATAGTCCATCGTTTGCAAGAAAAACGAGAAAAACCACATGCTATGCGTATTGTCCATTCTAGTCACAATCATGATGTACTACTGGTGTAAACCCACGCATAGACCGTGGTGCAACTGTCTGCATACTCTGATTGGTTAAAATGTGTCTGACCGTTTCAACCAATCACCGCACTGCTATACAAGTAATGTTGCATGCACGAGTTTGCCATAGGGTGACAACAATGTATTGTTTATAGATTTCTATTGAGTCATTTTGAAAAGCCATGAAAGCTGACGTCATATAGGCGTCCATGCCTATGTTCCGATATAAACTTACAATATTATGACTGTGTTCCTGTTTACCCACTAAAGAATCATTGGAAAGTATAGTCTGGTTGCTCGTAAAAATAATTTATGACAACAATTGCTGACTTACGACTATTATGTAATTATAGAAATGCCTAAAACCTGGCTTATTACGTGTCTTGAAAAAGCTGATTATGGACAAGAAGCAAGGAAACGACAGCTAACTTCACATCGTACATCGATTTGGCTCTTCTGAAAAAACTATTGACTACTAAACGTTTTTACAAGACTATCAAACACTATCAAACGATTATCAAATGATTGGAAGTAAAAAAAGTTTGCAATATAGTCTAATTCAACGGACACATCGATCGAGGAATCGATTGTATCGTATCGATTAGGATCCTTCATTCGCATATAGTTTTTCTCATTTTTCTTGCAAACGATGGACTATCAAACAAACGATTATCAAATGATTGGAAGTAAAAAAAGTTTGCAATATAGTCTAATTCAACGGACACATCGATCGAGGAATCGATTGTATCGTATCGATTAGGATCCTTCATTCGCATATAGTTTTTCTCATTTTTCTTGCAAACGATGGACTATCAAACGTTTTTATTAATTAATTCGCAACTATCAAACGATTTTGCATCGACTGAGTTCCAGAAAAACAAAATCCGGTTTGAAACAGAAAAGTGCCGGCCAACTCCACACCAGATTTTGATTTTCTGAAAACACTAATGACTATCAAAAGTTTTTACAAGACTATCAAACACTATCGAACGACTATCAAACGATTGGAATAAAAAAAAGTTTAAAAAATAAAAGTTGGCCAGCCAACTTCACGCAGGTCATACGCACTGCTTGATCCCAGCGTAAACTTTTTCAGAGACTGTACAGTGTGTGATAGAGACAGTTTGCTACTCATCTGTGTCCTTGCTATCTCTCTCTGCGCGGCCCCCACTACTGCTGTTCGGATTTCAGTATGGTTAGAGTTCAATGGGGGAACCCCAATATGCCACCACAAGTCTAACGAAATGCGCAGGGGGCGGCCGTAGCCCAGTGGATGGGGTAGCGGATTCACGACCGAAAGGTTGGAGGTTCGCGCCCAGCTTCCAGCGGTATTCACCAATGGGTTTTCATATGAAAACTTAAGTGAGTATTTATACGGATTTCGCCCAACACTGTTCGGATTCGGTGTATAAACTTTGTAGGTCCCCTCACGCTGAGTTGAATAAGGCCCGTCTCGCAAGGTACATCGCCATCTATTATCGAACTTCCAACCTTGATTATTAGGACCAGTTACTGGCACATGTCCCCCATTGGGGATACAGCCATAAGGAAAAGGAAGGAAGGATCGAACTTCCAACCTTGATTATAGTGAGTATTTATACGGATTTCGCCCAACACTGTTCGGATTCGGTGTATAAACTTTGTAGGTCCCCTCACGCTGAGTTGAATAAGGCCCGTCTCGCAAGGTACATCGCCATCTATTATCGAACTTCCAACCTTGATTATTAGGACCAGTTACTGGCACATGTCCCCCATTGGGGATACAGCCATAAGGAAAAGGAAGGAAGGAAGTCTAACGAAAAGGAAGTGTCAAAATCCGGGATACTTCAAATGTGTTAACGCGTAAAAGCAATTATTTCTGTTTATGAAGTAAAAATCATATGACCTTACTCCATTTTAATTGTTACTTTCTCCAATTTAATAAATCGTACAATCAATTTAATAGAGAAAAACGAATAGTCAATCCATTTTACATTTGACCAGAGGTGTATCTCTTTGCTACTTGCTTCCTTTCATGCGTGTTCTATGTATTATAGGAGCTGTATTGTATCTTTCTTGGAGCATACATTTTTCCGAACTATAGAGGTAAATACTGCATTGCTTCTATCGAATATACTAAATTCGTTGGTCGTTGAGCCTGCTGGACAGTTCTATGAATATTTTAAAAATGCTTTAAAGTATTATTCGATTATTCTTTAGGAAAGTAACAATTAATATGACTGCTCTCGTTCTACGGCGAAGTCATATCGCTCTATTCTCTTTTACCTTATGGCGTGTTCCAGTATTCCCTTCTTCAGGACGTAAATTACAGGCGTACATTTGTTACGAATAATCTGATTATGCATTGTATTGAAGTACTGCCTTACATTTAAGATTCTTCTTATTTTCATGTATGAATGTTTAACACTTATACGTATAGCTCATTACAAGTTGTCTGTCATATATTTAGTATAGCATGAAAACTGTTGAGTTAGTAATGATGGTATGTTATTTGGAATACATATGAATATGTCTTTTTAGATTTACCTACGGAAAAATGTCTGAAACTATTAATGAGCCTGAGCCTGAGGTTCATTCGTGCGATATTCCAGAATTACGTTTGTCACGTTACCTTTACATTGGTAAAGAATATCTTAACTATCAATCTGGAAACTGGTTTGCTCACAATTATTATGAAGTTAATAAAGTGCCATCTATAATAGAATTGGCTATGTCAAAGAAAAAACATGAATATGTAGTGGAATTAATACAAAAGGTATTCAATTTTTAAGTTTCTTCAAAATGGCTGTAATTAAATAAGCAGATTGAAATAAAATATTTATGTTTGCAGGCATTTCAGAGTAACCTGGTACCAAATCCTGAGACATTGGTATTTGCATTGGCTGTGTGTGTTAAGCAGGACAAGTGTGAATCTCTACGAACTAAAGCATATAATCTAGTATCATACATTTGCGCAAAACCACAACACTTTTTTCTTTTTATTAAATTTGTATCTGAATTGAGTAAAACAGAACTAAAAAAAAGTGGTGGCTGGGGTCACGGTTTAAAAAACGCTGTATGTAAATGGTACACAAAAACAAATTCTTTAGACCTTGCTGAGAAAGTGACACAATACAGAGGCAAATATGGTTGGACACATAAAGATATTATTAAACTATCCCATATCAGGCCAACGACGGCCGTTGGTAAATTTGCTATTTTATTATGAAACCATACACCTTATGTATTAGATAAACTTTTTATATTCGTGTAATGTTTACCAGGATTCAATTTTATTCTAAAGTACATAATGTATGGCTTAGAAACAGCCAAGAAAGAAGCTAGTTGCCAAACAAAAAATAAAGTCCCAACGTAAGTTCCTTTATTCCATACCATACACTAGATTTATACTAGGTAATTGGTATCAATATTATTACTATATTGCAGATTTACCTGCGTGCAAAGTATCTTGGAATATATTGAAGATGTTGAAGCTTTTAAGCACTGTGAAGATGAACATTGTGCAGCTGCCCTTATAGAAAAACAAAAATTGCAGCTAGAGCATGTACCAAGTCATCTAATAAAATCTGAAGAGGCATGTATAACATAAGGGAAACTTATTTCACAGAGAATGTAAACCCTAACAATCATTAATAATTCAGGTTTGGAATTCATTGATACCATTAATGGATCTTTCCACGCTTCTGAATAACTTACAAAGAATTCATAACATGAAGATGCTCAAACCCAATTCTCTGACAGTTGCAAAGATCATCGATGAGATTACGAACGAGGAAAACATTAAGAAAGCCAAAATTCATCCTATTGCAGTTCTAATCGCACTGCGGAACTATGAAAGTTCTGGAAGGTGAGCATAAGTAACTCAGAAAGTGTGAATATCAGCTCTTTCTCAATACAGAGAAAAATCATATGTCTCGTAAATAATCGTATTACTAAAAATTATATTTGTACGAAGGCCTTTGTCCTATGAAAAGCGAAAAGTTCGCGAAGAGGCAAAGAAGCCACTTCCACCACCACCGAAACCAAATCAGACAATTGTTGAAGCCTTAAACAAAATGCTGAATCTCTCATGGGCGGTAAGAAATCTTACTCTCTTATTTGCAATCCACGTTTTCCTATGTATTCACAATATTTATATTTCACTTAATGTGCTTTATATTTCATAGAATGTTAATAATTCGACCAAACGCTATATGATTACGATAAACGTAAGTAAGTCCATGCTGGAGAACAAAACATGGCATAATGGGAACATCAATCCTGTGGAGGCAGGTTGCATAATTGCCCTGTCCCTCTCGCGTTCCTCTCCTTCTGTGGTTATAGCGACATACAATAACAACACTGTCCAAGAAGTAGATATTCCAAAAACTGCCACACTGCCCGACGTCATGAAACTGTTAGTAGAAGCGCAACATGGTAACGTGCGACTGAGCTCACCGATAACGTGGGCGATGTCGCAGAAGAGAGAAATCGACGTTTTTATCAATGTAGTAGAACAAATTGATCCGAAAGTCGAACCTCAAGAATCTTATAATAGTCGAAACGCCATTGAAGATTACAGAAATGAGATGTCCATCTCTAATGCAAAGTGAGTGTCTCTTATATCTAATAATTCTTTTTAAAAACTTACCGTTCCTTCTACATTATATTTACATTGCAACCATTTTCTTTTTCTCTTAGATTAATTAATTGCGCGATGTGCTCGCCAAAGGTACCGCGACATAAGCATGAAGATCCGAATATCCTGACAACCTGTGGATTCGACATCGGCGTTCCTATGGTCATCGAAGCCTTCGTCGAGTCCCTATTTTAATTGGATCATGAAATCGTGAGTGTTTTTCGCGCAATCATAATACGCAATCTTGAAAATTAGGTCACTATAAAATAGCCTTTACTGGAAAGTTGAAAGAAAAAGCACATTTGCAATTGTTTTAACAAAGTAAAAAAAAGAGCAAATAACAAAACTGACAAAAAACTTTCCTTCAGCATCGAGGAAGAAAATCGATGTATAGATTAACCATTTTTTTAACCTATGCTTTATCTTCCCATACCGGGAAGCGAGATGTGCGTTTCGTAAAAAGAAAAGAAACTAAAAGACTTTTTGAGGAATTTCAATGCGTCCGAGCCGCAGTAGCGTATAACAAATAATATAGCTAACAATTGAATCGTCAGAGAACATTTTTTTTACAAAGAATACCATATGGCCATATACATAGAATGATTTTGAATGAAAAAATAGAAAAAGTGAAAAAAATACTAATTCATGACTCCTGATAATTCGCGTGTCGACGGTACTCTGCGTACTTTAATTTTAATTTAAGAGAGCCGTCTTTATGTTCAAATAGACGGTAAAATCCATTGCGCAAGTATCAATTTTGATTGTGCAGTATAAAAAACTGTGATTGACGTGTAGCAGTATTTGATATAGTTTTTCCTCCCGGCAATATTGATAAATGCCTTCTAAAGATAACACACGCAGACACGCGTCGACAGCCGCTGATAGGATGACATATAATTATTAAATTATAAAACTGATTAATAATAGTCAAGATTATTATTATCGTAATTACTATTTACATATATTATATACACATGATATACTTATTAACTATTTACTGCATGTTCACTAGTATCTAGAGCAAGCTACATAGGGCTTCTTAATTGCTTCTGGAGCAAGAAAAAGAAAACAGAATAATCGAAGGTTTGATCCAAGACACAGTATAATATAACCGACATTCCTTCCATCGATGGGAATTCTGGTGACGGTTATAGTTAGATTAATAGTATCCTCTATCCGAAGTAGCCTAAGGTGGTGCATTTTTTAACTAATTTTAAAAGCAAACTTTAACTTAATTGCTTGCTTATTTTCACGGGATGATGGTTATTAAAGCTTTTTGCGATAACTTTTATAATATATAGACTTAAACAAAAGAAAAGTAAAAAAAAGAATCGTGAGCATTAAAACGATAACCGTTTTGAGGATCCGCGCGCCCCTGTGCGACTCACATAATAATTGAAATAAAATGAACAAAAAAAAATACGAGAACTAGGAGCCAGAGCGAGAGAAAGACAGAGAGAGAGTCAGAAAACAAAGAGAGAGAAACATAGAACGTTGAAAATTCTCACACTGTGATATGCATTTAGCCCCAAAGAGTTATAAGCTTACATTGTTTAGTATAATTTTACTGTTATATTTCATATTTGCCATATCCGAAGGGAAAACGACAAATACACTACTGACATAAATACTGTGATACAAAATGCATTGTTATTATTGAAGCTAGAGAAAAATTATAGTTAAAAAGGAGAAAAGCGAAAACGAATTGCAGGGGCGCTACCGCGGATCCGTAGGACTTGTTAATTAGTGTCGATATTCAATTAGCTAATGAACTTTTGTTGAGACGTACATCAGTATCCGATGGTATACATATATATATATAGACACTTATATACCGCGTACTTCGTTTTCTCTCGTTTCTACGCGATGCTCCTATTGTCATCGCTCTTTATTTTTTTCATTAAAAGCGTGCGACTATGGGACGAATTCTATAGAAATTATTTAGAAATGGCGCTGTTATACTTTTAAATGATTATCCATGGACCGAATACATACTCTAACTTCTCTTATTGTGTCTTTTAGTCGTTGATTAGAATTTTAATTATAACAAATGACTGCGTTTCACGCGGATGTAGCTACAATAGAGATGAGTTTTACTGACCAATGTATTATTCCGCTGGATATTTTTGTATTGCTGTAAAGTACTGAAAACTAAAGTACAGATTTTATTTCCTAATATTATTTGTCAAATGAGGCCTTTCGTGGGATCCGCATCTCGATTATAATCTTATTGGACTAATGGTATTTATCTTTCAATAATTGTTAAACGAAAATTGCTAGTTATCCTTAACGACGAAGCGTCTTCATTTATTATTTATACTTGGCCGATTATAATTTTTATTTTGATTTTTGTGCACGGATATAATTTTTTTAATATAAGTTTCGAACTGCGTTCCGTTAAAATTTGCTAGATTAATTCGCCTGCTCGAGGTCTAGATAATTATCATTCTATTTGGTGTTCGTTTGTAAGTCAATCTTTTGGAAAATATAAATAAATATTATTTTTTAATAAGATCGAGAAACAAGTAAACGAGATTTCAAGTAAAATTATTGTACTCGGTAGCAGCTATATACATATATATATTTCTTGTTCTTTTTTAGTGCAAAGCTAAACAACTATTACGCTACGTATATATTTTTAGCATAGATATGTAATGTATGTATAACAATGTAGTGTAATTGTGCAATCGGCGTGCATGGAGGCGAAAGAGCTACAGTGATTTTTATTCAATTGTGTCCAATCCCTTATTTATTAGTTCAAGTTCGACTTGCGCCCTCGTTACAAAGTCCTATTTAAATTTACTCAACCCTTATAGTCACGAAGGAAAAAGAATTACTGAAATAATTTTGTTATTCGTAAAAAGTCTTTCGACCACCAAGCACGTACGAGAGACTATGTTTATTCGTACGATAAGAGTACTAAAAGTGTTAGAACCAAGAGTAAGTAGGAAGAACGATTGCGAGAACTGTCCAAGAAAATAAAAATAACAGTACGACAAAGAATAAGAAAAAAAAAGAAGAAGAAGTAACGAACGAATCGAAAATCAAAGAGAAATATACAATACTGATATCGATACAAAATCTGAAAGAGCATTTCGAATATGATTGTGTACTTTCCGCTTTCATTATTAAGTCTTTCGAATTCCGGATGGACCGGTCTATTTATAATTGAATAAGACGTACGAAGGGGGGAGAGGGAAAAATGTTACAACAATACGTTAAATGTGTTCATACTAGTTGAAAGAAATACTGACCGTAAGGCAAACAAAATGGGTTGCGTTTAAGAGTTTTGGGGAAACGACGAGGGTTTGGGGGGGGGGAGTAAATAAAAAAAATGATGACGTTTAATATCGAATCCAATGAAAAAGTGTCATGTAAAATTTCACGTTAGATACTGAAAGAAAAATGTACGACTTCGCGTGTTATAAATTGCAATGGCGACCAATAACAGATTAATTGTACACGTGAGATAACACGTATATTATATATACTATCGTACACTCGAATCAACTCCCCTCGTATTTCGCTAGTATCCTCTCGTCCATTGTGATTTTTGAAATTGGTACATACACAAGATATATTGCATAAAAATGTTACGTGCATATTTTGCGAGGAATCAGAGGAACACAAATTTTTTAAACGAATCGAGAAGCACAAGAGTTACATATTTGTATACATATTAATAACGTAAACCGTAAATATATACTGGTACGAATAGTGTTCTATTCATATAGTTAATGATATATTATGCTAACGTGATGATGACACACAACAATACACATGTTGCACGATAACACCATATTACTTAGGATAAATGAACTTTAAGTGAAAAAAACGTTAAGAGTTCGAACGTTCAATATTGGCATATTCACCCCTGAAGGTTTGTCAGATCCCAGAGTATGGAAATGTAGAAAATGGTTAATGGGAGAGAAACTAAAAAAAATTGTGGAATTATGAAAGAACGCTCAACTAACTTGTCGCTTATTTTTTTTGCCTCGATTGGCAAAAGCCAAATGAAAAAGAGAGACATACAAAACATATGTATACATACAGAGAACCTATCGTACAAAAGTTTAGTCAAATACCTCGTAGTTGTTGTCAGTTGTAATAGTGTTTTAAGTAATTCTGATAAATGATATGGGACGATTATGCTCTTTGGTTAAGGGGGGTGAATACGCTGAGGGGATTTAACGTTTGAATTTTTGAAATCACACCATGTGTCAAGTCTGTTTATGCTGACTCAAACGAACGCCTAACCTTTCGGCCTTACTTTTTTATACGAAAAGAAAATACTGTGAGAGATTGACGGAGTGAGAGAACAAGAGTGAGAGAGAGAGAGAGAGAGAGAGAGAGAAAGCACTTTGTAAACGATGGAAAATTTTCGACAGCTTCGAAAAACGTCTCATTTATATTGTCGTTGCATTTGTTGTATTTACGAGGAAAGCACTTTGTAAACGATGGAAAGTCAAGTCTGTTTATGCTGACTCAAACGAACGCCTAACCTTTCGGCCTTACTTTTTTATACGAAAAGAAAATACTGTGAGAGATTGACGGAGTGAGAGAACAAGAGTGAGAGAGAGAGAGAGAGAGAGAGAAAGCACTTTGTAAACGATGGAAAATTTTCGACAGCTTCGAAAAACGTCTCATTTATATTGTCGTTGCATTTGTTGTATTTACGAGCAACGATGCATTTCCTGTTCTCTAATTGTAATAGTAATGTATGTAGCATTAAACATAGGTCCTAATCGAATTCCGATTTCAGGCATTATATCAGAATTATGGGCATAAATTATAGTGATTCAGGCGAATATTTTTGCTGTACACTATAATAATGAGACTTAATAAGGAATCCTTGTTCGAGGGTTGTACTAACTATAAAAAATCGTGATGAGTGTCTCTGAATTAAATTGAGTATAAAAATATTATATTTTCTTTATTTAAATTTCTGAATTGAGTCGATACAATTAAAAAAGGAATGCAATTAGGCCTGACTTTTAATATAATTATACTGTATTTTGTAATGCTTGCTGGTTATTTTTTTTCATGTACAGAGACGACGTTCGATTAGCTTTGAAATTGTACTCCCCCCGTATATGAATTACCGATAAACAATGTTTGGGATAAGAAATTTTCGAAATATTTTATCTGTGAATGGTTATCACGGCGAACCTAATTTTACAGTCAAACCCCTCAGTAGTTTACCCCAAAATAGTTTCAAAGCCCCAGTAGGCAACAACTTTTCCTTTCTAAACCCCTGCAATAATTGACTAGAGTTCCACCTCTCTACTACTATTCCCTTTAGCTCATTGCCAAACTACGCCATCTATGTTTGTGCATCTTTGAAATTGAATCACGTGATAATGTCTGACATCACGTAACCAATAATTAAAGGCTAAGGGATGTTGACTGTTGAGTTTGACTGTATTTTTGTACCTTGCGCCACGAAAAATGCATTAACTATGTCGAAATTGCTTTAAGATAAAAAATTATTTTGTTACCTCGAAGGACAATACGCGAAGAGTAATAAATACGATGTAAACTAAATTATTGATAATCTACACGTAAAATTATCATATTTCGACATAATTAATTAGCATCTTGTATCAAGTATCGTAATTACTCTTTGTCCGTTAAACAAGGTATTTTAGTAAATTTACAGTAAAAGAAAATGAATAGCGACAAAAAAGGTACGCGAACTTTGCTCTCTACAAATTAGATCCTTTTGAAAGTTTTGTGACAAAGGGACAAACACGAAATAAAAGTTAACTGGAAACTCAATACCCAAATAAATCTATCTAAATCCAATGTTTATTTTTCATTTTAATATCCAACGTGGCAATTCCACAATCCTACTTTATTACATATGATTATCAATAAGGAAGAGGATTATGATATATACATATATATACATACATATATATATATATATATATATAAATATATATATACAGTAAGAAAATTATTGAAAAATGTTTATTCTCGTGATACTGATACATACCTCTCATTCACACAATCATTCTAGGACAATTGTATTGTACACAGTACGATACAATGCTCGAGAGTCAGAGAGCAGTAAATGGTATTCTGGCCTGTTTTTTAAATATGAAGATAACTATCCATACCAAAATCTTATACTGTCTCTATTATTACATTCACACGTCAATCGCTCGTTATCTCACGCACTCTCGATGAGCTTCGCGAGTATCAATTAACGCATTCGATTATTATATTATTCATAATGAAACATATAAAACAATTATAATAAATTAACGACACCATAGAGTCTTATCCGGGAATTGAAAAAAAAAGCAAGTCCCATTCGCCGATCTCCCGTTGAACGAGAGGCGAGAATGGATCGCCGCCATTATGTGTTCTTAAGTGGTTTTTTTTTAAGAGGAGCATCGGGAGATGTTGGAAATTTCCTCGTAGCAAATACAATGAAGAATAATAATACTCAACGACGATAGCCGTTCGCGAAGCTTCGGTCGCGGGCGTTAACGTAATAATAACCTTAGAGCCGGTGGCGGTCCCCGTTGTGTTCGTCACGAACCTAACCTACAACGTATCTTATGCCGTTGTTGATCAGTCTTTTTCGTGTTTCACACGGCACCATCCCGGCGATAGTCCCAACTTTATCTTCTTCTTCGCGCGTATATTAATCCCGATAGTATTTGCCTAAGGGAAGCAATATTCAGTCTAAAGTATGTGCGAACATATGCGTTTTGCGTCCGCGCAATTAAAGTTCGTCCTTAAGATCGTCATCGTCACCTCCCGTGGGCGGTACACCACCGCCGGCACCTTGATAAAGCTTCGAAATGATTGGCTGAACGATATCAGACAATTCTTTCTTCTGCTTCTTGTACTCTTCGGGATCAGTGTCCTGGTTGTCTTCTAGCCACTTGATCTTCTCATCGATGGCTTCCTCCATCTTAGCTTTATCGGAGTCACTGACCTTGGACCCGAGTTTCTCCTTGTCGGCCAGTTGGTTCTTTAGAGAATAGGCGTACGATTCGAGCTCGTTACGAGCTTCCACACGTTCCTTGAGCTTCTTATCGTCATCGGCGAATTTCTCGGCATCCTTGATCATTCTTTCAATGTCATCAGGTGTAAGTCTGTTTTGGTCGTTGGTAATGACGATTTTCTCTCGGTTTCCGGTACCTTTGTCCTCGGCAGATACTTGGAGGATACCGTTGGCATCGATTTCAAAGGTGACTTCAATTTGTGGGATACCACGAGGTGCTGGAGGAATGCCAGTCAAATCGAATTTTCCTAGGAGATGGTTGTCTTTGGTCATGGGACGTTCACCCTCGTAGACCTGGATGGTCACGGTGTGTTGATTGTCAGAGGCAGTTGAGAAAATTTGTGATTTCTTCGTGGGAATGACGGTGTTTCTGAAAAGATAGAGGTAGTAGATGAGTATACAATGAATTAAAATAAAATTAACTAAACAATCCAGGAAGTGATAGGTACCTTGGAATAAGTTTGGTCATTACACCACCAACAGTTTCGATACCCATGGTAAGAGGATTGACGTCCAACAGTACAATGGCATCGGTATCTTGTTCTCCAGAAAGTACTCCAGCTTGAACAGCAGCTCCATAAGCCACAGCTTCATCAGGGTTAATACCTCGAGATGGTTCCTTTCCACCAAAGAATTCCTTAACCAATTGCTGGACTTTGGGAATCCTGGTAGAACCACCAACAAGTACGATTTCGTCAACATCCTTCTTGCTCATATCAGCATCCTCAAGGACCTTCTGCACAGGCTTCATGGTACTACGGAACAGGTCCATGTTCAACTCCTCGAACTTGGCACGAGTCAGGGTCTCGGAGAAGTCTTCACCCTCAAAGAAGGACTCAATTTCGATCCTGACCTGTAGCAAAATACAATTGGTTAACATACAATGTTCGAAAATATCTTGTTAGATTGTATTTCAAATAAAAAAAATATTATATTTTAAATTTTCTTAGTAATTACCTGGTGGCTAGCACTGAGTGCTCTCTTGGCCTTCTCGACTTCACGGCGGAGTTTTTGGACAGCTCTGTTGTCCTTGCGGATGTCTTTACCCTTCTTCTTTTTGTATAGTTTGATAAAGTGGTCCATTACACGTTGATCGAAGTCCTCACCACCCAAATGAGTATCACCGTTGGTAGCAACGACTTCAAAGACTCCATTGTCAATGGTGAGCAAGCTGACATCAAAAGTACCACCACCCAGATCAAAGACCAGAATATTTTTCTCTCCATCCTTCTTGTCCAAACCATAAGCAATAGCAGCAGCAGTAGGTTCATTAATGATCCTCATGACATTCAATCCAGAAATGGTACCAGCATCTTTGGTGGCCTGTAACCAAAAAAAATAGAAATTACATTAAATACATGTTACATAAAAAAAAAAAACAGAATTCATATGATATTTATCTCAAAATAATCCATTACCTGTCTCTGGGCATCGTTGAAGTAGGCAGGTACAGTAACAACAGCATGGGTAACTTTCTTGCCCAAATACGCCTCTGCAGTTTCTTTCATCTTGCCAAGAACCATAGCAGAAATTTCTTCAGGTGCAAATATCTTTTCACCTTGACTGGTGGTTACTTTGATGTGGGGTTTACTGTTCTTCTCAATGACTTTGAATGGGAAGAACTTCACGTCATGTTGTACTGTAGGGTCATTCCAGTCACGACCAATCAGACGTTTGGCATCAAAGACTGTGTTCTCAGGATTTGTCGTCAGCTGATTCTTAGCAGCATCACCAATCAAACGTTCACCATCTGCTGTAAATGCCACATAGGATGGTGTGATTCTGTTTCCTTGGTCATTGGCAATTATCTCCACACGTCCATTCTTGTAAACTCCCACGCTAGAACAAAACAACACAAATAAATTATTATTTGTAATAATTCTCTAAATAACCTACATTTAAATTCTAATTTGCACTGTTATGAATATCCATCATTCATTTTGATCACCTACCAAGAGTATGTGGTACCCAAATCAATTCCAATGACAGTGCCAATGTCCTCTTTCTCCTTCTTCTCCTCTTTGGCAGTTGCTAAGGCTGCAACCAGACCTAGTACCATAAGGGCAACAGCTCCCTTCATTTTGAATCTTTCTTCTTATATCACCTAAAGAAAAACATCAACCAATTAATAAATAAAAAATAAATTCTAAAACAGTCTTCAATGTAATACAATATTAATCAATTCTTAATTTTCCATAAAAATTATAAAATATTAAAAAAATTTTCTCAACTATATCCAAGACATTAATTCTTCAAATCTTTATCTATTCTTTTGTCTGAAAATCGCATATGAACGTCGCCTTGAACTTGCAAATTGCTCCAGCTGTCCATCCGTGGAACGTTCTAGTACATATGAGAGAACTGATAACGTATCCCGAACGTTCAGTAGATATGGAAAACAGGAATCAAAAGATAAATAATAACGAGAAAACATGTTATCATCCCACGCGATAACTACAAGACACGGAAAATCGATCGGAAGAATTGACCACGTAGTACTCCGACATGGCCGGTGGTCAGAGTCTGCATAATCGAAAAGTTCTCGAAACGTATATACGAAACATACATATTCAAAATTAATATATTTTCATTTTAACAAATTAATATGAATCGTACAGATTGGAGCATCCAACTGAAACTATACTCAATATATAGGAGCAGCCACATGAGACGCAGCGAAGTAGTGGACATTGAATTTAATAAATCCTAACTCAGGATCCATATGAGGCATTTTTCAAATAATTGGAATGTATATTAAATATTTATGATCTCGAAAACTTACCAGAACAATTGAAATATTGTAATATCACGTTCGTGAACACTGAAGCTCGGCACAATGATCCTCATAAACGTTTCAGAAGTAACTGACTGGAGACTGAATTCAGCGCTGGGATATTAACGGGAACATCTCGTCGTGGCTAACGCTGATTGGTTGGATGTTGCTAGCATGAACAGAAAGGATTAAGCTCATTGGCAATCGTATCTACAGTTGGCCTTTTTTGATTGGCCCACGTTGCGTCTCTCATTATCTTCTAGAAGTTTCGGGTACATTTTTCATTGGATAAAAAGAGCTACTGGAATACGTGGAAATTTTGGATGGTTCCATTCGGGGCGTCCGCCCCAAATAAATATAATGACGTGGAGAAATAAAATATATCTATTTTTCATATTCTCGAAGTTCACTAAACAAAATTATGCAGACTAATTCATTTTATAATACGGTCTACTAAATTGTATAACAAGACTTACTAAAATTATCATTAACTTGCATTATCCTCGATGTTCCATACTTTTCTAGACAAGCACTCTAATATAATACATTCCTGAACATGCACTCACTGAACGGAACTTCTGGAAAACGTAACGGGATTCTTACGATGACGAATAAAACACATTTCGCTGTAGTATGTAATACATTATTTATTCTTATTAGCTGTTCTACATAGCGTATTGTATATAGAAACTGTTTTCCGTAAGTCCCGAGCGTTATAAATGAATACTTTTAAATAGGAAAGTTTCATGATGTAAATGTATGTATAAACTTCAAATGTAATCTCTTATTTGTTACCGATCTCCGTTATAAAAACTTTCATCAATATATACAATTCCCATGTACAAATGATCCATGATAATTGTAAATTCATTTCAAGAAACATATAATGTATTATGCGTTATACTGTCGAAGTTCTTCCTTCACAAAAGTAAGGAATAAATGAACTTTATCAATAAATGAATCGCCAATTTTTAAATCAGTTTGTTGAGTGATTTAAAAACGTTCCAATGATTAATGAAACTATTATAGACTCCTTGAACTTTTTTCAGCATTTTAGGAAATTAAGTTCTAGCAAATGTCCACTAAATTAATATTTACATTTTGGTTTTAACATGTCTAAGATTAACGGTGTAAAATACGTTATTATACAATCAGCACCAGCTCGTCGCATAGATAGTAAAACTTCCTTCAAAACGCTTTCCAAATTTATAGCACCATTCTGAGCTCCATGGTAAAGCATTGCATATTCACCAGATACTTGATAGACAAACATTGGGTATTCGGGATGAGCGTCTTTTGTGTGTCGCACTACGTCCAAATATGCAAGACCTGGTTTTACCATAAGCATATCGGCACCTTCTTCAACATCGCGAGCCTTTAAAAGAGTAATCAAAGTTAATAAAAATTAAATTTAATTGATAAACTAGTTGTGTTAATTATGAGATACTATAGAGGAATTGATTTTTACCGCTGCTCTAGCAGCCAATCCATTACTGCCTGGTGGTAACTGATAACACTGTCTATCTCCAAATTGAGGAGCAGACTTTGAGGCATCTCTGAACGGGCCATAAAATCCTGATGCAAATTTAACGGCATATGATAGTACAGCCACTTTGTTTGATAAGCCAGCCGCAGCAAGACCACTCTTTATAGATCCTATTCTACCATCCATCATATCAGATGGTGCTATGATTTGGGCTCCTATAAATAGTGTATTAATTAACTTGAAGTGATTGTGGTTTACTTGGTCAATTATGATTATATTAATCATATATACGTATATGATAATATTTAAGATTTACCTGTTTTGGCATAAGCAACAGCAACCTCTGCAATACGCTTGATACTTTCTTTGTTGTTTATTGTACCATCACTGTTCAGAATTCCACAATGACCATGCTCAGTGTAAGCACATAGGCATACGTCACACGCAATTATTAAATGAGGAAATTCCTTCCTTAGTAAAGGTAGAACCTGAATTATAGGGTTCTTCATACTATCAGCATTAGTAGCATTCTTATCCTATGACAAATGATTTATCTTACAATTCGCAGTTTTATGAGATAACTCATAAATTATACAGAAGATTATTGATTACTTTTTCCAATTTATTTGGAACACCAAACAATAATATGGACTGCAAACCTTTTGCTATTAACGGTTCCAACAATATTTTTATTTGATTAATGCCATAGCGATGAACACCAGGCATACTGTCAATTGGATCTTTGCCATTTGGATCATCTCTACAAGAATAAATATTATAAATACCACCACATTTTCATTTAGTTTGAAAACACACTTTAAATTGGAATGAAAAGAAATGTTAGCATGTTAGCATAATTCCAAAATATAACCTTAAGGTTAATACACATACTTACAGTACAAAAATAGGGTACATAAGATTATTTGCAGTTATCTCCACATTTGGTGATTGCCATTTTCGTAATAAAGGGTGAAAAATTCCACTGTGAAGCGTGTGCTTTGCCTTCACATGTGCCATCTTAAGTCCTTTGTGCTTCAAATAATTACAAAAAACAACAATTCTATTATAAAATTCACACTAAATATAACTGTAGGTAATACTTATATGCACAGCAGTGACAAGTATACTTCAATGAATTACTGGATTATTGCAATGTCACTGTGATTATCGTTATTTTGCATAATACTCTAAATTACATAACTTCACGAATCCCATTACTTTTAGCTCTTTTTCACGTGTTGTTAGGATCCAAAGAGCCGACTCTCAATAATTTTCTATTTTTTGTATGCTTCGGGAAGTATTGATTGATTTCTTGGTAGATAAAATCAATCTTGAAAATTACATTTCGGCCAAACTCTCGTGTATGTATGTACAATGTCCAGGCTATTAATTAAAGAGGATTGGTTCTTCTACGCTAAAGAAAATGGTAGAAGATAGGGGTTGGAAAATCGCGAAAACCTAGTTTCAGATTGACGTGAGGATTAAAAATGTTTGGAAAAAATGTAGGACTATAAGGGACAGGTCACGAAACGTAACAGTATGTTTAAAACGTGCAATTATATGATCCAGCTTCGATCTGATAATAAGCTTACATAAAAAAGTAGCTACTAATATACCTAATGGTTTTCAGGATAGACCTTAAAGGTGTATGAAAGAGTAAGGCTGTCGTGAAGATATATTAAAACCTATTACCTCTATTTGTAATAATCATAAAGTTTCAAGGAACAATAATTGTGTAGTTAAAAAATTTACTGTTTGAAATATCTTGTTTTTTCATTTGTTACATGATTATTGGTACAATTCAGAACTCACTTCCAGTCCTGCAAGAATGGCTATGCTTTCTTTACATATAGCCAGATAAACAGAGAAACATTGATACTTGCAATAACTGTAGTGAGTTTTCGAGCATGTTCTACGTAACAATATTATTAGTGAAGGTTACCATTGGATATATGGTTTTGGTTACATTTTTACAGGTTTTATGAGTTTCCTTCGGTCAAAATACATTATGTAGATCTCGACATATACTTGTTTAGGCAATTATCTTAAGCAAGTTATTTAGGCAATGTGTTTTGTCATCAAAAGTTTATAAAAATATGCTCAAGAAGTCTTCAAAGTGAATTTTAAAATGATACAGTATTTCCAATTATATTAGTACTGAATATGGTATTGAGAAAAAAAACTTGTATACCATTTTCCTATTCTAAAAAGATCAAATTATATATACAGTTTTGCACTTCATATTATGTGCTTGTATAACAAACACTGTACATATGTCTTTACATATATATGTATATGTATATATAATATCGTAAAAATCAGACTTCTGTTAAATTTTGTTTGTTCTTGCTTATCCAACACGCATTCCTTGAACATCAACATCAATATTGGCTTCAGTGACTAGTTGTTCTGCAATAATGGACACTGTTGATTGACGCCTATTTGGATCCAAAATTGCATCTGAAATGATGAACTCCTATAAACCTAAAATTTTATATGAGGTAGTAGATTCATGTAACTTATACTAAAACATGAGTAACATATGCCTGAAGGTATTAATAAAAAGTTAAATGAGTCATATACAGGATACCTGAACACTCTAAATTACATTTTATATCCTTCCGTTTATTATTGTATTGAGCCATATTTAATTCTACGAGAGTTGGTCCTAATATAAAGTATCCAATACCTGCTCCCATAACGAGAGCAATATTGACATACACATTGTATGTCATAACAGCTAACATAAGAAAGTAACCAAGTGTAGTATGTATAGTAAAGTGAAACACTTCAAGGAGCCACAACAAGTAACTGGAACTGAAAAGTAATCCATGCCAAATTAATAAAAAAGATACACGCAACAAGTTCATATAATAAGTACATGAAGTTTCAATACCAATATAATCTTGTCGATCGTCCTAAATATCTCGATGAGATTTTACTCAAAAGTGATGACTTCTCATCCTGCATAGAAAGCTCATGTGGTAGAGAAGCAATAGTTTGTTTTCTCAAGAAGACCTGTAGAATTTTCATTGCCTCGTAAACTATTGCCAATGCAGTGAGTCCTAGACATATGGATAAAACACCCCATGTCGTTGTTACATTAAATTCTTTGAAAAGAAACTCATTCAAATATCCAAACCAATACCACATGTGCATCTAGAAGAAAATATTCAATTTCAAGTATATGTACAATCAATTACAATTACAAAATTGAGGTATTATACAGAGGTTATACATACCATTGTGAATTGTAAGAATGAGCTGTGGTTTTAAAACTTAGAGGGAATTTGTGACAAATAACTGATACTGATAAGCCTCATCATTTACACAAGTGTATTTCTACATTGATAATGTCCTATGATATACATTGCACCTAGCTTAACCCTGACTCTCCATCTCTTGATCTTCATACATACAATTCTGAGTTTTAAACGTTCTATATAAAACGTATGTATAAACAAAAAGGTAATTTCTAATGTTTAATAAATATTTCATTATAGTTGTGTTCACTATGTTACTACAGGTATCCATATGTCATATTACAAATGACAACAGCAAAGTGTCTCTGTTAGCTAATATCAACTTTTTTTTATTGACCGTTTGAAAGTAATGAGGACATATGACTGTACAGTAAAAAGTCTTTACCAACGCAGTATAACAAATCAGAAGAATAAGCAACAAACAGCAAAGATAAGCAAAGTTCATATTACCTGAAATATTTACAAATTCTTGATTGGCATCTCATCGAACTAATAAATGGCGACCAATTCAGGATGGAAATAATGTACGATTTGTATTGTAGTATTGTCTAAGAATAAAACACGATAATTATGTACTATAAAAATTTGTTAAAAATAGATCAAATTAAGTTTGACACCATATTGACGCCACCTAATTGCCATGGTAACGCTGGTCACATGGATCCGGTTATGAAAACTATTTAGCTCTGAATGTTGTTTAACAAAGATCATTATTTAGTAGGATTTGATGTGTATTTCTAAAACAAAATTTTTGTAAACGCTTGCAACATATTTTTATTAATAATATTAATTGCCATCACTTAAAGAATCGAGGTAAAAAATCTCTACTTTTGGTCGCGAAGGTTCCCTACTATCTGAGCATTGATAATGTTGACGAACCGCCATCTTGAATGCAAGATAAAGCTCGCACGTGCTGCGAATGAATATTCAAGCAAGCATTAAAAGTGAGTCGTCAAGTATAATAATTATTGAAGAGTATGATGAACTGAGGATGATTACTCATTGTAAAAAGGTGAATCCTACGTAATCAGAAATATTTTCTAAAGGTGGCGTGTCTACAGTGCGACACCAGTGACATCTACCCCCTTTGGGCGAGCAAGCGTGGCTAATCAAGGCACCAAAAGGTAAGCCGCAAGGGCTGTTTATTTTTGGGTTTTTGGTGGGCCGCGTGGTCCTTCGGAGGATTTTTTTTAAGTAATGCTTTTCCCGATCGACTCCAGTCGTCCGTCGTGCTTGAAAATCATTTGACGAAGCAACAATGACCACGAAAACGTAGGTGAAGCAGCGGGACTGACCGCTACGTCGGGCATCTTGCCTAGTAAAGCAAAAACTCCATTATTGTCCTTCCATATCTCGTTTCGCACTCTAATCAATTATTATATATTAAAAAGTATCACGAATATACGGTGGATACTCTATATTGTTATATATATATATATATTGAAATATTCAGTAAGACAGCAAGCGCGCGCACGCATTCACCCCTGCTGTGTGGTCACATCTGTACATAAACCCCTCCTTATATACATAGACTCACGCGTCACACGCGCGTGCTACACCACTCCCGTGCGGCAGCTATTTCACTGAAAAATAATAGCAGCTCTCTGATTCCTTCTCGTCGACAGAAAAATGAGCAGTTCCGAGGAGGTGTCCTGGATTTCGTGGTTCTGTGGCCTCAGAGGCAACGAATTTTTCTGCGAGGTAAGTTTTCCTCATGACTACAATTCTGGTTAGGTTGATTTCCTGCTTCTTTACTCAATGCTTTTATTAAGTTTTGCTACTCCGTTTTCCTTCGGCTGTACGCATTTCAACAATTCTTCAATGATTTGCTTGTTTTGAGGAACATAAAATTAGTGAAGAGATGAACTATGAATATATTGTACCATTTAGAACTTGGGAGGTTTTTACTTTGTGTGTTGTTTAATATGGGAAAAGTGTTTTTAGAATTGATTTCTTTCTGCAGGTTGACGAGGATTATATCCAGGACAAGTTTAACTTGACAGGATTAAATGAGCAGGTGCCACATTATCGTCAAGCGCTCGACATGATCCTTGATCTGGAGCCGGGTATGTCAATTATAATATGTATATGTCATGTATCATGTCTTTTTTATTTCATGTTTTATGTTATTTTATATTATAATCGATTGTTTCATTTTAATAGTGTTTAGTGGAAATTGATTTTAATTGACAATTTTTGTTTTCCTCCGTTAGATGATGACTTGGATGATAATCCCAATCAGTCGGATCTGATTGAGCAGGCTGCCGAGATGTTGTATGGCCTTATTCACGCTCGCTACATACTTACCAATCGGGGAATCGCTCAAATGATTGAAAAATATCAAGCAGGCGATTTTGGTCATTGTCCACGTGTCTATTGTGAGTCTCAGCCCATGCTGCCACTGGGATTGAGTGACATTCCTGGGGAGGCAATGGTTAAAAGTTATTGTCCAAAATGTATGGATGTCTACACACCCAAAAGTTCACGTCACCATCACACCGATGGCGCATATTTTGGTACTGGTTTTCCACATATGCTCTTCATGGTTCATCCCGAATATCGACCAAAACGTGCAGCAAATCAATTCGTACCTAGGTAAGTTGGTTAATCAAATTGCTATAAAAATTCATTCCTTATTTATTAATTGTCACCATTTTCCACACTGCATCCTGATATTTCCGTGTTATTTCTCAATCCAGCAGCTCTAAAATGAAAGAAAAGACACAATGTATTTCAATGCTATAAAATTGTGAATATTGCAGGTTATATGGATTCAAAATTCATCCGTTAGCCTATCAGATTCAACAACAATCGGCGTCGACGTTCAAGGCGCCAATGCGAACCCTCAACTATAATAACGGAAAGCGCTAAGACCATTATTCGAAATTGCCTAGAGAAGTTCTTTTCATTACACTCGTAATACAAATCCTAATTTCGCCCCTAAGAAATAAAATATTATTTTTTATATATATCTCTCTCACTCTTACACTTTCTCACTTTCTCTCAATCTATCCATCTGACTGTCTCTCTTTGACTCTTACTATTTCACTCACTCACTCACACCCTACACACATATAAATATATACATAATATATCTCTCACTTCTTTGTGTGAACATGAAGATCATGGAGAGAGTCGATTGTTCGGACATTGGACGCATAACTTTCTCAGGGTCCGTCCGCAACGATTAGGACGTATAAACAGAGAGAAAATGAAAGCGGTATATTATTTTAATTAATCATCATCGATGAGTGTCCCGAAAAGAATCAGTTTCTACGTCGAACGACCTGTTCACATTCTCGTTCGAACGTTTACTGAGTCCCGACCATTTAATTAAATAAAATAAACTACAGAGAGAATGGAGAAATTGTATACACCAGCTCGGGCAACATTACAGATAATACAGATTGACACATAATTACACACAACACCTAGGCTTAATTATTTAGGATATAAGGGGAAAGATGAAAACTATAAGTAGGATGTATTTGTCTGTACGAGTCCCATGCACCATCTTGATCGCTGCCAGGTAGTTCCTAATAATGAGCGAGAGATAGGAAAAGCTCTCTCGTATGAGGGCCGTTTAATTATTTGCGGCTGATAAGGAAGCGCAAGCTAGCTGGTCGTGTCCAGATTGATTTTATAAGTCAAGGGATGGTGTATAAAAAAATATGTTTGTTATGCGTCATTTAATTTAAATCGTCGAATAAAACATTAATGTCAAATGTGAGATAACGAGGACGGCACGTTGTTAATGTCAAAATCACGTTACTGAGCTAATGCATTGCGTAGCTTCAAATAAATCTGATGAATTTGAATATGCGACGGGAGGTACGCCTGTTAATTGAATTAGAGATTAAAATTTATATCCCACCGTTTATTGTTTAGCAAATTTTTTCATATTGTCCTATTTACAGGCGCTTTATAGATGACTTTTCTTTTGGCAAAAATGCCAATCGTTTGGTCTCATTAGACGAGTTTCTTAGTATGCAATTAACGTTGTTGAGAGATTTGCATTAAATTATGCAATAGTTTTGTCTCTTTTTGTTTCTAGTATGTATTAAATTACAGATTTTACTGTCATAACCGGGTGATCTTCTGATTACGAATATCAAAGCTACTTTCCATTAGATTGTACGCCTTATTTTACTCGTAATTTAAATGAATGAATTCGAAAATAAGTATTGTAAATCGAGTTGATCTATGAGTAAAGTATGACTTATTTAAAGGTACTAAAGTTTTTTTTTTATTGTTCCACATATGTTACTTTCTCTTAAAAAAAGAATGTTGCTCATTCGGAGTAATTTGGAAACATTTTGATTATCGGAGTAGGAACAAAAAAATTGTCGATCGATTGAAACGCCCGATAAAATAGACAGTACTCAATTTCCCCATACAATAGTTATATACCTCTGTCGGTAAATCATAGAGGTTACAGAATGCAAAATGTCCCTAGACACGTAGAATATCGGCCAATACGATTGCTGCTTGGGATTTAAATTTGGATACAACTGGCAGAGAACCGGTACAAAATCCAAATCAAATTGTTTACCACATAGTACAACGGTAAAACATTTATTAAGAAAAATGTATACTCATTTGTAGTAAGTGTGATCTTATGCAGTTGAATTATGGTGAAAGTGGTGTTCTGTAATATTTAATTTTTGTTTGAAGTACTTTAGATTCCTGAGGTGTAAGATACTGGGAATATTTGACAGGTGTACGACGATGCTCTTTGATCAACAAAGACGTACCAAAACGTATTATCTTATTGCGAATGAAGTATACATGCTGTTGTGAATATTTGAATAGTTGCCAGTGCTTTTAGTTGGATTAGGAAATCGGCATATGTGTTATTTAATATATCGGTGAACTTCCATAACAGGAGAAAACGTCGGATATGTAAGTCAGGAGGAGACGCTTTCACTAGTTATTCAAAATAAACTTATAATGGAGGAGCAACCCGTGAGCGATAGGAGTAGCCTGAATAGTAGTGGAGGATCTTACAATTTTATAAATGCTCGTCCAAAGACACAGCCTGTTCGAGTAAGTGTTTTGGAACATCTCTGGGAGGGCGATGACGAGGACAGTGAGCATAAATCACTGGGATCAGACAATGAGTCGGATAATGATGATATCCAGCCATTACCACGAGATGATTCTGTTTGTGACACTGCTGATGGACCATCGCAGGGCGATGAGATACCGGCAGGATGTTCTAAAAGTACATTGACCTGTACTACATCTATTATACCATCATCTTCGCATATACCTTCTACTGAGACTCATATCAAGTTACGTACTTCTTCTTCTAAGAATGAATTAGTACCTGCTTCTAGCGCTTTAAAGCAAGAAAGTACAAATAAAGAAATGTGTAGCTTTTCACAAGATTGGAGGCATAAGGGACGCTTGTCAGATAATTTTTTGAAGGAGAAATCATTGGAGGACTACAGAAATTCCTTGCTTCATAACGATAGAATGTCTCAAGTAAATATATCATATTCTAGACATTCTGGTAGCTGGGAGGATCATAATAAAATAGATGCACAAAAAGTGACATCGCTCAATTTAATTAATAATCCAGTGCCAACAGTGAAACATGATATATCAAAAAAAGAGATGAATTTAAATGAATATCCAAAGTCTACAAGGGAAGATCAAGCATCTCTACCCTTATCATTAAGGACTTCTATAAGAGATCATGCATTGCATGCTGTATATCATTCAGAGGATCATCATGAATTTCCAAGACCATTTAGTGCTACTACAGAAACCATTCCTGTGAGTCAGGGTGGTAGTGCTACTTCTGTAAACATCTTATCCAATAAAATTGCTGTTCACAATACTCCAGCCTATCTCTGCAATGAAGCACACTTAAAAAAAAGAGACTCTTTTAACAATATTCAATCTGAAGCAATAGCATCATCATCTAGTACAGCATTCCCTGATTTAGTGCAATCTCACTCAGTCATAGACACTCCAATGAAACATCCTCCTGTAACTGAGTCCAGATCTGGTTTTTGTCATCGCAACATCTTTCAAACTCCACAAACTAAGACACAAAGTGATTTTCCAAAAAATACTGTGCAAACACCAGCCACTATTCTTTCACATTGGTCGCAATATAACATGCTTCAAACTTCAACTGAAAGTAGATCTCTGAAATCAAAGGAATCTGTTCAGACACTGGGGCAGCACAGTCTCTTACCACATAATAAAAGAGTCGATACATCAAAGTAAGTAGTTTTACTGTTACAATTCATTTCTTTCATTTATATTACTATGTTATATTTACAGATACTTTAGCATGGAAGAAAAATCCGTTAGGAGGCCATTAGCAGAGACTATGTACTCCAGTCAGCATTGTAGCAATGTAGAAAACTTACCTACGTATGCTGCAGATACCATTCCTCCAATGCCATTACAGGATCCTAAATTCTCAAAGATCAAAGAATCTCCTTACATGTACCAAGCCAATTCCAAACTAAAAGAGTCCACAGCTGGGGATTCTCAACGTGTATCAAAGATAGACACTACAGATACAAACTTTGTGCAATCTGTCATCAGCGGAAGTCAGGATCTTAAGGAAAACTTACAATCCAATCTTATAGAATCCGTGCGAAATAATAAGAAATCTATGCCTGTATCCGTCACAGAAACTAAATCTGTAGCAGCTGTTACCTCTGCTACCAATGTAAATATCGAGGAATTGTCTAACAATCCTGGCACTGTAGTTGCAGCAGTTCCAGATACTAAGGAAATTCCTAGGAAGTATTCAGCACCTGAGAATAAACAGTCAGAACCAGGAAAAATAGTAGAAAAAATGTCAAGTATACAATGTTCGATAATGTCAAATCCTCCACAAAGAATGAAGACTTTTGGTAAAACAATGAAAGTAAAGGAGAAAGAATACCTAATCCTGGGTAAACTGGGCCAGGGTATGTGTGGGGAGGTCCTACGAGTTCAGGACTTATCCTCTGGCGAATTACGAGCTATAAAATGTGTTAATCTAAATAAAATCGATAAGGAGACTGCAGAAGGTTGTTTGGAGGAGATTTCTATGTTGCACAAATTGCAGGCACCTTGTGTTATCAGAATGTTCGACTAGTAGGTGATTTTTTCTTTTAAATACCAAGTACGGCGATGGTTTCTTCCTATATCGTATCATTTAATTTTTTCTTCAGCGAAGTTCAATATCATATGGTTTACGTGGTGATGGAAATGGGCGACACTGATCTTAGTAGACTGTTGAAGTCAATGTCTGAGGAAAAAAGGTTGCCGCTTACAATGATCCTTTATTACTGGACCGAAATGCTAACCGCTGTGAAGCATATACACGATAACAGTTAATTATAACTTTAATAAATAACTTATTGTATATACTATGTTTTAATACAAAGTTTTTATGTAAGAATTGTTTGGCAGGTGTAATACACTCGGATTTAAAGCCAGCTAACTTTCTGTTAGTAAGGGGACGTCTTAAGCTGATTGATTTCGGTATCGCTTCTAGTATGAATGCCGAGATGACTTCTGTGGTGAAGAATTCTACCATAGGTACATTGAACTATATAAGTCCTGAAGCTCTTATGGACATTGGAGGAAATGGAGATTCTCCGAATAAAAATGTGAAATATAAGGTAAAATATGAAAAAAATTAATACAATAAACAATCTATGTGTTGTATGATATAGATATTTTAATTAAATATCTTTAATTGACAGATAAATTATAAATCAGATGTCTGGTCCTTGGGCTGTATTCTCTACAGTTTAGTATACGGACAGACACCGTTCCAACACATTCGTTCTCAATGGGCGAAAGTGACTGCAATTACAAATCCAAAGTTGAAAATTGTGTTTCCACCACCAACAGCATCTAATAATTTGGAGGCTACACCACCAGTCTTGATCGACGTGATGCGTCGGTGTCTTCAGCATGATCCTAAAGCCAGGCCAACTGTTGCTCAACTCCTCCAGATCTCCTACGTGGTGACAAAGTCGAATATCTCGCCAGCAATAGAAATCCCTTCGAATATCCTTGTAAAAATTAAACATGCCTTGTTGGAGGATGAGTGGCGGCTATTCACGGAGGTCAGTTTACAATGTATTATGTAGCTATATTTTCGATTAATCAGAATCAATAAATTGTCTTCTGTCTACAGATATTAGAAAAGAGGCGACAACCGTGACGTATATCATGCTACATGTGCATAGGAACTTTTTACATAAGAAACTTATCTCCACCAATTAAAAATGGTATGAGAGGGTAATTGTATGTACAAAAAATTATTCTTACGGTTAAGTGTAAAGTGCAAGAGGAGTAATTGAAGGTATGGTGAGTGTCCTTCATCGGATAAAGATCGAAACAAAGGAAGAAGGAAATAATGCAAAATATTCGTGTCTAATAGATTACGGTGATGAACAAATTAAATCCAGACTATGGGGTAGTCTTGACTTGTAACATTAACAATACGTATATTTAATGTTTCAGTTGATTAGTCTCGCGTTAATTTACTTACCACTTTTGAGAAAGAAAAAAAAACATTTACGACTGGCAATAGAAACCATGGAGTGATTGTCAAATGAAATAAGAAAGAGAAGTTTTATTATTAAATTAAAATAAAATTTTATTATCTCACATCTTTCTCTTCCGCTTAATAGTCTCTCACTATAAAAGAACTCAATGTTACTTCTTTTTCTCACATTTAGTTTGATTGGTCACTGTACGAGACAATAACTTTTAAGCTTACATCCATGACTTTAATACCAAACTAACGAATCCCAGTACTCGATAGTTATATTAGTCACGCTCGTATAGTCATTTGAAAAACGTAACGTTAAATAATATAAAAGTATCGTCACGAATACATTCGTAAATGTGAATATTCTTTTTCTCAGAGTACAAATATTTAACTTGCCAATTCCTGTGGCAAGTGTGCATACATCCTAACTTCGTTCTCGCTCATTTTTTCATCCATTACTTTCATTCTTATTTGAACTTCTCTTCCATGTTTTTTTTACACTCATCTTTTTACATTTCACAACCTGTCCTCAAGATCCTATTCATAACGCGTACCATGTTGCACTGATTCGCGATTTTTATACATCTGGTGTGCATCTTCTTCAAGAGTCGACCATCTTCCTAGCAGGTTATAGATCAGTGAGAGCTAGTGAGCTGCCAGTATTGCAATAATCGTTCGCCCTTTGGCAAGGCCATAGAAGTGGGCCTTTCAAAGGTCAACATGATTTCCTTGACTCTGTTTTTTAATTCACGCTCGAAAATATGTCCGCCGGTGCGCTCCAGGGCAGCGGCCATGTCGTATTCAACGGAGGGTAGTGGTTCACGTATGAAACGTGCTGCAGTAGCAACACTGGGTAACACATGCCATTGAAGAGCTCTGATCTCCCAGAGACTGCTCATCAGAGCGTTGCTTTGTAAGGGATCACGTTCTTCCATTAGAAATGGATCGGCAGCACTGCTCGTATCTTCTGCGTGGACCTCGCCGCCTTGAGGATGGTCTATCAGTCGTTTCAATCCTGGATGTCTTAGGAGAAGGTTGCCAATAAATAAAAGAATTATGAGGATGTCCTCTGCTGGTGCTACTAGGGTTAGACGGGCCAGCCGTTTTGCGAATGCTGCCACCAGAGCTTCTGGTATATGTCTGTTAAAGAATATTTAAGTAGTTAGGTTATGGTTTAATTTGTGAATTTGCAAATACGATATGCATACGGTTTCTGAACTTACGTAGAGCTTAGAAACAGGTCGGATAGGTAAAACAAACGAGCCTTGTATTTCGTGTGGAATATCTCTGGCTCGAACATGGAATACAATTTGGTGAAGATATTTGGATATTCCAGGTTGTGCTGGGTTACTAGTAGGAATACTCCTTGTAGCGCTAGGAGACCAATTGGTCCGTCGGCATCTAATGAATCCATAAGGAAGTCTGTTAGAAGCACTGGTTTCTCTAAGTGTGGCATTACTCTTTCTAATAGGACGACCAGGAGCTGTTTATGTAGCTGAGGTGTTAACTCCCAATGCATTACGCATGCCCAAGTTTTATTTAAGGCTCGTCTTGCCGACGTTTGGTCCCATGTAAATCCACCAGTAGCTAAGAGATTGAAATAATGATAATTTTGATGATGAATAATAGAGTAGAGCGATGGGTTAGAAATTCATTTACCTTGCTGGGGACCACAAAGTAACTCTGAATTCTTTGTTGCTTCACCTAATAAATAAATATAATTATAATCGTAATTTAATATTGATGGTATTAAAGGAAGGTTACTGTACCTTGAGCATCTTTCGGCAGTGGCAGTTTGTCTATGAGCTCTAGTAGATTCTTGATGTAAATTTCATGTGGCTGCCTCTTAGGTGTAAGGGATGGAAGACACTTCCATGTAAAGTAAAGTGCATCTAAATAATTAGCAAGTTCTTGAAATCTAGCAATTAGATGGACATTATCCTTTTCTGGTGAAAGCAAACTCATCAGGATATGTTTCAGTCTATGTAGAGGGAAGTAATATTCTAGATCTCCAGTTGGTTCCAATGGTGCCTTGCCTTCCTCTGCCATCAGTTTTATGGCAGTGGACAAGGCCTGCAATTGTACTCCTGAACGACAGCTTTCTATTGATGCTAGTATTTTTGCCCATACTTCCTCGAAACAATTTCTTAACCAGCTGATGTATCGAGATTCTGCACTTGGCTCTGTACCATTCAGCGTAATTAAAATGAAACAGAATAAACAAAAACCACATTATAACATTCTCTTTTCTTCCTCGTGTGCACTGTATTCATAAATCGACAACTCCTATTTGTACCCAAAGAATAAGTCTCTGTGTCTCATAATATAGTATCACAAAGCCAACATCTACTGGGTCCTACAGTAGTCTTTTTATTAAGAACATGTTAATAAACAAATAAATTTCGTTTCACGAAATCATGCTTACCACCTATAGTTAGAGTTATCGTACGTTCCTGGTACATGTCACCCCGTTTGAGGACCTCCAGGAAAATCGTCTCTAGGGTAAGTATGCATGATATGCCGGAGTCCTGCTGCTATTGAGAGGGGAAAAAAGAAGTGGACGCCGACATAACCTTGGGCTAAAACTTAATGCAGCACATATCGGTAGCTTCATGAATTTTTACTTACATCCCACTGTGCGATGATATCCACCAGGTTGTTGGCATGTTTCCTCGAAGTCAAGAACTCCTGGGCTTTTTGTCTAAGGTATTTTGTTGGAATTTTCTGGATCGAGGAAACTGCTGCACCCGACATGGCTGCTCACGGGAATGGCACAAACGAAAGGACACCCGCGAAGCTACGTCACCTTACCCGGTACGTTAGCCGAGAAAATTTGTGCTTTTCCCGTTTAAATCCTAACGGAAAATCAATAGGTCCTCTTCTACGTGGTCGTTGACTCCCAGTGCATTATTCTTTGCTATCTGTTTACCGTTAAACTTTACAATTACAACTGCAGTTTTGAACCTCGTTTCACGTCCGGCTTCTAAGCTTCATTGAACTAGGGTGTCAACAGAAGATTTGTATGGATTTTCATTTACGGTGCTTTTATAAAGTAGTAGAACAGTGCTGCCGTGGATATCTTATTTTTAAATCTATTGACTAATTGAATGGATAATTAATTCTAATTAAGTATGCAATAAATTAACAAGGGTGTGTTACCTACATAGAATATACACCAATGGAGTCTATTTTTTTACTTATTCGTTAGACTTTTTTTTTACTAAAATGGACTCTGAGATGTTTAAATCAATTACTTAAAAATAATATCTTCCAAACACTTAAATTTATATTGCTAATACTTGAAAGATATTTAATACACACTTTAATTGTAGGAAAGTAAGTTGACTTTTATCATGTAAGATTTGAATATTAAATTTCTGCACTGTATATTTTTAAATAATTTATTTCTTGATTTTAGTATAATAAGCATGGCTCATGATGACATTGGCAAATTAACGAGAGAAGATTTTGATGCTGGTCCATCAAGCTATGATGAGATTGAACCAGGATTGTTCCTGGGTAATCTGACAGCTGCTACAGACTTTGAATGGCTGAAAGAGGCTAAGATAACTCATATACTAACTGTTGACTCATGTCCTTTGCCACGAAAAGTTCAAGTTTTACCAGATATTGTTCTAAAATATATACAAGTAACAGATTTGCCAAGAGAGGATCTATTGACTTACCTGGAAGATTCTTACCAGTTTATACAACATGCTCTAGAATCTGGTGGTAAAATTCTGGTACACTGTTACTTTGGAGTATCCCGATCAGCCACCTTAGTGATTGCATACATTATGAAAAAGTATAGCATAGGATATACAGAAGCTTTTGAATTAGTCAAAAAGAAGAGACGCTTCGTCTGTCCAAATCCTGGCTTCGTAGAACAGCTCCGACTCTATGAAGACATGGGACACAGTATAGATAATAGAAATGTACACTTCAAGATGTATCGACTACAAATAGCAGCAGACAAAGTGCGGAAGGCGAAGATTCTACCACAAAGTTGCATGGACCTTGTGAAGCCAGATCCTGCCCTGACAACAGTGCATCCTGAGCCTACTGTATATAGATGTAAGAAGTGTCGCCGTATAGTTGCTTCAGCTAGTAATGTCTTACCACATATGCCACGAGAGAAACAAGTTTGGAGGCATATAAGTTCCAAACGTTACAATAAATCTCCAAGACAAGATAAGCAGGCAAACAAGCCTGCAGAAAACCTACAGAAGGAGGAATTACCACCAACAGAAGTCTGCACTAAGACTTACTTCCTGGAACCTCTTTCCTGGATGCCCAATATAATGCACAATGTCGAAGGGAAATTGAACTGTCCAAAATGCAGTACAAAACTTGGTTCCTTCAGCTGGGTAGCTGGTTGTCAGTGTCCCTGTGGAAGCAAAATTGCTCCTGCATTCTACCTGGTACCTTCGAAAGTTGATTGGAGCAATGCCGTGCAAAATGTCCAGGTGACAGTTTAAAAACCAGAAAAAAACATTCAAACGGAAATTATTCAGGAAGTAATTCATGATGGTTGTGACTTTTAATCTTCGTAAAATGTATTTACTTAAGATGCTTAATTTGATAACAAAATGGGAATCACTTATGACCAATTTTAATTGACTATAAATTATTATGTGCCAATGTAATAATTTTAATTATTAACTTTGAATTCTATCTCTTTATTAATGCTACATGAATGTAATACATATATAATACAATTCTTTGTAGCCTGTTATGTCTACGTCGTATACTTTTGCTCAAATTAAAGTAGTATAGGACGTAAGTGTCAATCTCTTCAAATTAAAGAAGCTCATTATCGCAGTTCTAAAAATTATACAATAGTAATAACATAACATAACATAACACGTTACCCTGTTTTCGGTCCTTAATAATTATCATAAGTGCCGCCTGCCGCCATTCTTGATTCGCATTCGAGATAATAATATTCCAGTCTTGGATACTCGTGTACGAATCATCCCGATAATTGGACTTTAACGGCGTCACAATGGCGTCAGTCTCCTTATTACTTCGCACCATTATTCTTAAACAGCTGTTTCATCGACAACTTTAATCCTTCAAAGCCATCCATTTAAGTAAATTACTTTTAAAGTCATCAAAATATTTCTTTGGTATCAATTTAAATATATTTTGACATTTTCTTGCTGTCAAAGATGTCTCAAGTTGTCAACCAGGACTGTCAGGATGGTCACATACTAGCATGCATTGCAGAATATGGTGCACCGTAAGGATGTGTCCTGAGCCGCAATGCATTGAGACCATTCATAGAAGTTCCATCAAGACCAGGGTGGGTATCCGCCTGATGATAAGAAGGTATCCCCATGTTCCCCAGGTTCCCATTAACGAAACCATGGCAGCTGGAGGTTGTCTGAACGGCTGCATAATGTTGAGGCGACCTCCAGTACTCACTGTACGGATACTGAGGTACCTGAGAAGGTGGTTGCAGACTCTCAGGATTACTCTCATGAGGATGACTGACTCTGATCGGTCTCAGGGGTAAAGTAGCCTCCATCTCCCTAGTATTGGATATTCCACGGCTTATAGCCGAGCTCCTTTCGTTCCTGCGAAATTTGGCACGCCTATTTTGGAACCATACCTAGAAACCGGCAATAAAAAAAGGAGCAACTTTAAGCAAATTCCAGAAAAAGGTTTGCAATCTCCCTTATTATCGTAACCCATATTCGCTTGTGATTAATTTCTTTATAATTTTATTCTCGGGATTAATAAGAAAAGAAAAGCTTCTACCCTGCCTCTTAGAAGATCGCTGAAAGGCATTTAGGTAGACGGACGGATATGCGGACCGGAGACGGGACAGCGTGACGGCTCCTGGCAGGCGTACAGGCCACAGAAAGACAGACGTACCAGCGGGTACAGACCGACGGACGAACAGACAGACAGACAGCCAGAAGGGTATACGGCACACGTGCTGGATACGCTATGCTATGCCAACCACATATGCTGGAAGACGCGCTACCGCTAGCAGGCTAATCATAGCTCCTTGCCTGACAACCTGTCTCCTCCGATTTTCTGCCTAGCTGTCCGCGACCTCCGAATCTCCTGTTGGTATGAGATACCACACAGCCAGGATGGGAGTGGGAGCGCGAGTGTATTGTCTCTGGTATACGCACTATACGATACTTTAGTACTACGTAGCATCTTGCTGCAGTCTTTTTATTTTGTCATTTTGATCTTCTTTGTTTTTATAACTGTTATTTATTTTTGTATCTCTACATGCAACGGCAGATCCTTAATATGAGACTGGATGGTCGTGTCACCCTTTGATGAACCATCATTTCAAAAGATCTATTTGGAGGAGTTCTAGGTCACTTGTCATACTCATTTTACCTCGTCGCAATTCTTACTAAGAACCCTAGAAAGATCAACTGACATTGCCAAAAAGGAACTTTGCCAGATTTATTGGGGAGAATTTGAGAATTCGTGTAATTTCTAAGTAGGTATATTAATTTGGGATTTGGAATCATTGGGTGAACTTGCGTATATTTACTGACCTGTACTCTTGCTTCTGATAAAGACACCCTGGTAGCCAGTTCTTCTCTGACAAAAGCATCCGGGTAGTGGGTACGTTCGAAAACCCTCTCCAGAGCAGCTAATTGTTGTGCGGAAAAGGTTGTCCTGCTCCTTCTGGGTCTTCTACTTCCGTTACCCGATGAACTCTCGTTGCAATCTTCTCGAGTGTACAAAAGAGAAAGAATTCTATGGTATACGATACATTTTTCTGGTTTAACTCTTTTGATTTTTTGTAAACAATTCTAGGAGATGCCGCTCCAGACAAGCGATCGTTGGGGAAAAAATAGATTAAATAGAAACCCATACGTTGTGGGTGCATTCTGAATAACGTCTCTGTGCTTGGGCATTCATCAAAGCGGTATAATGCGAGCAGCATGACCAGGAACGCGTCAACTTGATGAAATCAAACACCAGTCGCATCCAGGAAGGCGCAAATAATCGTTATGGCGAATTTTCATGGCCGATTACGCGACGACTTTTCCGCCCGTGTATAAGTCCTTTTTTTCTCACTATAATTCCTGACTTACCTAAGGAATGCGCTGGTGTGGAGAGCAATCTGGATACAGTAAAATCCTGAGGAATATGAGAGTTCGCAACTTGCGACACTATTACACTATTATTCGCCCTGTGTTCTGTGATGGAATCCGAATTCAGCATCTTCAAATAAATTGTATGCAGCAAAAGCAATTTTATACGTGCGATATTTAAAAAATTTACATAACGAATAACTGAATTATTTATTCTTTTTAAAAACCAGGAACCGTCCGTTCTTCTTCGTCTTCACATTCACACAAAAAATCCTGTACGATATCAATGTTCGACAACCAACAAATGAGATTGAGGAAGATTTTTTTGAAATTCAAGTAAAGTCCGACGGTCACCGAAGCAACGCTATTATCCCAGCAAGTATATAAAGCAAAGAAGCAATTTGTCTGTATATAAACAGTGTAAGTCGGTATCCTGCCCGAACAAGGGTTGCCCAAATTGAATTAGCCAACCAAGATATTTCACGACTAATTGAAGTATTTAAATCATAATTCAATTAGTATCGTACCAGATGAGTGAGCCCGCTCGCGCGCTTATAAGTCGTAGGGGATTATAGTGCCGTGAGTCTTGCGTGCGCGGAGAGGCAAGATGCCAACTGACTTTACGGAGTTAAGATGTTCTTTAAGTCTTCCCGCTGGATACGAGAAATAGAGCATTTTAAGAGTAGGTGGAGATTTCTGAGTGAGGCTCCACCCTCATTAGACGCTCATTGGCCTCGGAATGCCGTGGATGCTTTACTCTTTTAAACGGACACTTTAACCCCTGTCTAATGCTTCTTCGAAGTGCGGTAAACTCTTGTCTACCTTGTCTGATTACTACCCTTGCAATATCCACCCTGATGAAGCGCACCAACCACCCTTAAGTCCAGCTGTTACTTTGATGGCTTGAATTGTTTGGCAATCCGGCATAATATATAGAATAACAAATGATACCGAAAGTGATACCCATTTTATTGATGGAAACGTGTTTTTCATTAAACTGTTTACCATTTCCTGACTTCAAGATTTATTTAGCCTTACTGTAAAGTATAGTTATTGAGATTTTAGGACTGATACCAAAGTGCCTTCGGATATTGAAGCTTTTATATGAAAAAGCACGCGGTGCTAAATTCGGAGTAAGTGCCTGAAAAGTGCTGAAGACGTTCTATGAGTTTCCTAGCGCCGGCGCCCTGATGGTTTCAGTTTTCCAGAACTCAGTGACTCCGTCAAGTCTTTATAAACTGTCGGTACAGGGTCGTGCATGTTATACTGTTAGCGGCTCGTATCGGCTTGCACAAGGGTGTCGAATTTCGGCTCTGTTACAGCTTACGAAGTTTTTATTCTCTCTCTTTCCTCTCCCTCTTCATCTTAACAACGTCCTTGTCTCGCAGCTTCTGAATAACTGAAATTTTCAGCTCCGCTATGAGAACCAGTAGCTGCATAACGGATCTGTTGAAGTTTCCATAAAGAACCGAGGAAGCGTGATCCAAGTAACGCAATGGGACAGTACCATGTAAACGATAATAATCGCTAAAAGCCAGAGAACTTAGTACTGACAGCTGGTCACCATTGCAGAATAACATAATAACCACGCAAATGGTTTAAGTACGAATGGTGAGTCTTATAATTATTCTGGCCAGGCGGAAAATTTTATTTATACAACTTTTATGACTGCAGTTAGTTTCGCTGTCGTTGGAGCAATAAAACAGCACGGCGGAGACGTACGCGGGCGTCGCGACGCTCTGACACGAACACGTCGTGACGCCCCTGGAGAATTATTAGGCGGGCCTGCCCGCCCGCCTAACCAGAGTCTCTTGGGAGGCCTACGCCAAAGTGTCCTGCGTCCTATCGTTATTTCTCTCTCTCTCTCTCTCTCTCTCTCTTTTCTTTCTTTCTCTTTTGCTCTTTTTTATCTTCATTTTTCCTCCCTTCGTATCCCGCCCTTTATTCGGCACTTTTTATTCCTTTAGGATGCAGCACCAGCACACGCTTCTTCTTGGCGGCCCTTTTGACTACTCTGCCACGCAAGACCAACATGGATGCCACTGGATTCTGATGATTTATGCTGATTGTGTGTTACTCGAGAAGCCTTGTCGTTGCCCTATTAAACACTTGACTAACTAAGTGATATGTGAGTGATAACTATTATCATGGCAGTCTTTCTTTGTCTAATTCTTTTACTGGATCTATTGCCAGAAATAAGATTGCCACTGTCGGTACTAATAAAATTAGACACTTTTAATTTGTGTTATTTTATGCGTCAGGTTAATGCCTTGTGCTAATACTAATTTCAAGTTACCAGTAAAAGATTAATTAGTATTTATATAACGTTAGATTCTCGTGAGCATCACACACCTGCTCCAGGGATATCGATGTTATTTCTTAATGATTTAATGTGGGATAATGACAAGACAAGAATAAACGATTGACTCGTTTCTATAGGTAATTGACAATACACGCGTATCCGGTTTGTTCCATAAAACAGCGATAAACCCTCGGAGGTTTACTGTCCAAGGGAATTCTCCCCTATTTCACGGTTTCAGGAGTTAGTGAGAAAAGGGGGTGCTTGGTTAACCAAGAGGGTGAGTTTACCACTTCCGTGGGAATATAGTGATTTGATTAGACGTTAATACTAAGATATTTTTTTTATTCACACGTCTCTCTTTTTCTCCACAGCCAAACCACTTAATTTATGTGAAGGTCCCAAAAGAAATCTGCTGAAAGTTTTTGGGCCTGGTCAGTGTCCAATGGACCCCCACCTAACAGGACGACAGTTTCAACATGGTCGCAGATGTGGATGACCACCGTTAAAAATCCATAGTTAACATCCCACAGGATACACAAGTCTCATAAACCATAATATATATCTATACAGAGGGGTAGAATCATATAGTAACACGTGAAACAGCAAAAATCGAGTATACGTAGCGAGTATTGAAAATAAAAGAAAAACTGCATAGCGGGGATATTCGAGGGGGTCCACTGGGAGATCCTATATAAGAGTCCAGGGGTCTTATACCATATAGTGGGGACGAGAGATAATTCCGTGACGGCCCGTGTCCAGCGGATTCCTTCAGTGACCGCAGATGCGGTGGTCATCGGCTAGCGTGACGCTATCATATTAAGTCCCTAGAAAGGAGTCCCACTATGTGGGACCGTAAGGCCCCGTCTGAGTAAATCGAGCAGAATGGACTCTGGGCACATAAATTAAGGGGGAAAACGGAACGGTCTTAGGCGCGCGCAGAGACAAAAAGAACGGAAGAAGAACTGAAACGCCTTACGCTATTCTATAATGTATTGTACCTATGTATATATGTATACTATATATTATACCATGGATACTATAGTAAGTACTAAGCCGCTGCAGTTCTTCCTTTACTTCGTTCAACCAATTACAAGGCCCATATGTCATCCCCGCCAATTAGCGTCTTCGAAAACGGCGCGTAACGCTCTCTCGCTCTCTCCTCTCCTTTTACACTCCCTTCCGTATTACTCTCTTCCTCTTGCAGTGAACCACGCGGACGGATGACAGAGTGCGGATAATTTTACGCCTTCCCAGGATCCTGTCGTCGCTCTTGTATGCATCAGGAAAAAAGTTCTAGGAATCTTTTCAAGATAGTATTTTCTTCATTGTGAAAAATACTAGTCAGTATTCCTCAATAGTTAATGATCTTATGTGAAAAATTCTTCTATGCCAAATATTCAAAATTGTTGACAAGGTATATTTTTTAATTTCATTTTTACTAGTTGTGGGGTTCACAGATGACTGTATAAGAATTATTTTTTATAGGCTGGCCACGTGGGGCACAACTAAGGGGGATGACGGACACCCCCTCCGTTAACAGAGCGTGACCCTCAGTGACACCCCCCTGACTGACAGTGCAGCGGTTACGAATAATTATACATTCATGGTATTCGGGGGGTATTATATAATATTTTAAGGGTTGACCCGTAGGGGGTGTACCTATGCATTGTACTAGTAATAAAGGTGCCGCCACCTATTACTAGTCAGTAGCGTACTCTAATTACCGGAGGGGCTTATCTACGTTCTTTATCCTATTACTGTCATTACCTTCGTCCACATGATCACCCTTGGATAGTTAACCCTCCCTATTCTAGGGAGAAAAAAGAAAGTGCCTACGTGTTACGCCATACGGCGTATATTTTATATAGCTAATGTACGCATATATTTCTTATATCGTATACAGTGAATTTATTGCTAACTCACCAGTAATAATTCTCATGCGCCTCACTATAAATCATTGGATAAATCATATGGAATAATTTTTCATTGGTGGCTGCGTTTGATAAAATTTCTTCCTGGATGATAAGAGTCGTACGTATACATGGGTGATAACTGTCAAAACTGACTACTAGAATTTGAATATACTATAATTGATTAATAAAATTATAGGAAAAGGGAATGTAACTTCTTGTGGTTTCCCACATGAAAAAACTTTTAGCAAGAGACGTATGACCATAAAAAGAAATCCCGCAGCGAGGAAACGAGAATCTATGAAGACAAAAAAATGGAATTCCCATAAGAGATTCAATACCCTTTATGGGGTTTATGTACGACCTATGGATGTCATAGGTCATTGCGGATATTTTGATGACAGCTGGAAATTCACTTGTGTCATTGAAGTAAATAACATTGAGCCATGAGTTATGTAACATGGAGTAGGATTATAGTACCGAACTGGTCTCTGTCAGTATCAACAGAGTATGTATATACAGTTTATTAGCTATAATAATATAGTAAGGTTCCACGAAGTCCCATGAGCCATGACAGTGTAACGATTGTAACGTCTGTCTGTAACGGCAATTATATAACGAAAGCCTGTAGTCTGTTTGTAGTAATGTAAGCAAAAAATCTAATTCGTTATAGTAATGAAGATTATACTTATTTTCAGGTATGGAACAAGTCTTACGTGCTGGATCACAGGGTGAAAATATTTTATCTAGGCTAGTTTTGTTCCAATCCCGGTTTGATTCGTCGTATTCGCAGGGTAAATTCTCTTAAGGATTCCCACAAGACATAGCTGCAGGGGTCCAGGTGTCCCTAGGACCCACTTCAGATCCAGAATGAAGGAAGGAAACTTAAGTCCTTGGCAATTTCAATGCCGGATACTCTATATATAGTTAGACGTTTATATAAGTATATAATATGATACAGAAAGAAGGAGAGAGAGAGAGAGAGAATTGAACTTTTGAATACGACTCGGTAACAATAAGAGACTTGATTTCAGAATACAAGCTCATTATTGCTCCAGGTTGTCGAGAAGATGTCGTACCCCCCATTGCGTTACTGGACTGCTACTGTATACTATGTGTGTATGTATATACACTGCGACCTGCAAAAGTGGGCTTGAACTAGATGGGCCCACTTTTCCAACCTGGTTAAAATGCTGAACTCACTTTGTTAAGAGGGTGAATGCTATCTGAGTGCTTTGAATTTAGCAATTTTTATTGTTAAGTATTTTTTGGTCAAATGTTTACATTTTTTTTTCACTGTTGCTACTTAAACGATTCTATATGATATACATATAATCAGTACCAGTCTACATAGTTCTTGTCTCCTTCGGCTTTGTGGCTTTATTTTCGTAACGGAAGTCATCCTCATAGGACACGCTGGAACTCCCATGAGATGCCGCACTGCTAGCTGTCGCTTTTGATTTTACGCTCTGCGACAAACAGCAAGCACGTGTGGCATTTTTAAACAAGCATTTTCTCAACTCTTTTTACGACGTGAAAAGGACCAATAAAAAAAGAATTCTTCTTTGCGAGCATTGTTACCCGAATTGATTAATTTTGTTTCGATTTCGAAATTGTATTGGTGTTTCCCTTGGTGGGTCTAGAAATCTAATTGGTAACTGGGAGAATAATTTATGCCCTTATTTATACGTTATACGTATTATTTAATATATTCATAACAGTTATTATACCAAACTTTTAATCCCAACCAAGATCAAACGGCCTTTTACCGTCTTTCTATTGCATTTTATTATCCATGACCACCAGTTTCCATTAAATTCGAATGATTCGTTTGTGATTGGTAGATAGGATAGTCAATTAAGCTGGCAGACCTGATAAAACTATGAATCAGGGCGGTGCCACCTGCCTAGTTCCCGGTGTTACCAACTATACGATGGTGGTGCATGGTGTTTCGTGACGTTATTTTGAAAACAAAAATTCATGAATATGCAATTCAAAGTTAACGGCTAGCGGCATAAAAATGTACTATTTTGCATAAAGTCTGTCGTCCCCACTCTGATTACACGAGGCCCCCCTTGCTAGTGGTAGGTAACAAGGCCAATTTTCTACTTTTTTGACAAAAAAAAAATATATGGCTGAGACGTTCGCCTTAGCCTTGTTACGTTTTTCACAAGGGGCACCAAATCAGCACGTAAATAGGTCGCTAAAAAAAATATGGTAATCCTTGTCTCGTGCCTTCACCTTGCTTATAAAAAATAGGACCCATCCAAGGGATGAAAAAAAATTGTAGGGTGTTTATTCAAGGAAAAAATTCGTACCGAGCTTAACGGCTTAGAAATAATACAACAATGACAATTACCCATAGAAGCTTCCGTGCACCAGAGTCATCCGTGTTTCCTAAGGGCCAATAAATATTCCAGACAAGAGCTACGGGCCCGTCGCTATACGTAAACATGTTTATCTATATCCAGGTATCTGGCATTGTTAGAACTATTATTTATAACGGAATCTTCAGTGATGCGCGAACTTTAAATTTCGTCGGTTCGTTTTTCCCTTTTATTTTTTTAAAGTTCTGTGTTTATGCCTACAGAAAATTGTGATGGAATTATTTTCAAGATGGCTGACCGACACTGACGACCGGATGGAACTATCGTGAGTAATAGAAGTATAAGATGCTAAAGTCAATGACGGAAGTAACAAATGGTAAAATAATCCAAGAGACGTGGGAACCCGCGAACAATTTTCTGAAACTGTCAGAGTTAGGGCGAAGAACGTTATTGGCAGATGCTGCGTAACTTCGTTCCGTATTGCGTAGGTACCTTATACCTTCTATAATACCTAAATATATATATATATATATATATGTGCGTGTACCCTTCAATTCCCATTCAGTGTCGCTCTGCTTTTCCGGTGGAAAAATTCCTTTCACTGATCCTATTTTGAACAATCCTTCGCGGCAGTTCTAATTTACCTCTACTTCAAAAAAAAAAAGTTGCTAGTCCCACCAAAAAAAGGGACCGATCAGTCAATGTGGATTTTTGCAATTTTTTCATACTTTTTTTTGTCTCTTGCGGTACCCAGTTCTCCCGTATACGTCACACTCTTCACTGTCACTGAAGTAAAAAAGACCCAGGGTTGGTCGAGGGGCCCTTAATGAACGGGGTCCTCAAAACCGATGGTCATTTCTATTCCAGAGAACTTTCCATCTCATCGGATCTGTTGCAAAGATCCATTATCATTATCGAAGACATTTTGATCTCGATTCATCCTTACACAAGGACTGGTTCCTAATGATCAGTCTCCCGATCGGTCCCAAACCGTTTTGTGACATCTAGAGCATTTCAGCCGGTTCACTGAATTCAGGTACAAAACCATTAACCTCGAATGTGGGTAATTCATATCTCCCCATTTACATTGGAATTGATGAATGATTTTTTTTGGATTTTTCACAAAACAAAAATGTAATGGCTCTTAACATTTTTTTAGGTGTTTATAATTGTTGGCAACTGTATATTTATTTATGCGGGTCCTTATGGGCATTTGTTACTCGCATATACTATGTAAGTCGTCAGGGGTACAGTGTGAAGAGAAAAGGAGGGAATGGAAATGAAAGAAAGAAGATATCCTCTGATACACTGACAGCCAGCCAGTTTTCTCTGTCTCTGTCTCTCTCACCCTCATCGATTTACCTCATATATATACGTGGCTACGGTTTCCGATCAGAGTCCTCACAGTCGACCCGTCTTTTGCTGTGTATGCAGCTGTCCCGCATCCAGCGGACCCAGAAAACGGTCAGGATAGCGCATGGCCAGGATTCCTATTCGCAGGCGTCTTATGCTCTCATACTGAATCCTCTTGTCAGTATTTATATTAATTTCCAGAATCGGAAGAAAAATATTTGCCAAGCTGCAAAGAGCGAATGAAATCTACCCATGGGTCAAAATGAAAAATCGAGGGTCTTATTGACGATTTTTGAAAATTCATTTATAAAAATGGTTCAGTACAGGTATGGGGTTTTTATAACGATTTGAAAAAAATTGCTCCAATTTTGAATACTGAATAGGGTATAATACATTTTGATTTTCAAAAGTGCCGAGTAACGAGATAGCTATTTATTTTCCTTGACTGGCATAAGGAATGAGAATCTTGTATTATCAAATACAATTACAATATCCAAGCCAATTATTCTGGATGAAAATTCAAAAATTCTACGAGTACCTACGATTTTTCTAGTATATGCAATGACTGGAATTCATTGGGAAGAAAAAAAAATCTTAAGAGTCCCATGTATATTGCTTTGAAAAAGACCATCTGTCACGTGGCACTTCAATGAGGAATGATGAATCCGTCAAGAGATCCCCCGCTTTCTTAAATCCCAAGAACGGCCCAAATCTGTCCGAGTAATTGGACCTTGTGCCTACCAAACCCGTGAAGAGAGAAAATTTGGCGCGTGCGGGGGAGTCACTAGGGGCCCACTACTTTTTACCTGAAGGCTCTAAGAAATAAGATCCTAAAAATCCCTGGACCATTAAACGGTAGCACTCTTGTATTCTCGAAGATATTCTGACAATGGTTCACAAAGCTAAAAAGAATGATTTCAACCATAGTAAAGACGTTGGAAGAAAAAAGAAAAAAATGTCTGGAGTACATAATTACACATGATTTAAGGCCCATAATTGCGTTTGCTTCAATGACATTTTATGTACCTACGTTCTATAGCGTAATCCAGCTTATCTGATCCATATATTTTTCTTAAGTATATGTATAGTGGTTTCACCAGTATCAATTGGGGCCTGGTTGACAATCAAAGCATGGCGGCTGACCCATAGATGGTTTTTTCTTTTCTACGCCCACTACCAGGACTGAGCTTGTAGCCTGGTTCACCTGGTCCTACTCGAGTACCCTGTACCAGGATCAGGTCGGGACACTAAGTTTTGGTGGGGTGTATAGGTACCTAGTATAGATTTAAGGTTAGGTTAAGAACTACTCGGTTCCAATGCGCCCTTACCTTGAGTTCCTACCTACATAAGGCCCCGTCTCCCACTCTACCCTGTCAGTAGCAAACTTGCCGTCGAAGGGAGACATGCTCCTCCGCGTACGAAAAGTCTTACCGTTTTCGCAAGCGTAGTTTGGATATTTTTGTTTTTACTTTTATTTATTTATTTTTTTTTTATTTTTATTTTTTTTTTGAAAACGTGAGTGTTTTCTCTTTCAGTGCTAGATGAAAGTGTACAGTTTACGGGTCCATATGTGTCTTTGAAGGATTTCCCCAAAGAATACAGCAGTGAGTACCGTTTCAATTATTTTGATTTCAGGAAATTGATAAATTTTTGAAATTTGAAGGATCCAGCAATATTTGGAAAATTTTTTTTTAAATATCATACATGGATTTTTTCCAATTTCAGTTGTCTTGTCTGAGATTTTAAAAAAATATTATGAAATCTAATTTGTCATTGATAGCTCATTTTTGCAAATAGGCTTTTATAACAATTAAGAAGTTGAAAATGTAATGTTAAAAATCTACTGGAACGAGAATGGCCATTTTATACCTGTACGTTGCATCCATCACGCATGACTGAAAGGGGGGGACGTTTTTTGAATTCGATCCGACCGCGATATGCTAATTCAATGCGATCCAGAATTTGGCAACGATCCCACGGATCATTATAGGTTCCCTTTTCACATATGCAAATTGGTATATCAAATCCCAAAGAATTAATAGATATTAATCTCGAATCAGAATTCGTTCAAAATTCGCATGTACTATTTTCAAAAATATTATTTATATAGGTTCACTTTCACATATGCATTATAGGTTCCCTTTTCACATATGCAAATTGGTATATCATATCATAAAGAATTAATAAATATCAATCTCGAATCAGAATGCGTTCAAAATTCGGATATACTATTTTCAAAAATATATTCCCAAACATAACAAGCTAGAAACCATAGCTTTGTCACCAGGACACAATAACCAACTGATTTGTTAAAAGAGAAAAGAAAAGATAGTCAGGACCAGTAAAAAAAAGACAAAAATCCCAAACAATGTTCCAAGTCCTAGGAACGAAATTTCCAAAAAGAGGTAACACGGGTTGTACAATAGCAACAGCATGATCACGTGGGGAAGCCGAAAGGAAGAAGAACTCTTAGAAAGTCCCAAGTAAACTGAAAGTCCCTCGAAAACAGGAGTTTACCTCGGGGCCCTATGAATGGACCATCCAAAGTCGTAGATACGAAGGTTCAAGGAAAAAGAAAATCTACAAACTTATGGCGAGTTTTTTTTGGCACAGGAGTGCCAACGGAAAGAACGGTAATCTAATAGAGCCCGATTCGACATAAGGGTCGAAGGATAAAAAAGCGAAAGGGTGCACGGGAGTCCATCTGTCTGTATAAACGGGGGGTAGAAAAAAAAAGAACAGACAAGGATAAGAAAGTATCCGATAAGAATTCGTAGGAGAGAAAAGAATAATAATGGGGACTTCTATTATGAAATGTCGTAGGATCTGCTTGCGTATGTTAGAATACATTATTTTGAGTATATGCAACATATATAAATATACACATAACCGTGAAGTGGACTCATGGAAGATGCTTCGGCAATACCTGAAGCTAACTGATCTGGCCATGGGTCCCAATTCTACGTCCAGTCGATTTGAAAAATCCAGGCTCCCTTTAAATGCCCCAGACGTTGCCCGGCGGGATTTCATTGTTCGGGCCTTATTTTCAGGCTCGTCCTGAGCACCTCTACGCACTCACGGTTACGTGAAGTGCGTCCGTATCGTATATACACATTAGGGCGCGAATATGAGGGACAGAGAAAGAGGGATAAAGAGAGAGAATGTCTGTGTAGTAGCTAGCATGGGAACCGGGAACACGAACACGAGCACAGCAGGGGGACAGGTGTGCTCCAAATAACGCGTTAGCTGTCTTCAGAACGTGGAGAGAAGTTGCTGTGGTGCCTCCCTTACCCCCCTCCCCCCCCCCTCTTACCAAAAAGCAAGCTCGGGAGACGGTCGCTGAATGCGCCTTTGATTGTAGTCGGTTGGGTCTTTTCTGGGCCCTTCCGAGCCCTGGTGCTTCTCTCGCTCCCTGATTCCTTACGTCACAGGGCACGTCAGGGCCCTGTCACGGGACCATTTGAGAAAAAAAAATAGCACCTTTAAAGGTGCCCGGGGTCAATCCAATATAAATCAGAACGTCTCGAGGTAAAAGCGAGTAGTAGAGGGGGACCATCCATGTGAATAGAATTTGGTCTCGGTATAGGACCCAGAAGGTACCTAAGCTTGTAGGTACCTTGTGTGGGCCCATTGGCCAACACGCGCTCACCGAGCCAGCGACTCCTTGTATGTATCCCTATCGCGCATTCTTCTTTTCTTCTCTGTCTGTGGGACTTCGTGAAAAGGGATCAGGTATGGGCCCCTCAGCTGGCCCCCCTAACCCTCATAGGTCCTTCCATGGTATAGGCTCTTCTCGAAGGATTCGATGTTTCTACCTTGATACCCCGGGCGCATCCTAGGGTATCCCTTGTCTCACCTTCGCGATCTATCTTTGGAGTGTTTTTCGGGGCCCGACTTAGGTACGCGGGAACTGGATATGGGACTTACAATTAAGGGCCTCTCGTACGGGGGTACCTTGTCTCTGAAAATAAGAATTTTCAAGCTAGATTGAACCGGCACCCTATACCTAACTTAAAAACTGTCGTAAGTCTGGATAGGTATAAAGTATTGTATATTTAACCGCCGTTCTAGTTTATTTTGGACCTTGTGTCAGTGCTACCTGAAGTCCTACTTACGACACACTTAATGTATCATCTACTCCTTTCGCCGAAGTATGCTAACCCCCCTATTATAACTATCAGTCCCATTTATCTTAAAATCCTTCAGTACCCCTTCTATAATAACCAAGAGGAAGTTCGACATCTTTAAATCCCGGATTGGAACATTATTGGACCTGACAGTGTCAAGAAATCAAAGTTACCATACACCCTCCAGAGTCACTACATCATTAATGATGAATTTAAGCCAGTACAGGAAATTGTGAAATACCAAACGACAAGCAAAAGAGCAAGATAGAGGCACTAAAACGAGAAACGAAGTTCGGGACTCAAATGAGTATCGGAAGGAGGGTGTGGGCCAGCCGGGGAGACGTTAGGAACGTTTATATGTAGATATAGAGATAGCACGCGAACGTCTTCTTACCAGCGGTATTTCGACAGTGGGCATAGTGGGCTTTATAGCCACACTTAGTAGTGGCTTCTAGGTTAGGGCCAGATGGGACTGACGTACGTAGTTCTACCATATGGGCAGGTGCGCAGGATTACTGTCGGTAACCACATATATATAAACGCATATAATAAATACGTGGAAACCAATACAAGTGAAAAATGCGTACTTGCCTCAGTAGAATCGTCAGCGCCATGGGACATTGCACGCGCGCGCAGACCATAGCAACAGCCTGTATGCAAATGAATGCATTTTTATACCTACTCACAATGCAGCTCACCCCCCTGACGAACCGTTAAAAGTTAAAACCTGCTGCCCGCGAATGCACCACCTCTCTCTTTCTCTAGTTTACAGGACCATATGTATATATATATAGATGCATATATGTCAAGACAATCCATATACGTACAATGTACAGACGTGCAATTTCTTACATTGGCAAAAGTGCGGCCTCGAATTTCGCGAACTAGTCCTCAAACAAGAAGGGAGTCTAAAAAGGACACCTGGTTCCATTTCGTCAATTCGTCTATTTCTCTCTTCCTCGTTTGGGACACATCGCGAAATAAAGAAGACGAGCTGGGCCCGAATTCACTTAACGAGTAGTTGATAATTGTGAATTTTGCGTGTTTTTTATTTGAGAGTCTTTGGTGTGTGGTTTGAGTTTTGTAATGTTTTTGGGCCCAACAGTCGGGGACCTTAATGTTTTCTAATGTTCGCTGACGTTTAAAGTCCACTTAACTCGCCATTATGGTGAACGCCTACGTGGAGGAGTCGTCAATGGGAGGAAGTGTCAAGTCGGGAAACCAACTCAGGTGCAGAAGGTTTCACCTGTTACCCTGTGTTTCCCGTATGACGCGACAGGTGCGCCTGAGTTGTTGGTCAAAACTGCACGAGTCTTCCTGTTTGCTGGTTTCACGACGTCGTTAACTTGAGAAATAAAGAATGGTGTGCTGGAGTGGGCGAGGCTTTAGTGAGGAGAAAGGGGTCGCGGGAAGAAGGGAAGAGGGTAGGTGGGAAAATAGAAATGAAATGAAAATAGATTGACCGCTGTGAAGGCATTGGTTCTAATTTAATTTACTCTCTTCCGGTTGTGCAGGAAACCTTGAGATTTTTAACGTAAATTAGTTCTAATGTAATTTCCTTCTGTTCTTATTGTCAGTTTTTGCTCTGGGCCCTGTGGGACTCATGTTTGAAATCTTTAAGTAATAATATGTGGGCTTGTATTACCTTTTAGAAATGCTCAAGTGGACCGTTTCAAGGTCCTTATCTACGGCCAGTCAGACCCCCCATGGTCCTCCCACGCATAAAAATAAGGCCCCGCGGAGACCTTTTCGGGACTTGTCGAACACACCACCGACACCCAATGCGAGGCCTCGAGTACCATTGCAAAATGGGCCCTCGACAACGGGGAGAGTCACCACCCCCACACGACGCAGGAGATGTCGGAGTCAAGGGAGTGATCTACGAGCATACTTTCAGGTTAGTATTTTGGGATTCATTGGGAACAAAAATGGATATGTAAATTTATTTGATTAAAAAAATTTTTTTCGTAGGCAACCAAACCAAATCTCAGACCGAGTAAAAGGCAGTCTGTTACGGATTCACAAAAATCTCCACGCATGGAGACTTTTTATCAAAGTACGCCAAGAGTGGATTCGGACATAGGGCCCCTCACGTTATTTACCAGTAACATGGTACCCAAATGCGCTACTACGGCCCTGACTTTACCCACGGATCCTACTTTGTTGAGGGTGCACGCGAGCAATTTTCAAAGCAACGCCGAGTTACCGCAAAATATTGTAAACGAGGCTCGAGCCAATTTGCAGTCGCACGTCTCAGACTTTTTTCAACAAATCTCAGTAGCCGGAAGTCCCGAAGACGTGATGGAGGCTGATTCTGTGCCACTGTCTAAGGCACGTATCTATTCACAGAACGTGGATGCTACGAGGTCGAAAATTGCTTCCGAATTCACTAGGACACCTTGTGTACCAAAACTCGCCAAGATCACGAAACTTCACACCCGCTGCAAGACACCTTATCATACGAAGACTATTCAGGGTCGAAGTCCTTTCAAGTTCAAGGACGTTCACAGTACACCGCTTAGTGGCACATTATCGCATCTCAAGTTGGACCACGATTTGCCTAAATACGAGAATATGGATAACACTGTTACTGAAGTACTTAATAGGTACGTAATAAATAATTTTGAAATTATAAAAAATGTCCATAGCTATTTTGAAAATTATATTTACAGGGAACAGGAGACAAGTTTAGGTGTTAAAACTGTCGCAGAAATTCTTATGTGCGATGCTGAGGAAAGGAAGAGAATTTCCCAGGAGGTGAAAGCGTCTCAAGAAATCCAACTTCCGTCTCAGGATCAGGAGAACGTGCACGAAGTAGAGCACCTCTACGAGACTATAGTGGAGTCCAATGAGAATCAGGAAGAACCTGCACCTCATAATGACAGTTCGGTATCTTCGGCAAGTCAACTGCTAGAGGATCCTTCCCCGATGTCCTGGGCGTTTCGATCACCCTCTGCTGATCTTGAAGGTCAGTTCACCCTGAGAAGACAACGAGGGATACGTCGCAAGAGACAGCACAAAGACACGACGGATACGACGGACGCAGCATCCGGTGGTAAAAAAATTAAGAGAAGATCCAGCAGTGCTAGTCCAAAAAGAAGTGAATCCTTCAAAGGACAGGTTTTCGAGGCAATCAATTATCAGGTTAAAAAACTTAGCCTTGAAACCGACCTGGACTCACCCTTTGACCCCAGGAACTCAACAGCCCCTAAGATCAGTCCTGATACGAATAAGGATAACGAGCCAAAATCATCCTGGGATCTGGACAGTCCAAAGTCATCGTACACAGATGATTTTCAAAATTCAAAATCTTTTGCTAGCACCGTAGTGGGTACTCCAGAAGCACCCTTGGTTGCTACTGTCAGAAGATGCCTCAAGTACAGCCCTGAGAGTCAAACTAATCAAACCAATAATCGTGGATCAATTGAACTCGAAATATCACACATCGGAGAACATATTCACGTTCGAGGTGAGTTACAAAAATATTTATCTCAGTATGAATTTTTCTTCAAATTCTACAATACTAAGCTCGGGTCTTTCAAGCAGTATATACTTCCCTGCACCTCAGAACGAGACATGCGCCAGTTATGCTTTACGGGGTGTTCTTGGCACCCAGTAAATCGTGTGCCAGTAACCCACAGACCCTTCTCGCATTTCGATTTCGGTTAGTAGGCCTAACAACATTGATTTAAAGTGCATTTCTATATCGCTCGGATAAACAAGCTGAGCTGGCATTACATTTGTACCCATAGCATTTCCTGTGTTCAAATCAGTGACCAACCTAATAATACTCAGTGTCGTGAGCCTCATGATAAACTCACAAGATAAAAGATGAATAAAAATAATTCTTAATTACCGCAGTACATTAAAATTACACACATAGTCACCTAGGCACGATCAAAATGTAAAATTTATCTGAATCTATAACAATAGGACCCAATTAATAATTTCCAAAGCGGTAAATAAGTCCCGTAATGATCGAACAGTCAGGGGCAAAGCGCTAAAAAATTCACTGCTAGAGTCTCACAATAAAATTATATACTGGGTGCAATTCATCTTCAAATTGCTCATTACAATATTAAAGCCTCCATTCCTGCGCGTAGTCGACCTTGGGGGATTCTGTTCCTGGGAGTGGTGTTTACTCGGTGCTTATGCCTGATATCTTTGGTCTCAGGAGTATCATTAGTCTTTTGTTTCTCTTCGTCTTGCGCAGTGATACGGTGCAAGGATCTGCGAAGGGCTTACGAGGGTTCAATTCACGCATACGTGAAGGCCAGCCTAAAGAATACTTGCGGCGAAGGCGTCGTCAAGAGGACGGCAGTGCACAGGGCAACGCCGAACCCCCTATTTCACGAGACCTTGATACTTCCCTGCCCGTCGAATAACAACCACTGTACTAGCAGAGCTACGTCCCTGGATATCGCCGTTTGGCACAGGGATCGACGCGCCAGGTAAGATGAATAATTAGACCCTCCAAGTAAAATAATCTTTTTTCTTATCTTCACTCAATTTATCTGTTTCTCACTGATAATTTCTGTCCTTATCTTTACTCTGGTTCTTGACGTAGCACAAGAATCTCATTGCATGGCACCCGATCGATTCCCGCCTCACCGAAACCGTCAGACTATACAATTCTTTTTAAAACATCCGGTATGTGGGGTACCTATGTACAATGTAAACATTACACAGTATATAATGCTTGTTTGTAATATTTGAAAATATGCAATTTTACATTAATTTGAATATTCAGTAAAGAAATTAAAAAAATTCTCTGTCTTATAAACTACCCTTGTAGAACTTTTCTTTTGTTTAATTTTAACAGTCGACCTATTCGGTCTGTGTTCTAAGCATCTGAAAAAAATTACTCTAAGTTAATTTTTTAGAAATTGTACTCTAGCTTATTTTGTTTCTAAAAAAAATTAGCAGTATTCTGGGAATTTTCAGAGGTTTCTGCGGTAGAAGGGGAATCGATCGTGGATGCGCATGCGCATTAATGACGCCACGTGCAGTCAGCCCAGATTACGTACGTGGGTCTCTTGCGGTTGGAAGATCCCTGATTGTCAGTGTTTTCGTGCATCTACATATATCTACCACGTGTATATAAAATACTCTTCACAATGTATACATTGACTCGCGTGTTCTGTAGCATAAATTAATTGTGCTATATATTTGTTATATGTATACGTATTCATATATTTTTATATTTGTTTTAGACGCAGCGAGCTGTTGGGCTGCATGACTTTACCTTTGCCCCTGTCTCAGGATAAGGTACTTGGTCTAATTAATATAACGCAAGAAAAAAATAAACTCGTGATCTTTGAGTTCAGATGTCTTTTCGTATTAGTAAGTCTATTTGGGATACATATATAAAAAGGATTATGGTATCACAATGTGGGAGCGATTTAAGAGTCACGTGTGTTTGATAGTTTAATATTTTGTGGGTCTTCAGCTTAAGGTCAGGTGTAAGCCAATTATGAGGCCACCGAGTTAACACTTTCATTGAAACTTCAGTGCAGTTACAACCGCAGCCGTGAAGCGCATTAAATGCATCTTCGAGTATTTGACGATTGAGTGTAGCGTAACTTAAATAAATATCATAGGTATAATGATAGTCGTAGCAATATATTGCGTCGCCTTCTTCGTGGCTGGGATACTTTTGAAGATTTTTACGTTTTTTTGAAAAATCATCAGGTCATTGACATTGAGGAAGTTATAGGGTAGCTATTAGTTGAATGTGTAAAATTTAAAAATTGACTTTACAAGTGATAAATTTGAGTTCATTTCCTTTGTCAGGAAGCAACATGGCACCCTCTGGAAGCAGGATCGGCAAGGAACACGAGTACACCTTACGCGGGGGTACCACAAGAGTGCAGTGTCTCGCCACCCTTGTCAAAGGACGGGGAAGTAGATAACAACAATACAAGTGGGGAAGATTTGACTTACCTAAGGCATCTCGAATTGGAACCTTTGGATTCTCTCACGGGTTTACCCTTGCATCCTGGGTTTACTGCTAGGGGCGGTAGAACACCTTGCACAATAACCAGAAGGTTGATAAGGCAGAGTGCAGTGAATCAGGTAGGTAGAAAATTACTGCAGTAAATCTTGTTCAGGTTCACGTATGTTAATAAAAATTGTTTTTTTTTGACAGCAAGTGCCATGGGGTTTCTCTTTGTCCTGGGGAAGACCTCCACGTGTGGAACGAATCGACCCAGGCAGTCCTGCAGACAGGGCTGGTCTCCGATCTGGAGATCACGTTGTCTTCATCGAAACGACTAACGTCGTGACGCGTCCGCGAGAGGAGATCCTGAGCCTGATCCAGGCTGCGACCAATCAACTTGTAATGGAAGTCTATAGGAAAGGTGGTGTTCAGGGGTCGACGCACAGGCCCAGTTGCGTTAACGTGACCCTGCAGGCACCAGGTGGATCCAATAGCCAACACGCTATAGCCTTCAGTGCCGAGGTCGGTAAAGGCGTCTTGGTATAGGAGGAGGCTGTTATCAGGATTCTTATCGTTAGCGAACCACTTGGAATTTAACTTCGTGAGATACAAATGAAAGGAAAAATGGACGATGCCAATAATAGTCCCCATTAGCAGCTTACTGTCGTTATCCCAGTAAGAACATTCGCCTGGGACACACATTTATACACCTATCCTGAGGACCTGAAGGATATTAAGTTGCCTGCATTACTTTTAATTTTGAAGGACACATTTTACGTGTTGATATCAGAGCTTAAACTTTACCAAGTGCTATCACGTTACGTACCTTGTACATTATTTTCGCTCGACGGAGAGGTTCAGGAAGTGCATGGCGAGACGTTAATTTATGAAAGTGCGGTTATGTTTTGTACGTTCTTTTTTGTCCTTTGTTGCCAACAAGTTTTTGTTTTAAAGCTAATCTCACGTTGTTTCATTTATTTCCATTCCCAAATCCTACCTTGATTCTACCTGAAAACATTTATGAGAATTCCAAATGTCAAATGGGCGCTTCTGGGTGTTCTGGTCTTCCCCAATCTAGCGCCGCACGCCAATTGTATCTCACGTGGATCTCACTCGTTTGATTCATTTCCTTTCGCACATTCTATCTTGAACAATTCGTGAGAATTCCAAATATCGAATGGGCGTCTCTGGGTGATCAGGTCTTCCCCAACCTGGCGCCGGACGCACCACCTGAAGAAGAGTTATCAGTAAGAGAGACCAGGTACTGGAGCACTCTCAAGAGTGGTCACTCACGTTTCCTGGCACCACTGGCTGAACGTAGGGACGTCCTCTCTGCAGCTGACCATCTTATACTCTTTCAAAACATGGATGAGCTGGTGAAGATCTCCGAGGAGATCAGGGACGAGGGTGGCGGCGTAAAGTGTTATCTATCCAGGATACCAAAGATAACTGCGGCCTATAGAAGGTACCTGAGTGGCTTACAAAGAGCTTGTTGCCTTCTGGTAGCACTAAGGAGGAATACAGCCTTTGCCAAGCTTGTCTGTGAACCAGCTGTACCTCAAAAACGTAGACCTGATCTTACCGGAGTTTTACTACTGCCACTGGAACACTATAGGTACAATCGTAATAGGAACTGTTATTGGATTTTGGATTCTCATAGGAATGGTGTCTTCCAGGGAGATGACGAGGTTGGTGGGTCTTGCCTCACCAAGAAATTGCCCAGAGGCCAGAGACCTGGCTCAGGGTTACAGAGAAGCTACAGCTAATGCTGGTGTTATGGAACCACCTCGTGATACAGGAAGACCTCTTCTGAGCTTACAGGAAGTCGAGTCGAGATTAGTATTTGCCCGTTGCAAACCCTTCACCCTGGCAATGCCTGGTAGACAATGGTTCGTTCCTGCGATTGATTCAGCTTGATGTTCATTGCTATATTTCATCATTTCATACTCATGTATTTTCAGGCTCTTTGGTGGAGCATTGGCTAAGGTCGAGGGCCGCGCACGTCTGCAACCGTCCTGGGCACTGCTCCTAACTGATCTTCTGGTGTTCGCCAGGGTATCCAGAGACCGTGTCCTTTTCGTAACCGAAGAACCACTACGTTTGTCTAATGTAGCTGAAGCCTGTTTTACAGTTAGAAAAAGACCGACGGAGTTTAGACTACAGGTAGCTATATCTCCCAATGGATTTGGTGAAAATGGGAACCTGGAGGTGGCTCATAGTGGAGGTTGTAGTCCCCACAGTCGTCCGCGTCGACGAGTACTAATCCTGCGCGCTCCTAGTCCTGAACTCAAAGCAGTCTGGCACAATCTTCTTCAGCGACAGATGTAAGAATCACTTACTGATGAAATTTCTTCTGCCTTCTCTACGATACTAATCTATTTCATTGTAGAATCTATGTGAATACAGGATATGGTGGAACGCCAAATCTAGGCAGTCCCATAGATAGTCCCATCGCTGATAGTAATTTCACCACAGCTAGAGATTCCATGGCAAGTCGTCAGGTTGGTCTCAACTGAATGAACTGTCACATTTTTTTAGACTAACACTGCGCGCATTCTAGGCTCCACGAAGTCCTCAGCAAATCGAAGAAGAGGAAAAGCAACATTCCGGAGAGAGTTTAGATACCATGCTGAAGACTTCCACCCATGAAGACAATCATTTGGCACAGTGGGTGCAAAACTCGCACCAGATCCCACCTCCGGATCACGAAGTTCCGCTTGAAGAATGGACTCCTGAAGAACTAGCTGCAAGGGCGCCTAAGGAGAACGGTTCTAGGCAGGAGCAGGATGTCGTACAGGTCGAAGAAACCATTGCTATCAGTTCAGATATTGAGCAGCAAAGTACTGCGTCCAGTGCAAGTCTCAGTACAGTCAGGTCGAGTAGTATCACAGCAAAAAAGAATAGCAGCCAGTTTGCTTCCAAAGAAAATTCCACCGGCTCCATCAATATCTGCAAAAGATGTCACAGGTAATAACTATTATTCATATAAATATTTATTCTAAATAAACGCCACGATACCTGGGCAATACTCTAATACTTTCAAATCACCAGGTCAGGTTGCCCAACACCTCCTCTACCGAGAGATCCTTTTTCACCTCTACCACCAAAAATATCAGTATTACCACCAACACCAGATTTATGCACAAGACATAGATTGCACAATGGGCCTCGTGACAGTTCAGGACACAACAGTCCCAACTGTACTCCTGCAGACGGGAACACGGAAGATGGTAGCGAGGACGACTTAGATTGCGACGGAGAACCACCTTACAGGTATATGCTTCACTTAGAGCTGCTTTTAGGGAGGTTGGGAAATCTTTCGTATATCATTTTTTAAATCAGAGCATTGAGAAGGTTTGGCACGATGAGCAGTCTGGACCAGGATGACGATCTGGATGAGCAGGGCGACGAAGAGAATCACGAGCTTGAGTCACCGCCGTCCGGTTTACGTGCGTGGACGGTTAGGGCTAGCAACTACGTGGTCAGTAAAATGGTGTTGCTCGAACAGCTCGGAGAAGGTGTTGGTGGTTATCTTCTACATCCCCCAGTACCACCGGAGAGAACAGAATATTCCTTAGACCCAAACGATGAGGAAGGTACAACATCAGGAGCGACATCCGGTGATGACTTATGGGGTACACCTACTTCAGGTGGTCCAGACGACGAGAGTTTTGCTGCGAGTCCGGTAAGTTAATATTAAAAAGAAACTGGCTCAACCCTTTCACATAAAGGTTTTCAAGGCATATAGACTCACACGCTCTGGAGCAGATCCTTTATCCTCATTAATATAAATAGATTCCTATTGCATAACTCGTTCGACTTACGTATTACAATGGAGTCTATATCTTTGAAAAATGCATAAGTAAATAGCCGTAAGCTTCGCACGCCTTTGCATGACCACGCTTGCCCTCTGTTTGCAAAGAATCACTAGCCCGAGCTGTGCCTGACTTCCCTAGCCGCCTGGAGCTCCATCTAACGGAAGTGGTAACGGTGCGCCAACCGGTGAAGATAATTACGGACTCAACCTGAACACAGAAGAAGAACCAGATCTAGAATCTGATGGTGAAGATTGCAGTCTACCGGAACTGAGCATGGATCAATTGTTAGGCGGAAGTGGTATAGGCTCTATGAGGTGCTTCATGAATCGGCGAAGATTGGAACCACTCCCCGAGGAAGAGGACTCTCCTGGAGGTGGGAAGCATCAGGTCGGATGGTGGTGACAGCGGTTTCAAACTGCGTCTTCAAGCAGTGCCGCCAATCCTGTTAGCGAAGGGAACGAGAGGGATCGTATCTTCGCTAAGCTTAGTCAGGAAGATGAAGAGTTCAAGAGGAAGATTCTGGACCTGCACAGAAAATTGTCAAATGTTGATGAGGATGCCAAGGGCGTCGCGACGCCACCCCTTGATGAGAATTATGTTAATAAGGACGCAGAGTCTACCAAGAGCAAGAGTTCCAGAAGTAGATCTTCTGATACTGTTCCAGAGGATGATGCCAAGCATCCAGAAATGATTTCCAAGGATGAATCTAAGGAGGTGGCCGGTAGGCAGAGTGAGGAATCTCTGAATTATGAACTTGAGTGTAAAAAACACGTGGGGATTTTGAAAAGACAGTCGGAGAAGCTCGGGGATGTCGTTGATGGAAATCCCAGTGGATCTGACCGAACTGGATCATCTGAGAAAAATTTTTTGAAACGTCTAAGGATACGTAGGAGTTTGAAATTATTGAGCTTCCTCAGTGGCAAAGCATCTGAAAGGTCGCAGGACGAACGTACTAACAGTCTCCACAAGATGTATACGCCTATGGAGAAGTGTTCCAAGTCGCAAAATACAATCTCCATACATCACACACCCAGGGAGCGGAGATTCAGGAGACTCCGTAGTCCTGCACCACGTGAATACATTAACGCGATTCCTAAGGATCGTTGTCGATCATCAGTCTCTCCACTACTAGGACTTCCAGGATGTTCACGTTATTAAAGTTTTCTGAATTTTACTCAAGGATCTATCGTTAAGATTGTTTTCTTTAGATTGTAGAAATACCAATAGTGCGAAGATACAATGCGTCCTTACACCTAAGCTCTCTATGCGGAATGCTGATGCATTTCCTTCTCTTCAATATACATATATTCCAAATTATGAAAATTCCTATTTAAAAGTTTATTTTAATCTCCCATACAATTTGACAGTCTTTGAATAGACAAGGTATTAAATAATCTGTTCCTATTTGTTGGAGAAAAATGTATTGAATAATTAACGGTCATGATTTATACTGTTAAGCACATCAAAATTTGATTCTTCACGTTGAAAAAACAATTTCAAATTCATAACTTCCATTGTAAAGTTCCTCGAATATAATGCTTCGTATTCCGCATAAGATGCGGATAGTTAATACAGGCGTATGGTACTTTTAAGTAAGAATTAGAAATGTCCTAGTCTTTTAAAGTGTCTCGAGATTAATTGCTACATCGTTAATTATCGGGAATGATTATGCGAATGAAGTTCCAGCGAGTAACGATCGTTACGTCCCGTGCCATAGTGTGCTTTTACTAAATAAATGAAAGAAGAGGAAAATCGAAGTAAGCGACCTCTTTTGGGGGTGCGAAACGGCCTAGAGAAATGTTAACTTAATTCTAGAGTTTTGTTTGTCCGCAATGCGGAAAGAGATACAAAGGGGGAAAATATTCCGTATAACGGGCGTAGGAGTCAAATTAAGTTATCTTTGAAAAACACAGTACTTTACTAGGTCCGCACGACTGACCCAACGCGGCACATACCTTCCATCTACGAGACATCCCGCTCGAGAATTTATGACAATTGAAGATTCCAAGTGAAATCTTACCATTACTGTTAGTAGTTTGTAAAATGGCCATATGGCTTAAAACGAAATGCAAATAAATTATATTATTTGTTCATCTACAGAGTTTCATTTATCTTTGACATATAGATTCCTTGATAAGATACATTTACTGATGTGATATATACAAAATACACAGATATAGCTAATACAGTTCTAGCATCCTTTGCGTTAAATTACAATTTGGCTTAAGTGGGAAACTCTATAAGAAATAATAGAGAGCATTGGATAATTCTAATGTTTTTTATATTTGTTCACTTTTTAATGCGTCTTCTAAAAATACTACACGAATTATAATCCACTTAACCACCTAAGTCTTAAATATTTGGTTAATGTTTCTTTATCTAATCTCTTGGGATCTTGCTCAAATTTCTCTGTAGATTCATAGCGCACAGGATCTATTTTAGGGGTAACATACAATTTACCATTTTCGTGTAGATAAGTACCACTGAGATCGTCATCTGGCATGCCATTTGGAAAATCAATTGGTGTGATTTTTACAAGATGTTTAATACTCCAAAGGTCTCTATTAACTTCAGGAATATTCTTCACAATAACAATGTCGCTTGACTGTAAAAATTTTATAATTAGTTTAAATGATATTGACAGTAAAAAATATTATTAACAGTACCTTTTCAGTTAATCCAAGTCGTACCAGAGTATCCCTGTTCCAATAGGGTGTTCCTTTTATTGGCTTTATACGTTGTACCATTAGCAGTTTAGAAGGAGTTATCGGGGGATCTACATGATCTGGATGACTAGAATAATAAATTACCTAATTAATGTCAAACAAAAAATTATGAACATTGAGAACATAATAATATTGTATGCTTTATATACCATATATACATCAAAGTATAAGAATATCCCAAATATCGTAAAGTATATGAGCTCAAAATATTCTACATAACCTTACATACCGTGGATAGTAAGTAATGTATCCATATTTAACACCACCACTCATTTTTTTCGTAGCATAATTCCGAGTTTGATTGAGTAATATTTTCGTACAACTGGCCATGGTTATTCTACAAATAGCAGAATTAAAACAAGATAAACTATGTGTACAGGTTAGCCAAAGTAAATTCATGCCCACTCTCTTCTAACAGTTCAATAATTGCGGAAACATGGTTAAACATGTATTTTGAAAAATTAGATTCGTAAATTTCTATAATATGTAATCAACTTATCCATTCAAAAGCATTACCAATATACTAAAGACACCAGTTCGCCGATCATACACGACAGTGAAGAACTAACCACAGTATAGATCGAATTAACGCCATGCACGAACTACTGTTTGGGCACCTGGGTATTGCGGGTTGCACAATTCCAGGCGTAGGAGTATAATTAATAATAATCTGAATACAGGGCTTTCCACATCATTCAATCAATTACAAGTTATCATTGTCAGGTGTTAATAATGGTTAAATCATTGACGCAATCGAATCGACTTTTAAATATTATAATGTATTATTGTATTTTGAACTTTGCTTTTAATAACATCTGGAGGTAATTAACGTAGCTTGTATATTGAATAATGAGTAAAAAATAAAATTCGTATGAGCTATATTATATATCGATTCCATCAATTTAATTGACTTCTACATGCTTAATTATAATCAGATGGTTAGGACAGAACAATACATTTATAACATTCAGGAAACAACAGAAATTAATTACTATCGTCATCATTACTACTCAACTTCTGTTTAATCTCTAAAGCAAGTTTATAGCCAAGTTCCGGCCTTCGATCCCTTCCTTCGACCATGGCCTTCACCTGACTAGAATTGACTATCACGCCATTATTTGCAATAACTGTCGCCTTCGTTTTTTCAATATCCACAAGGTCAACCCCGCGGCTGCAATCGTCAATGAGGATAGTGCGATATCCACTGGCTAGAGCGTCCACGGCGGTAGCACCAACGCAAACGTCATAAGCCAAACCGCAAATATAAATATCCGTAGCCCCCTTAGATTGCAGCTGCGAGGACAGTGTGGTTTCTGTTAGCTTTTTATTATCCCAGAAAACAGAGTAAGAGTCCACCTCTGGATTTGTACCCTTATATATCTTGACGGCATTGTCTACGACCTTAAGATCCTTGTGAAGTTCGGCGCCCCATGAATCCTGGACGCAGTGACGAGGCCACAGACGTTGCTTTATCAATGGCGGCCCACGGAATGTTACTGTGTCATAGACGCGGGCTGATTCCTTTGGTACACCACTCGAAGCATCCACTTCTCTAATTAGAAATTTTTTAAGAATGATTAACAAATTTGTGCTGGAATTAATATTCCAAAAATTTAGGCAAACTGTTATACTATTTTTTATGGTAAATTCTAGACTTGGCATTCATTTTTAAGGGTATAAGAGACTTACGTACTTTATGAGCCACTATATATAGTTATACTTGTAGGGAGACCATTATTATTGTTTCTCAGTAGGGCGAATGTGGTGTTTAATTAGTTAATTTGATATTTCTTACCTCAGATGTATATTATCGATGAAGGATACGTGGTCAATGGGGTGCCAATCAAGTGAATAAAATACCGCGTCAAAGGGTACAGATTCCAAGAGACGATTTATCGGTTCTATCACTTCTGAACCATCGTGCTGCGCCGCACATTGCTTTATGTTTAACGAACCGGATATGAAATCATTTTGAACGTCCACGATCAGGAATGCGCTTCTTGGTCTGGTGCAGACTTTTATCCAGCGATTCCAGCACAACTATTTCATATGGTATCAAGGTAGATGTGATAAGACATCAATTTTCTAATTTATGGAGATGTAAATATTATGACAGTTTACGTGTGAAATGTGCACACCTCGAATTCCTCACGATCGAGGAGCCCGTCGCCTTTTGTGTCGAAGATGGCGTAGATCTCTCTTAATTGTTCCTCCTCCAGGCCGTAGATCTTGCCGCGGTCGTTACGAAAAAGTGCACGACAAATTAATTCAAATTCCAGGATGGATAAAAATCCATCCTCGTCCTTATCGAAAGCCGTGAAGCACGCGTCCATCGCCGTCGACTGCCGCTTTCTGTATCCACGAATTCTGTTTAATCAATATTCGCATCATTGTTCACATCGGCTTATATATGAGACTTTTTTTTGAACGTTAATAATACGAAATACTGTAGTGTTAGATATATTGTTAGACTCTTTCATTCTTATTCTCACACCTTGCAAGGGTATGAAGAAATTAGGTTATTGCTAGGCTATATTTGGATTCTATTTACAGGGGCAAAGTGACTGACAAATTTATTTTAGAAAATAGAGGATTCTTTTCTTACAAAGTCTTATACATTTTGTATGTTGTACTCATGACAATTTTGTTTCGATTCATTGTTGTGTGACATTAAAATTGACTCAATCTTTGTTGAGTTAGTAATGCTACATCAATTATTGCTTCGGATTGGAGTAATTCACTGGGGGTATATTTCATGGATTCTTCATAAGCATATGTAACCGAGGTATCTGTTAAGAGAATGTTGCATTCAGCCAAAATTAATATACAATTTCTCAGACGAGCACAGATCTCTCTATCTTGTAATGCTACTCGAGATAAATCTTGCGTGAAGCCACCCTCCGATTGATCTTTTTCTTGAGTGTTTGCACCAATCCACACATATCCATTATTTCCCAAAATTAAGATAGCTCCATTAGCTAAGTTATGAAAGTGGGTCTTCTTGCGTTTTATCAAAGCAGGGGAAACTTTTAACATGATTCCTTGCGATAATTTACCATACTTCAACACACGTGTATGAAGAGATAGTGATCCATCTGCAAAGGTACTCTGTACTTCGGCACAGATCAAATCTCCTTCTTGTAAGTAACGTCTCATTGTTTGTTCATCCTCTGCTGATCTTCTCCTCTAAAATAAATAAATTATATAATTTATATTTCTTGTTTTGCATTGTGAAGAACAGACTTTATTTATTTCAAATTATTACCAATTCTCCGCCAGGCAAATTAACACTTGAAAGTAAAAGTACTGAGTCCATTTTTGAGTTTGTATCTACTTTCCAGCGTTTTTGTTGTAACTCGGTGATTCGGCCGACAACCACATCGCCAATTTCACCCTGATATCGAGTCTTTAAGGGTCTCACCGATATCAATTTATTGACCTTTTCTAAAACTCCAGCTACTGATGCTCGCAGTGTTTCTTCTTCATCAACATATGTTCCATGACCTCTAAAAGAACCAGAAATAGTTAATATAGAGATTAAAATACTAATTTATATTTTATTTCATATTTTCATAAATCCTTAAAGACTTACCTCATAAATCCAGTCTGACTTGAAACCTCTTGACCTGGGGTATAAAATCCTATATTTTCACCAGCCGTTAAATTCATATCTGTTCGATCAACAGCTAAACGCACAGTAATTGGCGGGCATTCATCCATAGTGAATAAGCACTGCAGTAATTCTGTTATTTAAAGATTGTTTAAAATGTTGTTTATATCAAGTTTGTGGTAGTCCCGACAGGAAGTGAAACTAGACTAAATAACACGTGCATAAATGCCAGTGCGGTCGAGCAGAAAACGGTGTTATATGCTAATATATCCTCATAAATGTACTGATAATATTGTAAACATTGGAAATATTAAATATATAAAATAAATGTTTCAACTAATGTGTTAAGTGGTTTGTCAGACACAAGAAAATACAGGAGTGGTATTCAAGAAAAGCACAAGAAAATTCCTAACCTCAAATGACCATAAATGATTAATTTTCTTGTATACCATTTATCTTTAATGTACAATTGACCTTGAATTAAAAATACAATAAAATGGATGATTTTATACCCACTCGTGGTGCACAATTGAAGAAAAATGCCAGTATGAATTTTGTTTCTGTAACATACAAAGCTCCGAAAAAGAAGTCTAAACCTGCTGAGATTCCTGTCGAAGGGATAAATTCTGACAGGAGTCCAAAAGATACAGTGGGAAACAGCAAGGAGGACAGAATAGCTGAAGCAAGAAAGAAACAAGAAATAGAAATGAAGAGAGCAAGATATGATGTTATCAAATTTGGAATGTCTGGTTTCGAGAAGGCAAAAGCCCATAAAGCAAAGATTGCCCTGGCTATTGAACTAGGAGCAAAACCACCAAGGAAGAGAAAGAGAAACTATAAGGAATTAAAAGTAGAGAGGCAGAAGCTGAAGGAGGAAGAGAAAACTAAGGAACCAGCATCAGGTCTCAGTAGAAGTTTGAAGAAACATAGAGTTCCACGCACCAGAAAGAAAGACAATGATATTCTAGGTGTATATGGAAAAGTACAAAAAAAAGATATGTCATCGAAAAGGAAATAAAATCAATCACCAACAGAACAAAAATTATTTAAGTTATTTCATTGCTTTTTCATGTCATTACAACATTAATCAGCTATTGCTAACAATAACATTCTCTGTATATTGTATACTATACGAAGAATAACGAGTAATAAAATAATATTTTTGTATATTCGATCCGTTTTGGGCCAGCCTTGAGCGTCAACAGGTCCGTACATCGGTATACTCGTGTCAACGTAATTATAAAATAAGTAAGGTTGCACGGTCCCCGACGCCACAATGGAATGATTCGGCGTCGAGCGAGCCGTCGTTGATCGGTTGACAAATTCAGTCATAGGCGGCGGCGGTTGGTGCCACCTCAAGTAGCATTTGGAGAAACGCATTTACTCCTTCTGCAAAAAAAGAAAAACATTCTCCCGCTTATATTCCAAGTATCACGAAATCACTGAACATCCAGAACTATTCTCCATTCCTGTACTTACCCATGAATTTCGGTACATATCCGTACTTTACAAATGGGAGGTAGAAAAGCATGCCCGCTGAAATAAATCCCGCAGCATACAAGTACTCGATTTGAGGCTTGTCAATGATTGGAGCCACTATCAGGTACGCAGAGATACCGAGCACCAGTACGGGTATCACCAACGGACATTTATAGGGTCGAGGATGATTGGGTCTAGTCCTTCGCATAACCAGAAGGGCGAGCATGGCGCCGCCATAAAAGATCCAAGCGGTAAAAGAGAAGAAATCTATTAGCGAGTCAATGCTGCCAGAGACGACCATTGTACCTGGTGAAAAAAATGTACAAGGTTAAGTATTTGTAATTGATAGACACATTTTATAAAAAGGAGATTGAAGAAAGAGAGTATATACCTGCTACAAGAGAATGGAAGATCAGTCCCGGTGCCGGCGTGAACCGCCTTACATGCACGTAACTTAGACAATCCAGAAGGTGACCTTCTCTGGAAGCAGCAAAACAGAGGCGACCTGCAGCAAACAGAGTTCCATTCGCCGAACCGAAAGTGCTAACGGCCACCGACAAGGGCATCAGCCACGCCATAACGCCCAGTATACGATTTCCAAATGTCTGGAAGTAAAAAGTAAATTGATATAGCCTATGCAAGCGTGGACAATATTATGTTAGATTGATCGTATGACCTACCACTGCAACAGCCTCACTTTCTATCATTTCAGATGGGGACATAACGGCCAAGTACGAAACGTTGATGAGAGCGTAGCAGAGAGTAACAAGTGGTATCCCAATCATGATGGAGCGTGGTAAATTCTTGGATGGATCCTTGATCTCCTCAGTGACATAATTCAGATTGTTCCATCCATCGTAAGCCCAGAGGCCAGTGTAAAATGCGGTAGCGAGTCTGCCAATATTGACAGTGTTATCGCTACCATCAATAGTTTTAAAAGCATCCTGAAGATGCTGTGTGTTTCCCTGTATCAATTTGTACGAACCACCAGCAATTACGACAAGTATTGCAATCAGTTTAGCCGCAGTGAAAGCATTCTGGACGCCAGTTGCCAGGTTGACGCTGTAACAATTCACCAGGAGTATCAGCACTATAGCAAGGAGAGCAACCAGCTTGACAACCTCCTGCGGTGGATCGCAGTCCGCCATGAAAGCCTCGACGGCGTACTGAGCAAATGAGAGACAGATTATTGCCATCTGCGAGGGCTTCAGTACCAGGGTCGAGACCCAGGAGAAGAGGAATGCCGGTGGGGCGCCAAAGGCATCCATGAAGTAGGCGTACTCAGCACCGCTACTGGTATTCATGGTACCTAGTTCGGCGTAAGCCAGCGCGCCGCAGAGGCTCAAAATTCCGCATGCCGTCCATACCAGGAAGCTGACACCTATGCTGCCCGTTCTCACTAGGAGTCCTGACGGCGAGACGAAGATACCCGATCCGATCATTGTACCGACGATTAGAGCCACCCCACTGACGAGTCCCACCCGTCTCTTGAGGTGAACAGGGTTGTTCTCCTCTGGGTCCGTCCCCTCCAACCCTCCGATCCCTCCACCCCCGTCTTCGTCATCCCCCAGACCTCCAGGAAGGCCTTCTTCCCGTAGTTGCGTTCTGGCTTCCCACCCTCTGTTCCTGACGACTGTTGCCCCCGTATCTCCTCTTTCTGCCAACCACGTTCCTCCGTTTCCCTGTTGAAGAAGCTGCGGCTGACTTCCATTACCCGTCTGCGGATCATGTCCTGCGGCAGCTGCAATCACACGTAGCCAACTTAGTTTTCACTAGATTCATATTACTAGTTCACTTTTCAAACAATATGTCCGAGTATTCACTGTTGGTTCAGTTCTATCAAGCGCAATGAGGACTTCAAAATATCCATTTTATTCTTGGAATGATTCCAACTTGCGTGTTTACCTACACTAATAACATATTATCTCGAAATATAAATGAAGCACTCTATTACTTTCTCAGATATTTTCTGAACACACCTGTTCCATTGTAGAAATTAGTTGCTCTAGTATTAGGATTATATTTCATTCATTAACTATTGAATTCTTGATAATGTCTTTGTGCATTCATTATTTTTACAATCTAAGCACTACTGTCAAACAATACACTTTGGAACTATCAGAATGTATAATTAAAACATTGTCTGAATTAGATCCCGGGAATCAATGAAAACCAATTACCGCTGAGCATCTATATAGACCGTGAATATTATTAGATCAACAGCAGGCACCACAAAACGTAAAATAACGCACCAAGGATATAACAATATTGAAGAAATGATTCTGTGCCCCGCGGTAAGGATAAAAAGTCACGATCCTTCCTTATCCGACAAGTAGGTATCCACGAATACCCGCGCGCTTCTATAAAAAGAAACTCATAAAAGAACTACTGCCCTTTCCTTCTTTTTCCCCCCAATCTTTGAGAATGGTAAACCTCTCCACCGTTCTACCTCACCCAGAAATCCAATCTCCTATCTTTAACTTCAGCCGGACGTGGAGCGAAGTCGTATGGATACCTACCAATCCATATCCGACGGGTACAAAAAAGTAAATGAAAAGCTAAATAAGAATCCCAAACAGTCTCTAGTAACTTCATATTTCGGATATAGCAATATATGTATAGTCAATTAATGGTAATAGAGCCAAAGTGAACCCAATTATAATATTCATGACTACATGTCCTAAATTAAACCCGATAAGCCTTATAAGTTTTCACCCCGTGCCTCCTAGTATAATTTCAAACAAAGTAATAACACAGAGCCGATTGTATATATATGCATCGGGCATACAATAATATATAACCAGTGTTGTATAATTACTCGAGCGCTGTGGACACGCGGTAAATAAGTTGGTCAGCTTGTGTCGCATCCCTATGGAGACACTGGTCGTGAGAGACTAAAAGATGTCCTGCCGATACTCAAGCTCCCGCGCAGAATAAGGTTGTCCCGTTGGTATACGCATTATAATATGAAGTCGTTGGTACCGGAATAGCCAATGGGCCGTGAGCCAAAAAATGTCTCGTGACCACCGAATTCCCCTTAAACCCAGCGCCTTCAGCGAAATGACGTTACCACTAAAACCGCATGGCAAATTTCTTCATTTCCGATAACAGTACGGCCGTTTATGGCTCCTGACATTCCTTAAGAAAAACTTGGGGTTGAAGGGTAAAAAGTCGTCGTTACGGGTCGTACGAATGTCTCAAGGTGACCTTCAGTCAGCCATTTTATCGATCTCATCGTGAAACCTAGTGCTCACGTGATCTCGAGTATTTCCGCCATGTATACATCCTAGTTTAGACGTTTTATGGTATTGATGAACTTTGTAAAAGTAGGTACTTCTGATATTTCCTTCTTTGAAGATTCTACAAGCCTTGGTACCTCTTCTCGCCGCATCCAACAGGGTGGCTGCGACGCATCATATTTTGTCAGGTGGTCAAAGATAATTTCGTAAGGCTTAAATTGCGATTGCAGCGCTCTCGAGCGGATGCCGGGTCTATTATCTTTTCTACGTACTTGGATAGTCTCTCCATTTTTCTCTCTATGCTGTTTAAACGCAACCCTTTGGGAGAGTCTAGGGATGCATTGGATCGATTGGGAATCCCCCGTGGATTCACTAGTGACTACCATATGTCCCTAGGATGCAATGACGCCAATGATGCACTGTTACGTCTGGTATTCGATGGGCGATGATTTGTATTTGTACTGTTGCCAGAAATTTTTTCGTAAACATTTTCGTCGCTGATGCAAGGATGTCTGGATGCTTAGTGTCATCCACGACGTATCAAAACAGGTGTTTTTCCCTCTCTTATTTAAGAATTAATTTTTTTATGTAAATTAAACCTATCCACTTTTATCGATCTGTTGTATACGTAACGTTCCCATAATGCATGAGTTTATCATATTATACTTCGATGGGACATGTATGTACATTGTGAACTGTAATTCCCAGAAGTGATGCCACAAGATTGATCCTATGTCGATGACGAATGAATTAAAAGACGCAAGGCGTCGCGGACTTGTATTACAACTTATTATCTACCGTCGCAGTGACCTAATTGCGTTCAATCTCACTCGTGCGGAACGCACACTTTTATTAACCTCTACAAATTCGAAAGGTTTAACCGGAAAGAAATGCGTGTCTAATTTCCCTGATATATATATGTACCGGATATTTGTCTTTACCAAGTTTATAAATACGAGAGCGTTCTTGTCGATCTCGTTGTATTATAAGAATAGACAGAGAACAAGGGTTACCATAATGATCGCCAAATACGAAGATTTCATGAGAGTATTTGAGTGCACGACGCTAAGCGCCTCTTTTTTTTCTCTACTTAAAGCAACGCAAATAGCCTGCCGTCTATTTATAAAATTATTATACGACACATTCATTTTTAAAAATCCATCGTCAATATACCTATAGCATAAAGAATGAGAAATGCGATATCAAGAATTTAATACGAAACGAGCGTGCTATGTCATGTGGTTGTAATTGATATTCATTACATGAGAATAAAATTAGGTAGTGGCAGATAAATCAAATTGAGCACAGTTGGCGCCAACTTTATACAAGATATATTTAAATCGGTATCGTTCACAAAATTTTAGTTTTAATATTCACTATTAACGAAAAAGATATTTTTGGCCAATGGATATAATTATTTTATTGTTGTTATTCAATTTAATTCTGGATTCATTATCGTGTATATAGAATCTGTTGCAAAGTATTTTCAGAATACACTGTGACGCGTTTAAACCGTTATCCTCCTGTTCGTTCGTAGGATGACGCAATCCTCGTAACTTCAAACGCGCTTCTTCTGTTGCATAAGCAAAGGTACTTTAGTTACACGTAAAGTTATTGCAAATTATATACCTTTTATGACAGTGATGACGGCCTTCTTACTGGAAGCAAATATTGCGTTGAAGATATATATGTGTTTTTATCTCTATACGGGGAATCCCCGACTTATAAGATTTGAGTACATGTTATAATGCTTTTAATCGACTTATTGTCTGTTACTCGATCCGATGCTTAACTGAAAAATATTTCTCGACGTGTCCCACGCATGCTGGATTATTATACCTCATTAATGGAATCGAGGACATTTTAATTTCATCAATTTAAAAGAAATTTTTCACAATTAAGGAATTTACGTTTCTATTAGATCGCGCGGGGTTTACTTGTATCGTAACAGGGTTATTCTCTGTCTCTGTGAATACGTATAATTAGACTGAGAGTCTAGACGACGACACGGGACACGCACGTCTTGGCACACACGTGCTTCTCTCTGTTGCACGAGTGACATACAACAGGTTTGTCGTCAAATTCTCAAATCTTTCATCGCAAATAAACCGACGAAAAAAAGCAGACGTAGAAATAATACTAAAATAAAGAAAAACATACTGTTAAGGACATTTGCCAGAAACATCAAATGTGATGTTCATGCGAAATTTTAGTGCCAAAAAAAATGGTTAATTTTGTTTAGTTCCAAGCATGAGAAAATAATGTATAATTATACCAAATTTTTTTGTTACTTACCTCGTTTGAAGGGCGCGACAGGCATGACTCAAGGAAGGACCGATAAGAAGGGCGGATTGTGAAACCGCCTCTCATGACACTTTGACGACTTTTCAATGCTACCACTGCCTTCCTATCTATCTACTGTCGCTTCAATTCTCACTGTGGAAGGTCAATTTTCCAATAATTATTTTTGACCTTCGATATCTTTCCAAGCGACGGCGAAGGCTCCTTCTTCGCTGTATGGATCAGGTATTCTTCACAATTGGTATTTCCTAGTTGAAAAAGATGCGTGTATATTTAATACAGGAATGAACGATACACACATACCGAGGACTGGCGGTGAACTGGGCGTACGGAGAGCTACTAGGAGCGAACGTGTCGGCGTCGGCGTCGGCGCCCGGCGTCGCTCGATATCGTTCCTACTATTGGACCCTTTCCTCGACGCAGTGCCTGTCCCCTGTTAAATCGGCTTCCCTTATCGAATCCTAGATATATTGTAGATCTATTTCCATTTACTTGGATCAATCCTGTCATGAAAAATCAATATCAATTTTCTTTTTCATTTAGGCAAAAAATTTCCGCTAGATTATTAAACAGATTCTTTAATCTGTTATTGCGAAAGGTGATGGTTACACGAATGTATTTTTTTATTAACAAAAAAAGAGATTTTGAAACTTTTTTTGATAATAAAAATATATATATGCATGTTCTCAAGGTGTTCACCGATCGAACGTGGCTCCTGACACGTACGCTGGTGTTAGCTTAGAATCTTAGCATTGCTTATTATGTCACATATTTTTCCAAAGATTTATTAAGATACGTGCAGCAGACAAAGAAGCAAGAAAAAGTAATTATTAATGTTCTGGTAATCGAATTTTTACATTTGAATACACAGTGGCGTTTTTAAATTTTCAATATTTTAACGTCAACGCTCTAATACGTGTCGTAAGTTGTATTTGGTTGTAAGATTGAAAATAATGGCTAAGATCATGTAGTGAGTGCACAGAATCGTTGATCTAAATTCCAATCGATTTTACGCACGTGTCTGTCTCCATTCGAGTCACGATGTGTCCAGACGAGCTGCAGTCCGAGAGCGACGAGTTCAATTGCTTTTGATTGTAACCACATTCACTGTTAACTTAGCCAACTTTCTGCTACCATCGAGAAAACGGCGATTGTTTATATGAAAATTGAGTGTTATAATTTGCCGAACAATTATCGGGTCACCCCTTATAAAATTAATCGATAGAAACCAATGACGACGTATAGAGGTGATGAATGGATATGAAATTATGATGAATTAAGAATGAAATTGAAATTATTTTTTTGCTAATGAAAATTCTGAGAATTCATCCAGTTTGACCTGATCTTTATTTAAGGGTTTGTTTGTACTAATTGTACGTTTTTGCAACTGTTTTTGACTAAATTGTTTACTTGACGTATTTCTCTTTTTTACCGTTCAAATTGACTTCACTCCGACTCGATTGATGAGATGTTCTCTCGTATAGAAAAAAAGTCTTAGAAATATGGTGACGCGCATGCGCACGTTTGTCTGACAGCTAATCGTATTTCTACTTTCTTGCCACTCGGCGAATTCCTTATAGTACAGAGTCGGGTGGATTGCGGCATGAGGAATTAATACGCAACGACATGATCATAATGTTTCATGATTCTGAGCGACGCTATCGCATTATATTTCACAATGTGACGACTATTCGTTTAGCCAATTGCGATAGCGAGAAACAGTTGAGCGAGCACGTCGCATTAATTTTTTTTATTAGCCGACTATATTGTGTTACACACTATTAACGAGATATACATTATTTGATTAGCATTGATTTAAAACTCTTGTAAAATAGCCAATTCAATGACTACACTTGTATAAATATTCTTGGTGGAAAAATTGACCTGCTAAATGTAATTCTTGATAAGTAAAAAAGAAAATTCTTTTTTATTGATTTAAATTCAACTGTATTCCTTTCCTTTGGTAGTACAGTGACAGTACTGCCAACTGAATTCATGGTATAACGTGCTCATTGGTCTCTGTATGTATACGGTTCGTATATACGAATCGCAATTGACAGCCCTGCATTTGTACAAGGTATACTTATATGTGGAGTTTATAATTTGCGTCACTCGCTTTGTTTAATCGTATCTAATGCCGGGAGTTTTATCTTATTTATAACAATTATGACTGGTTTTATTCGTTATCGAAGCAGTGTCCGAATATCGCGTTTCGTTCTACTTTCTATGATGAGTCGTTCTTGAAGACTCATGAATTTTTAATCGTTCGATATGCTAATTGCAAAGTATATTTACTTTTTTAATAAAAACGCATATGTTTCCTCTTAAGTGAGTCATTATTCGCAGTAACGTATGCTTTATTACGAATGACAAATCTAAATATTTGCAAAAAGCTTTTTTTCAAGCGTATGTCAATACAACTTATGATGTGCTTAGTCAATGGACAATTAGGTAGTTTCATGAATGTTTTTTTTAATTCATGAAAGAGAAAGACTCACGAGTAATGCCACCTGTAGGATTTTAAAATAAACGGATTCTGTCTTGAGATTGGAAGGAGATGTAAATTAAATCGATTTATTTCTCCATGCATAGATAGTATTATAATATTATATATATAAATATAATACACTGATAGATCATTTGTTTATATTTGTAAATGCTAGGCCAACTGATTATGCGCGGGAATACACCTGAATCGTCAAAAATAATTACAATAGTGTAGAATACACAATAATTCAAAACAGTCAATTGTATGACAATTCACCTCCGACAGGTAGTAACAATCAAAAAGTATAAAAGTTTTTCAAGGAATGCTTTTTTTTAATGTGCATTGATGAAGTAACGGTAAACGAGGGTCGCGAGCACACCTAGTGCAACTGGAATCAGCCAGGATCTCCAAGAACCACTGCAATTGCCAATCATCATGAGACCACGCAGCAGCTATCATTTATATACAAAATTTTAATGCTCATGCCACCTATGGATTGGATCTGACCAATAGTTAAAATCAATATTGTATGACATTGGTAACAGAGAAATACCAAACCTCATATCAAATATTGATCTTAGATATTATTGTTGTCTTAATCCAAAATAAAATTATGTGCAGGAATTGAAGGAATGTAATTTGAAAATGGAAAAAGCAAAAAATTAAAGGGATGAACAAATAACAATAAGAATGGATTATGAATAACCATGGTAGAATACAAGTTGTCATCCATATTAATGCAGCAAGACTACTACGTTAGTGTGTTAAAGATAGTAGAAAAATAACCTACTTCTAATCAATACTCATGCAAAATCATTAGCTGATAGGTATGTAAAAAAAATATTATACCTTGAGTTATCTCCGCTAGAACCATCATTTGACCATTCCTTGTTTTTCTTTTCATCCTGCGTTCTATCAGCCTGAAATTCATAATAGATATATACTGATAAAATGCAGGTAAACTGTACATTACTTGTTCTATGTTATGTCACCTAATTTATGAGTTATATCTGAGTAGTACTAAACAGCAATACAGCAATCATAGAAGATAAAGAGAATTTCATGATTTATTGGTTTCTAAAACCATTAATTTTACACAAAATAGATAAGAATAATCATTGGCTTACAAGAAACATACGTAGGCAAACTATAGCAATTGATTAAAAAATGATAAAAAAATGCCCAATCAGTTAAATAGCCTTATCCAAAGATTGTATAAAATATTGTAACTAAAGTACCTCTTTGAAAGTAGACTGCCTCAAAAAAATACTTACCTCCACAAGTTTTCCGACCTTGTACGGTTTCATCATATTCCTAGCATCAGTGGAATGTCCTACATCTTCAAATGCTTCGGTAGCATCCTTCCCAGCCTGCTCTAGAAGTACTTCCTCGCCACCAGGATGCTAAAAAAAATTAGATTTCTCACAATCCTGCATAATTTTCAACTAGCTAATCCAAATTAAAAAATAATCAAAGGTCTACATCTTAGATACACAACATCATTACCTCGTGAGGTTAATTAGTATTATAAGGAAGATTTTTCCTAGATGCGATGAAAAAAACAAAATTCCCTCTCAAAAAAGAGACAAAATACTAAGAGGTTTATTACAGAAACTGCAGGTGGCTAGGTAGTGCTCTATTATAATTCACATGGTGAAATCAAATATAAAATATGGTTTTTACCTCATTAAGAAATGCAGTCACGTTGTAAACTTTATTATGGATAATGATCCAAGTCTCTGTATTGCTGTTACGTTCTGCAACTTCTGCCCGAGTAAAAAGCTTGGTACCAGCAGTATCAGCAGCAGAAGATGAATCCTTGGTCGCCATTTTTTCCGATGAATACTGACAATATAAAATTGTTTTACGATAATGCTCTTTAAATCACCTAATCGATTACCAGTGACTTTCAAAGTACTTAAAAGTGTCCAACAATCGAGGTACGACAATACCTCCTAGTTAGACCGATTATCACGTACTAATGCAGTAAATGAATGTCGACTGTTTCCCACTGTTGTGCAAACTGAGTTGTGTTCCACAATGACTTTTTTACAAAATTAGATATATTCTTCTTTATCTTGCCATTACAGCACAGTATAGCAATGAAAAAGAACAGAATGGTATCAGAGTACAACTCGAAACGTTTTGGAACACAGTCCTACTAGTTGATACGTGGATCACACGGACAGCGCATGTGCCAGCGTAGGAATGAAAAAATTCTGAGGCAGATAATTTTTTATCGAGGCATAAATCTATTTGCGGGCACTTATGTGTCATTGAATAAGTTCACTAGTTTTTTAAAATGATTATCCAACTTTCCGTGTGGATTTTTAATGCGCGATTATCACCTAATAGAGTATAATTTTTTCATTCCTAGGAACTTTTGTATATGTATACATATACACATTATGTTTGACAGCGGGAAGCTCACATTGCCTCCTCGCACCTCCGAGAATATAGCTAAGTAACAATGATTACAAGTATGCGTACCTTGAATACCTTATAAAGATATTTCAGATCTGAAAATAGTTATCATGATTTAGAGAAAAGGAAAAGGTGGAAGTTAAAATTACATTCTATATTGTAAAGTTTCCGGAATAGCCGTTACGGGTGTATGGAATGTGTAATTTATAAATTGATGAGGTTATAAGTTTTATACTGTTCCGAGATCATTAAAGAAATGAGAAATTAATGGCGATATTTTTATTCAAGTGTACATATATTATTTGAAACCAAGTAAAAATGAAGATAATAATTTTGCTTCTGAATTTGTGTATTCTGCTAATCCATGGTGTAGAATGTATATTGCCGCTCATACCAATCGGTGTTGGTTTTACCGGTGCTGGGATTGCAGGATATTCATACTTGAAATGTCGTATATTTGAATGCTGCGATGAAAAGTCTGTACCAGCTGATTTAACATGTAAGTGAACACCGTTCTTTTTCCATTGTAATCGTTATTTTCGTGTCAAGATCAGTAGATTTATTGTTACAATCTGTTGCCTTATAGTGCTCAATAAATTGCTTACGGAGCAACTTTATGGACAACAAATTGCTCATGAGACTGTACTGAATGCCTTACGTGGACATTTCCACAATCATGAACCTCCAAAACCACTTGCCCTAAGTTTTCATGGGTTGTCTGGGAGCGGTAAAAACTATGTGGTATCTATGATTGCAAAAGCACTTTATCAGAAAGGTGAACAGAGTGAACATTATCATTTCTTCAATGGACGTATTGATTTTCCATTGGAGCGTAAAGTTCAGGAATACAGGGTAATTGAAAATATCAAATTCTTCTATATATAAGACAAATTGGAGTGCTAAATTGAGACTAATAAGTATGTTTAATTGATACAGGAGCAGTTACTTCAACATATCACAGAAGCTTTAAATAAATGTGATAAATCACTATTTGTCTTTGACGAAGTGGATAAAATGCCTGAAGGGCTATTAAATGTACTAGTACCTTTGCTGGACTATCAGACCACAAGAAAGGGTGTTAATAGGAACAAAGCAATATACGTGTTTCTATCAAATACTGGTAGCGTACAAATAGTGAAACGGCTACTGGAGCTCTGGGAAGCTGGTAAGAGGCGCGAGAGCATGACATTACAGGACTTTGAAAATTTGATAGCCATTGGCGCCTTCAATGAGAGAGGTGGTTTTCATAAGAGTGATACGATAGAAACTAGTGTGATTGACCACTATGTACCATTTCTGCCTCTTGAAGAAGTACACGTTATACGTTGTGTGGAATTTGCCTTTAAAAAACGAGGTGTGACTCCCACAAGTGAAATGGTAGATGAAATTATGACACATGTCACATACGGCCCCGAACCTCACAAGCTCTACTCGAAGGCTGGCTGTAAACGGTTAGAACAAAAGGTTGCCAGTTTAGTGTATCGAAAGAAGAAGCGTGAAGTTGAAACAAAAGTATGATAAATATTAACTATCTATTTAGAATGTGGCATGTAATTTTGATGATAGAGTACATCAAGTTTTAAAACCATGCAAGGTACAACTGTCATAAATGAATGAAAAGAAAACAGCTGTACTGATTTGTATAACGACTCGTTGAACAGCGAGTTTTATTAATAATTCTTATTGGCACGATTGGAGAACACGTCTAAGAAGTTAAAAATGTTATAGATGCTTTTTATACTAATAATAAAGAGCCTACGCTCGTGTGTGCGTAAACGCTTAAACGATTGTTGTACGTATATACGCACAGATAAATGCACACGAAAAAATATATATATTTATATATGTATATTTATAATCGTAAATGGTACCACATCTCAGTGCAAAAGAGCGGATGGCTTTGCGTGAATGTGACGAACGAGTAGGAACGCGAAGAGGGATAAAACGCGTGAGGATGCATTTAACTAAATAATATAATTTTATACAATATGGCGGAGAGGAGTTATCTTATGCAAGTCATGGCTCCAGCTCGCAAGATATGTGATTATGACAAATCCGTCGTGATTGCACGATAACCGAGAGATAACCTTCACGAATTAATCTAACGTGAAAGCCATTGGCTACTGCATCGAGAGATGATAGATACGATAATTTAACGGCCATAAACATCAATATCGAACAATCTTATTCCTCCTCGACGTATTTCTTGGGAAAGAATCCAACTTGGTCGCCTATTTTCCCCTTCCACCAGCCCCTGGCATCACCTTCCTTGCTGAGGACGACAACACGACATCCGCGACGTAGACTCAGCTGATTACGTTCGCCTCCATGGAAGTCGAAGAGCGCCTTGGCCAGGACTCGCCTGAAGGGCCACAGCAGCCGCTGGTCCAGCCTCTCAAAATTCTCGGATAAGGATGTCCTCTCGTAGTACTCAATGAGCTCGACGACACTCTTGAAGAAGCGTGACTCGCTCAGGTAGTATAGATCGGCGCCATCCACATCGCGTTTGAACACCCTTATGTGTTTTACCGCACCATCCGCTCTGTGAGAAATGAATCTCACGTTTGTTAGTTCGACGAAGACTAGCTATTGAACTATATTACTTTTAATCTTAACGATTCACTTACTTGATACTTAAAGCATAGTTCGTCTCATTATTCAGTCTAGGCTGTCCAGCTGGTCTTACTCGTAGCATGTAAGTCCCGTCTTCTCGAGGTTCTAATCTGTGAGCCGCCGCATCCCTGCCCATTTCACCCACGAACCATAGCTTCGTTGAGAGTGCTTGTTCGCATGGTAATGGCGGAGGTGGTGGTGGAGGTGGCGGCGGAGGTGGTGGAGCTGGCATGCAATAACCGGAATTGGAAATGCATTGCTTGTGCACAGCGAGTCTGCAGACGTCGCACCTGTAGCCCTGTGATTAAAAAGATGATTACCTAATTTTTGTGCGGACTTTATATAATTGTAAGTAGCACACAGAATATTTTTAAGTGACTTTTTATAATAAAATTTAATTAAAGTATACACTACCTGGAATATTCGTCCTTTGAGAAACTTGCCACAGCGCTGACAACTTCTAGCAGTGTCAAAAGTAGTCAGTCGAAATTTGTGAGTTGTGCTGTGACACGCGGCTGGATTAACATTGTCCATAGCATCTTGCAAGGCCTTTATCCACGTCTGTTTTTGCTCGTCAGTACGTGCATACAGTGTGTACGCAGTGTACTCTTGCTTATGTACAAGTAACCACTGATAAGACCAACGTGAATCTTTACCAAGACTGCGTCTTCCTATACGATCTTCCAGACGATAATCGTCTAACCTAAGTGTCTCCCTGTAGCAATACTGATCCCCTTTACCGGCTTTACAGACCAGTACTGCTTGCTCAAATACAAATGCATAGCGTGCCTTAATTTTTTGATCTCCATGAGCTTTGACCTTCAACAGGAAACATCAAGTATGTTATATAAAATCATAAAGATATCATTGATATATGTATACAAAAGAAATCTTCTAGTACCCTCAATTCACCATCCCTGAGCAAACGTCCAAAATCTTTAAGTTGGGTGTCCTCGGTCACGTCCCAGTCGACAATGGATGCCTGGATGTCCTTTATAATATCTAGGGTGTCAGAATCGCGCTTAACTTCATTTATATATTGGGCAACGTCGACCATAGCTTCACGAGCTTTAGAGAGTCGACGCCGATCCTCTACCCACTCTCGTGGTGTTTCCTCCACTAATTTATCAAGTAGCAAATGATACTTTAGTATCCTTTGCATTGGCACAGAAAGTATGTCGCGAAGCTTGAATTTTCCATTATTAGCTTTCTGTTGGCACCTCTGTAAAAGTATAATTAATTATTTTAATTTTTATGCATTGTTAGATCAATTGGTGGCATAAGGGATAAGAATACGTACAATGACTTCCTGATTGAGCACCTCGTTACGCGCACAGGCTTCCTGGAGTGCATTTTGGGCTATGGTCAAATTGGCACAATAGTCCCCGTAAATGAGAAACTTTTCCCTCCAGTCAAGGAATACCTGAGCTAGGGCACTTCCGTTATGAGCTTCACGCAGCTGACTATGGAACCCGACATGGATCTCTGAGAGTTCCTTTATCCCAAAGAAAATCCTGGCGGATTCTTCTGGTCTTAAAAGTGATCCCAGTGGCCTGGCAAAGTGTCTAAGTAAACTGGTCAGCACGTCTGAATAATTTCGTTCTGTTTCTACTAGTTCTTGTACGACGTATTCTCTCTTATCACCACCAGAAATCACACCACCCTGTATACATTTTGAATATAGTTTTATATTGTCTAGATACAATTTTGTACGTGTAGAATATACGAGTATATATGTATATGTAGAACTGAGTAATAATAAAATATTACCTTCAGTTTCGATTGATGTCAATATTATACATTTTTTTGAAATTCATAACATATATGTGAATATTTGGCATCTACTAAATGCTACGCGATAGTTTAATCGACTTGTATAACTAAAAGCTTCTGATTACGTGCAAATGTTCTAATGTCTAGTTCAATAAAATAAAGAATATCTATCATTGACAACACTCATGCGCCTGACGTTTTTGAAATAAATAAAAGACTTAAAACAGAAATGACTTTCCCGTGGAAAATTATTTCCTACGTATAAAACGAGGAACTGAAAAAAATAAAGAAAGAACAACCTGTGCCGCAGTAGGAGGAGGTGGCTGGTGCAGGCTACATAGATCCTGGTAGATCTCTTCGCTCTGAGCGTGACTGCAGAAGGCTCCGTAGCCATCCTCTTCGCCGACAGGATCTTCGCTATCCCCATCATCACCTGCCTCATCACCTTCTCTCCTCCGAAACCTTCTGCGTCGGCCCTCGTCCTCACGCCTTTTGCACGGGAACACAACAAGCCGCCATGCACTATCTATTAGCCGCTAAAGTAGCTTACAAATAGGCAAACTTAAATTACAAACACTATATTGCCATTGACACATGTCTTTAGCATGAAAAAAAAACTCAGTGGTAACACGCAACGCAGAGGTTATTTTGTCAGAAACATCGTATTTTGATGAAAAAAGTGCCAAAAATAATTACTTTTTTAGACTTGTAATTAGTATTGATATAATATTAAGAAAACGATTTCGCTTTGGCATTTTTTCCAGTGGAACCACTCTTTTATTAACAGGGTACCAAAACGACATATACCTCCTCTGGAGAAGGCCAGTCGTGTTGAGGGGTAGTCGAAAAGCAGAGTAATTCCTGATAAACTTGGGACTCACCTAGGTCCACACCCCTAGGTTTTATGGTAAACGCCACCACTGCTGCCATGGGGCTAAACCCATTAAGAGAAGTTACTCGAAACCTGGTCTTTCATTGTTGTGCCAAAAAGATTGCACCATAGTGAAGTAGTTTGTTAAGTGTATTTTGTGTCTGATAAAATGAATTATGTGAGTTTCTACTTGGACTAGATGTTTTCTTCTCTTTGCGTAAACTCTTTACTATATGACTTTATGTATGGTTAACAGAGAAAACTTCAGCTATAAGTAATGTGAAAAGATGAAATTATTTAAGATGACTCACCCTGCACCTGCACTTTGTAAATCTTTGTAAATGTCTTCTTGAGAACGACCACGACCCACGGAGAAACCACTGCAATAAATATGGCTTATTAGAGTGTATCAAGCTAGGCAGTAGGGATGGGTAGATGCATTGGATTGCATAGTGCTGTATAATATTAAAATGATGTATTTACAGAATGCCTTTGCGCCTCAACCGTGGACAATTGGAAAGAGCTGAAAGTGTGCACAGCACGCGATGAAAATTGGACAGGTCGAACAGCATGGAAGGTTCGAAGAGCTCTGAATCTGATAGGCCAAAAATGGATGAGCAAACTGATAAAAAGACCTTGATATTGCGCAGGCACAGAAACTGTGCCATTTGGGGCTTCTGATTTACATCTTTCATATCCACGCATCCTGGATCTACCGTGTTTAATAGATTACACAGTAGCACTCCATCCCGCAGTGTATAAGCCAGGTCTACTGCAGTAGCAGTAGGCCAATTGGCTCGATGGTCTGCACGTAGTGCTCCACACCGTGTCAGCCATCTTGCACATTCGTGCCATCCTGTTTCAGTATCAGTCCCTCCATCTATTCCACTCATATTGACTGTTTATCCCTTTTACAGATTACAACTCTTTCACAATAACTGTGAAAAAAGATTTATATAAACCTGATGTGTGCAGCATGAGGTCCTATATTACTTGCGCTACTTTTCAGTTAGTTTTGTAAAATCTGAAAATATAAAAATGACCACAAATTAAATAATTATTCCTATAAATTACCCAAAATTCTTCCAAGCAAACCACTGTTACACATATCTCACAGCATATTAAATAGAACCCAGCAATATAATTAAAAAAAAAAAATGTATAAATCCTATTTATTCAAGAACAAAACTATTTTTAATTCAAACTGAATCCAAAATACTATTTCATTATTATCAAAGAACTTAATATGAATCATAGTATCTACAGAACAGACATCCTGTTTCAGACTTACATAGTAGGTGCTGGCCACCCTCTCTGTCAGTACCCAAAAAGGTTACGCCACTCCGTTCCTAATCAATGTTAACCCCATCGTGATACTAGTGCACGCGTTCAAAACAGTACCAAGCAGACTCTACCAATTGTAAAGCTACTTCATTAAAAATGCCATATCTCAACTAGCATTTTTCCTCTATCACGAATCCCTACTATCTCATTGTCGTAATATTATGACGTCTTGGTTCCTCAGTACACGCCATTTTAATATCGTACTGCAGTAGGAAACCAGACTGTACTGTATACCTATATACAGACTATAGTGCAGCCATGATACAGCCGATTTCTAGGTGGCACTGGGTGTATTCCTCTATCCCTGTGCAGTATGGAAAAAAAAAGAGAAACACCATAAGTATAGGACAAGAATCAGTAAATCTAAGTGATCCCACCAGATCGTAAATCATCGATCCATAAAGCTGACCTTTTAAACTTGCGCTTCTTCCTTGAACCGTAACCAATTTACGTCCGCGCGCGATTGCGTAGAACAGATTGGCATTGATTGAATGAGCGCTGATGAACGCTAAAACTATTATTACATATCCAGACTTTACGCGTCTTCTGAAGTACAGTATGATTCACTATGTCCGTGTTCGCTTTTAAGTAGGACTTTTCTTGTAATGAAATATCAAAAATAATCTTAGTACTATTTCTATAATACCACTAGGTAATTCTGTTCTACGTGTAACAAAAAATTGGATTAATTTTTTACATTTTAAATAGTGTTATATATATTCGGGTACTAGTATTAAAGTATATGTGTTAATTGCTGTATTTTTCAATCACTACTAATTAGCACGTTCTACGGGAAACCAGTTCAGTTTCTTGCGGGCATGGTAGGCAAAAGGATATGGTGATTTAATAAGTTTATCTCGAAAAACGTTGAATTTTATTCGAAATATATTTGTAATAATAATATTCTGAAAAATGTATATACGTGATCGACTGTCTGCGTGTTTTATAATTTTTGTATATATCATAATACTTAGTGCGCCAGGTAAAAGTTTAGAGTGTCGCGACGACAATAACAAACCCATCGACTGGTAAAAATTTTAAACTTTTTCTCTTAATTATAGTAAAAATAAAAAAATTATTAAATTTATTATAATTTATTTAATTAATTCCAGGTACGTCGCTTATAAGATACCGAAGATGTCCGATAGCAGCAACCCTTTGATAAGACAAGGTGTCGCGTATCTATATATGACAAGCGATTCTTCATCGTCTGGCTGGCAATTGTCTTCAAAGGATATAAGTTCAAAGGACTCTATTGCTGGTTATACGCTATCGCCACTTTATAAAAATGTACGTAAATTGACGATATAGAGTTTTACACAATTTTCAAATTATCCGCTATATAATATAAGAAATGATTATTAACCGTTAAGGAATTTTCCATTGTCTGTTATAATGAATTTTATTTAATTGAATCTCTGTAGGAAAACAGCTCGGATTTATGGATACTTTACAACGATCAGCCACCAAACAAAGCTCCAGCAACAAAATATGGTCACACCAAAGGAGTCGTTATGGTCAGTAGCAAACAGGGATTTTGGCTGATCCATAGCGTCCCTTTATTTCCATCTGTTCCTAAGGACGGCGTAGATCTTTCTAAAAGCTCTGGAAAATCCGAAATGGACATTCCTTCTGAAGGGAAATACGATTATCCTACATCCGGAAAGCATTTCGGACAGACTTTCTTATGTATATCTATGAATAAGGATCAGTTTGATGTTGTCGGACAGCAACTGATGTACAATCAGATTGTACCTTATCGTATTAATCTACCGGAAACATTGAAAAAACAGTACAGTGTGTTGGCTGATGCAGCAAGAAAGAAGAGGATTAAGAACCCTCCTTATAATCACAAAGTCTCAATCAAGAGTTTAGAGGAAATTGAATTTTTGTCATTCGCCAAGAGCGATAAATGGCAGAAAGGTGAGCTGCACGCTTTTAAATGTGTGTTATTAAGTCTGAAGGTTTTATGGTAAAACTATATTTCTAGATCTTTATGATGATTTCTTGGCGCCACAACTGGGCGTTGATTTATTGACGGAAACGTGGTTGAATGGCCGGGGTAAATTACCGTCAGAATGTAATGGATCGAAGTAATTATAATTCCCATTATATTAGTGTAATGTATCTTGTACAATTCATGTACAGATGTCTTTTAACAATATCTGTTCCTTTTCAGAGTCATGAACGTAAAATCGGTGATTTTAGAGAAGGCCAATGTAAATTTTAAAAGCAGCCACGATCATTCAAAATGGGCTGTATCCAATAATAATAAAAAGAATCATAATTGGATATGCATTGGCGATGTTAACAGAGCAGTGAGTAATTAATTTTTAAATAATGTTTGTTAACAATTTGAGTACACTGTGAGCTCTTTATTCAACAGGACACACAATTCAATAGAGGAGGCGGTGCTGTGTGCTTCAATTCTCTGAACGTCTGGCGAACATATCGTGGTTCTGTAAATGACATAGAGCCATGTCCTAAGAAAAAATTTAGTTTAATAAATTGGGTTAAATCTTGGTTTTGATATCTTGGTGCGAAGTCTATATTGAACATTAATTTGTTTAAACTATAAACCGGTCATCAGATATTAGACATATATTTGTGAATTAACCTATAATACTCTTTTTTATAGGGATCAATAATGTAAGATGACAATAATAAAATATTAGATAATAGATATAATTATATTGTTAAAAAAAATAAATGATAATCAATCTTTACAAATATGATCGATTTTTCAAATTGTAAATTTAGTATTATATTTCGTTGCTAGATGGTACTAGTGTCGATTAGACAATTTCTTCGCAAATTATCCTTTAACCCAATTTACTAGATAATTGACAATGTTATGTATATATAAACTTACCACTCACGATCATATTCGTGTAATTAAGCTATGTACTATTCATTTAAGCACTTTGTAATTCGCATTGTTGAGGCGAAGCTTTCAAATTCCCGGGTTTGACTTTGACAGCCATAGAGACATGGACATGGACGTGGCCAGTTTTCAGAAATGATGGCGTCGAGCGATGCGTTCGAAGGAAGGTTTGGCAATACTTGCCGACTTTGCCTTAAGCAAGAGGGAATTATGTCCTCTCTGTTCGAGGCAACAAGTCCAGAGGATGATAGCATGTTTTTGGTACAAAAAGTAACGTCCATCGCGCCGGTTCAGGTGAGTGTGGTCGCGTTCGCATTTCCTCGTTTTCTCTAAACGCATCTCCGCTTGATAGCTGAATTAACGCATCCATTTGGATGCGTTTGAACGTAAAAAAGTCCCGCGTTTGAATCAGTTCTTTACAGAAAGAATGCAGAAAATTGTAGGAAGTAAGAAAGCTTATTATCTTGTCTTGATCATATGCACCTTCGTGAAACTCATACATGTTCTGATATCAATTGTGATTGGTAATGTATCTTTTAATGTTATAGATCGAACGAGACGATGGATTACCGGAGTGGATATGTCTCAGTTGTCAACAACAGGTGGAAAAGTTGTACAATTTTCGTATTCTTGTTGAAATCTCGGATCGCACCCTGCGCTCCTGTTTACAAAGTTCACAGACTTCTTTTCAGGATGGAAAGATTAAGCTTGAAAGTCTTAACAATGAGAATGTTATAGAATATAAAGAGTTCTCGATGGACAGTAATATGCTGGACAGCGATGTTGATCTTTCACAAGTTAATGCTATATTTGTACAAACGGAAGATGGTATTCAGGTATAAAAAAAGATAGGTTTGAGAATCTCTTTATGGATTTTTTTGATTTTTGCTATATTGTACTTAGGTGTGGAAGATATGTAAGGTCAGTGGACAGGAAGATGAAGAAGGTGAAGAAATATCAGGAGTTGTTGAAGAAAATTTAGGCGGCAGTAATGCTCCGGAATGTCCTAAGGAAGTGAGCGACTCTGAAATTGATGATTTACAGGGAATTCAGCGTTTTTTAAAGAAAGAAAAAATGAATGTCGAAGATCTTCAGACCCAAGTGAAACAAATATTTACTTGTCAATATTGTGACAGTTTATTTCTTACAAGTGATGATCTTGTGGAGCATTTGGAGATACATGAACAAGAAACTGAGAATGCAGAATGTAATGATACTAATAATGATATGAGCTGTCAGTTATGCCTTAAGCCGTTTCAATCATTATCAGAATTAAAGGTACATATCTCAGAACACTTCTTAAATGGTCGTACAAAATCTGAATCAAACGCACAGCAAGACTTGAATGAAAATAACACATCACATCCAACTCTCATCGCTGTTGACAGTATAAGAGAAAATGAAATAACCGATGATAACGAAGCTCGTAATCGTTTATTCATATGCATTGACTGTCATGAAGTATTTCCTCAAGAGGAAGATTTCCTGTTTCATCGGAATAAGCACTTAACTACTTCAGGAAAGGCATTTAAGTGCAAATACTGTGCCAAATTATTTTCTCGAATCAGTTCAAAACATTATCATGAGCAAACTCACTCTGGAGGAAAAAAGTATATATGCGTAGTATGTGGAAAATGTTTTTCAAAGAAGACCGAATTAAAATACCATGAAGGTACTCACGTGAATACACCATCGATATGTACAGTTTGCAATAAGCACTTCCTAAACGTGCAATCATTCAAGATGCATATGAAGAGGCATATACTCGGCAGTCGATACAATTGCCAAACATGTGGCAAAAGTTATTACACCAATGCAGAGCTTTCGAGACATCTTCAAAAACACTCAGGCAAGCGTCGGTATCCCTGTCACTTATGTGAGATGTCGTTTCTCTCTCAGCCAGAATTAAACAGACATTTAAAATATCATAATGGTGAGAAGAAGTTTAAGTGTAAAATATGCGCCAAGTCTTACTTTGAGTCTGGTCACTTGAAAGTTCACCAAAGGGTTCACACTGGTGAAAAACCTTTTGTATGTACGGTGTGTAATAAGGCCTTCATCACCAAGTCAAAGCTTGTAAGGCATGCGAAGATTCACTCTAAAGAGCAGATTATTGTCTGTGATATATTTCCAATACAGGAAAAGGAGGGTGAGACTGTACCAATATTTTCTAACATCGGTACATAAGTAGACTTTAAATTACAGAATTATTTGTATTCATTAGATGAATCCTTCATGTAGATGATACAAAATGTTAGAAATTCTTTAAAAATAGATTAAAATGAAATCACACTTGTATGTATGTTTGTATATTGCTGTGTAACAGGATTCACTGGGAAATTATAAATGGTGGAGTTTAAATGATATTCTATATCAAATATCGGAGTGTACATGATGTATGTCAAACATCGGATGGGAGGATTTTATAAAAATGTTTGTCAAATGTCACCGTGGTTTCACGCTACTGTGATTTTGTATGCACTGTAATAAATTATCAGCATATATTGTTATTCAGTCTCTCTGAATTACGTCACGTCCGTTTATTACAAAAATGACCATGGACATTTATTCATAAACCGGTATCGAGGTAATAGACAGTCTCCACTCGTGCGACAGTTTTATCTATTACGAAGTAATTCAAATAAAAGGGAGCAAAACACAGCGAGTTGGAAATAACACAGATAAATATATAAATTCATTTCCGGCGGATACGAAGCACGTCAATCTATCCAAATACATGAATACTAAACCTATGCATTATTAAAATTCAAAAAGATTGATATTAGCTCCGTTATTTCTTGTACATCCTACATTTTCCCCAGCGGTAATTTGCAATATTTATGCGTTGGAGCATTAAAAATTTCAGCTTGTCGCGCTGCCGACCAATTAAAAAGAAATTTATATGAACGCCAGGATTGTTGGCAGAGCTTGAATTACGTGACACTAATTAGCAACGGCATCTGTACAGAATTGGATCATCCATTTCAGCTCATAGTGTTAACAAATAGAGCAATCAATAGGTAACAGAAAGGTCAGAAAAATGTTGCATAGTCTACCCCGATATCCGAGATAAATGTTAATATAGGTTCTACTATCCTGGATAATTTTTAGAATTAAATTTTAAAAAAATCTGTACGTCACCATTTTGATAATTATATCATCCAGCGATAAAGAGTGTCTGGACGCAGCTGGCTTGCATTAATTTGCTCAAGCAGAGTGGGGAATGTACATAAAAATGAAATATTCGTTAGCGAGTGCGGAGAACCCCTAAAGTATAAGCTGCGCAAAGGTTGGTACAGTAGGACTGTATTTGCTGTAGAGAATTGTACTGCGCTCTGCATAGCCATCAACAGAGAAGTAGTCAGTGCTTGGACTCTGCGAGTAATTAAGAACCCAGGTCAGATAGGGTGAATGTTAAAAAATGAGAAAGGGGTTAAGATGGTGGGAGTGGGAGAAAAATAGAAAGGTAGGTGAGTACCGTCAGAAAGTAGGGTAGCAAGGTGGGTAACAGGGGGTGACGCAATTAGTCACCAGAAAGTAGAGAGGAATTTCATCTTGCAGGGATTCGCGTAAATACGGCCATCTGTCTTTTTCCCACTGGAATCCGGTACGCTGCTAGCCACCACGTCTACAAGGAGTAAAGTGCCAGGGTCACGTAGAGCAACGATTCTTCAAAAAAAAACCCCATTGCCACAGAAATATGATAAAGTACCTTTTGGTCGAGGACCGCTTGAGAATTCCAGAAGATGCTCATGAGCGGCCAGTATAGAATTTCTAATGGGGTCGAACGTGGTCGTCAAATGCATCGCAGCTAATTTTCTGTTCATAATGGCTGTTTTAGGTAAATATAACTATTTTAAACAGCAGAGTAATAACTTTGGAATTAAGTCTTAATAAGGGGAAAAAAGAGAGGAACAAGGCGAGGCTCTTTATTACTGACACTAAGAACGGTCGATGGGATCAGAAGTAGTTTTTAAATTGGATTTTATGAAAGGGCTATACTTTTCCTCCTTTCTTTTTTTTTTAATTCCTGCTTATTGTCTACCCAGGGAGATTGCAAAGTAGCTTGAGTGCTTTTAATGAAAAAAAAAAGATTTCCGGTTTCATTGAATAGACTCTGTGTGATATTCTTATCGTATTCCTGGCACACCTTCCTGAATATTCTCAACCAGGGCCGTCATTATGGTAACCCTTTATAGTTTAAACTGTAACTGTAATATATACAGCGCTTAGGACTATACCATTAACCTGGCAATAGCCACTTTGCACTCAAATCTAATTGCCAATACATAGATATGCCAGGTGTGTCGTCGTAACACCCACTTCCTTCCTAATATGTAACCCCACGCACCCTCAAGACATTAAGGGTCGAGATTCCATGCATATGTACGTATAATATGCGTATTTTTCTTCCATAACCTTACAATATGTCTATTCTGTGTACCCTTATGGGGTAAATTGTGCAGAGGGTTGATATTACTGTTTAAAAGAAGCAAGTTCATAGGTCACAGCTTATCAGACTTCTAATTTATCTTTAAGTCATTGGTTGAGGATGGAATATTATTTTCTGTCATTTTTCCACTTAATGACACATGCCTATCCGCCTGTGACTTTTGATCCTGGAGTCATACGCTTCTCCAGGAGTTTGATAACAATGGTCTTGCGTTGTCCTTGATAAATAATGATCCTTTTCCTAGTGTGAGCAGAGATGTTTGATTTCATCCAGTGCTTGGTGAATGGGATAAATTAGCTCAGTGACGTAGAAGAAGGTAACTGACAATTTTCTGTGGGGACTATTGACAAAGTTTCCTTCCGGTTTGATGATTGTGATTATTATATTTTGCAGCGCAAGAGCTTATTGATATTAGCTCGTTAAAACGGAAGTGCAGAGACACCGAGAAGTGAAATTCAACGACAAGTGCATCCTGGCGTGGACCAACAGCCATACGTTGTTTTGTAGGTACAAAACAGCACCGCCTGTGAAATCAAGGGGTGAGTTTCGCAAGTGGATACTTGGAAAAACAAGCGGCTGTCACGAAAGGGGATTAAGAGGGCTGCCAACCCTCCAGTCTCATCCCTGTTACCTGAGGCGACTAGTAGTAGTGGCCGTGGAACCCAAGCGACCAAACCAAACCTGGCTAACCCCTTTAATTTGTAGTTAAAAAATGGTCTTTAAGGTATTTCAAGTTTTTAATATGATATTCTGTATACGTAGTACAAGAGTCCGTAGCAAGTATCTGACAGGTATTTAAGGGTCGCCATCCCCGACAATTTAATGATACTATTTCTCTTGTTAAGTTACATAAAATCTCTGCATAAAAGCTACTCCATTGGATTTATACATAACGGAACTGCGTATATTCGGAGCATCTACTGGAATTTAACATGCAGGACAGCGAGCCTTTAATGCTGAAATATCGCAGGAATACTCTGCAAAGGTTCTACGTCTTTTTACCCTAGAGATCCCCGACGTTCTCTCTTACCTACGTCGGTGCTTCCAATCGTATTTTATTTCTAACGGATACGTTTTGCGTGCCGGGATGTGCCGTCACCGTGGCGAATCCATTTTCGATACTCCAAAGGTCATTTAGATATTGGATTACCTATGAGAAAGCGCGTTGACGCATACGGGATCGCGAATCTAACCTAGAGATTGTAAAGATTTTACGAGACGCTTTCCAATCTATGTGAAGATCGTGACTTTTTGTTGACTTTTTTTTCCCTCCTTCCTTCAATTCCAATACGGGCTATACGTAGATAAATGTAGAATAGTATTTCAAAGATTTCAGAAATTTACATATAACATTAGAAAGTTAAAAAGTACGTAGTTTCAGATGTCCACGTATAGTTTTCTCTCAGAAATATCGTTAAATCCTACGATATAAATTATTCTCCAACGAATACGATCCTCGATCTTCTACGATGGGAATAAAATTGTAGAAAGTACAAAATAAAGGAAAGACAGTTATAGAGCCGTTACATGCTATACGTAAAATCGATTTAGGGCCAGAACAGCGTGAAGGGATCTACGAGTGAGGATAAAATGACTCGCGATCACAGAACGAGGTTGTAAACTTTGAAAACGATATCCACGATGGGCAGTGTACCTAAGAGCATAGGCCGATATATATAGATATATCGTGTACAGAAAAGAAATGGCGACTACGAAAGGACGAGAAAAGCTGCATCCCTTTCGTAAATCTTTTAGTGTTGCCCTTATACTGCGTTTCCATGTCGCGGTGTGGTCATAAGACATTGCAGTAACGGTGGTATACATTGTACACGTGTAGTGCGCCATAGAAATAGCCCAAAAGTACCGGAAGTCTACTGGCAAACGATTAATCCGGTTGCAGAAAGATGTAAAACGTTAATTCACTCTCACTCAGATTGACTCTGCTACGGTATACGTATCTATAATACATATGTATTTATGTATTACCTAACCTCACTTCTTCCCGAGTGCTATACGCTACCTCGTTCCCGGAAACAATTCCCATGCTAGAGGATCGTAAATTTTTTACTTTCACCGATCTGCTTCCGGTCGACGAAGGAGGTACCGGTTTAGTTGAATCCTAATACCGCCTTTTACTATATTCTTAAACTTCCTATACCAAATTAAAAACCGAGCCTCCTCCGGTTACTTACCGCGCGAATCGCGTACTTGTCCAACTTATGTTAGTCGAGCTTTTCTACTTAACTTATCCTCGTTAACCGGCGCTAGGTTAGGTATAACGGTTTATAGCAGAGAAACTGACTTGCACTACCGCGAACAAGTATCTTCGTGGAAAGTGAGGTTCGGATAGTTACTACTAGGCGTACCAAGCTGGTTTGGAATTTCGTTTGGCAGTGTTTGCGTTTGTGTTGCGATGGCTTGTTGGGAACTTACAAGATTTACTGTACTTATATGTTAAGTTAGATCGTGATGGATAAGTTTAAGGGCCGTTTTGACTTGTTGAAATTAATAGATTGTCATGTCCGTAGTAACGGTTAGTTAAGTTATAGTATATGTCCTGACTATCTGGTAGCCGTTGTGAGCATATCTCCATGCATTCGGTAGCACTATGTATACAGAAAGGTTTGGCGAGAATTTGTGGTAAGAAAAACGCAGGGTCAGCAGCGGGGAAACAGTGAGAATGGTGAAGAGGTAAAGAGAAGGGCCGTGGAAAAGGAGCGATAAAGCGTGAAAGTGGAAAAGGTCCGTAGCTGGTCGGACAAAGGCGGCCTCTAACGTATTCATTCTACTGGTTTCGCTATAAGGCACAAGCCAAGAGGGACATTTAGCTTCAACCACGTCGCGTAAAGGTCCCCTCACACCACTCACTAAGAATCCCATATATTCTCGGTTCGCGACAATCTAACCTAACCTAACCTAACCCAACCCTCTCCACGTCCCACTGTTCTTTTTAGTTCCTCTAGTTGCCACCACCTTCCTTTACTTACGTTCTTCCTTCTCGGCCGTCCTTTCGCACTTTAACCCAGCCTATCCTTCCTGACACAGTGCTCAACGAGCTCCCTCTTTTTCCTCCTGTCGCCGTTTCCCTGATTTTTATTCGACTCCACCCCCTCTCCGTCGCTCTGTCCGAACTTGCCGGAGCTGACGTCAGAGAATGTTCCTCGGGAAAACTCTCTGGTCTCGACCATTCCTCTCATGGCGCGATAAAGCTCGTAGGAAACTGTTGCCAGGATCAGATTCCAGTTGCTGATCTGCTAGGACATCTTTTATACAGTTCTGTTAATGACCATATGAATTTATACAGGGTATCCGAAAATTAAGGGATCTGCTTG